TTATTTATTTATTTTTATATACATATTGTCACTGTCCAAAAAAAAACAAAACAAAACAAAAAAAAAAACACTGTGTGGAAATTTCATGATGAATGGACCAATACAAATGCTCCAAAATCACTTGAAATATAATCTCTGTACATTAACTTACATTAAAAGTTATGAATGTTTTGTCTCTCTGCTGTAAAATGACCATTTTGGAGACACTTGTTTTTCTTTGGGCAGCGACCATTGATCAGAAATAAACAAGTACAGATAAAAAAGCTGTTGGTAAGAATTATCTGGACTACAGCTTGGAAAAAAGCAGATTTGACTCTAATATACCTGATCCAGTCAGTCAAGCACTTCTAAAGTAGGTGATTAGCTGGAGGAGGACTCGAAGGCAGAGCTCCAGGACCAGGACTGGTCACCACTGTCTGAACTGTCCTTAGTCTTCACCAGTTTCGTTTCTCACTTCTCTTCTTCTTCTTATCCGCTGTGTTTTCAGTCTGCACGACATTTTTAAAGCACTCACCCAACAGTGGACCTCAGAATCGTGACTCAACACTCTATTCCGCTGGAATTAAAGACCAAAAACCGGAGATGTTCCTCTGAATCCCTGTATAAACTTAAGTGTTTGGTACAGTGAAAGTGAGTGAGGGAGGGGTGAAGTGAGCGAGTGGGAGCCACGCGCATGCGCGAGGCCCGTGCATATCAGGGTAGGAACGCCCGTAGTAGATCGACTCTTCACCTGAACTTGTGGCTCTGTGGTTCAACCTGAGAGTTTAAGGCTACGTTGACATTGCCTTGTTGCTCAAATCCGATTTTTCTCTCAAATCCGATCTCTCTGACACGATGGTTCACACTTGTTTAGTAAGTGATTCAAATCTGTCATTAATGTGACGAACCGGCGTCCTGAAATGACCCTCATGAGCTCATCCTACTCAGTAACGTCATGTGAATGAATCACGTGCATCATCAGCACAAACGTAGTTTTTGAACATATTCCTGCTGAAAAATCCATAGAAACCATTGTGTTTTATATTTTTAATTTCAATAATATTTGTCTGCAGAGGCGCAGAGCCACAGTTTCACTCCAGCAGGTTCAAGCCGGTGGCATTCAGCGCATGCGCCGACACTTGTTTTGGTTTTTCTTAGCGAATTTTAGGCGAATCAACATTTCCGTCATTTTATGTGGGTTTCCAATAAATTTGTGGTAAATTAGTGTTGGGCTAACTTTATATTTTAAGCTTTAGGCTAAAACAAACTTCGGTTTGAATGCATAAAGAGATTCACAGGCTATATATTACACAAACTAATGTGACCTGGGTAAACTAATGGGATATGTACATGAACTTACCCTTAATATAGATCCCTGCTGAAAACATCCACAGAAACCATTAAGTGTTTCTTTTGGTTTTTGATTGTTTTGTAATGTGTTTTGTCTTATGGTTTAACTGGTTATTAATGGTTGATGCATATATTGGTAGCAGTCTCCCTTCCTGAACGGTAATGTTCATGGCGACACATACAACCAGCACAAACAGTTGCTGTTTACATCAGAGGGGTTATAAATGAGGAGACCGGCCACTGGTTGAAATATGAATGTGACGCTCGTAACGCCCAACTTCCCTCTAAGAACTGTGTTTACATGGCACAGTCGCGCTGTCCTACTGTGCATGCATTCCACTGGCCTGAAACTATGGGTGTAAATCTGTGGCTCTGCACTCAGACCCTTCTCCTGCTGCCACGGTAACGCTGAATGATGGTGCACACGTAGTGAAAAAAGCACATGAATTCAGATCTGAGCGTTCACTGACACAAATCGGACACGTATCCAATCTAGGACCACATGTTAAAGTGGAGGTTGGATTGAGAAAGATCAGATTTGTATGTCCACACAGCCCTGAAAACATCAGGTCTGTTCACATTTGGGCAAAAAAATCACATTTGTGCCACTTCAGCCTGGTAATGAACATAGCTGAAGTATCCTTGATTGGCTCCTAAGAGTAGATGCTGTAAAATGGCTGAAATGTGACCGAAGTGGTTGGGACACTGAAAGTGTATCAGGGGTTGTGAGATTTAGAGCAGCCTTGGGTGGGTAAGCTCAATTCTACAAATATTTTATGTGTTGTTTATTTTTATTTTAGTAATGAAGTTATAGTGTATATTATTGATGTTGACAAGATAGTTAGTTTTGTTTTTCTCTAATGTGCATAGGGCTGAGTCACTACGTTTTTCTGTGTTTATTCCCAGAGTTACTGTTCTGATAGCGTAGCTTGACTCTGTGTGGAGTGGGCTGTGTTAAAGCCTGTTTATATTGAGACTCAGAGACTTTATTAGTTTGCTTCAATAAAAGTCTGTCTGGGTTATGTCTGGTTCTGTCGGTGTTGTTTGTTCAAAGGCCACAAGATGAGACCTGTTACAAATGTGTTTCCATTCCTGAGTTGACTCTTTGGAGCTGAATCGCACTGAATAGGGATTTTTTTTAATAAACGAAGACAAAACAAATGGATATTTTTCTCTTGGTTACCTTTTCAGAGGACTCTACTGGAACATCCTGGCTCCACCCTTATTATCCCCAACACTTGTTTCTTGTTGTTACTTTGTCTCTGGTTTGGTTCTTGGTGGTTTTCATGTAAATCTCAGCCCTGTTTCTAAGTGTGTCTCTTCAGCTCTGATTTTTGGCTTACCTGCCTTTATTGATGCCTAAATGTTGGATTTCCTCCATTTAGCTGATCCCTGCCTCTCTATAATTTCACCAGTGAAATTACTTATCAACATCTGACTTTTTGAGTACAATCATAGTGCAATTTTGTTATTTAGTTAATTGGAATGATGACTTTTGTTGAAAACAAAATACGCATACTAAGTTGGCTTATTTTGGGATCAGAAACTCTGTCGATGTTATACTTCTGTGAAAAACAGAAATGAGAATTGACCCCACAACACTGAAGTTGTGATGGATGTGAATGTAACTGAGTGGAATATTTCAGACTAGACTTACAGCCAAGTTATCACACTGACATCTCCTTAACAGACTTAACCTTTGTCAAGTTAATTGCAGGACATTACTGTGAATTAACAAATTATCAATGTTGAATAAAAGCAACACAGCTTGAATGATGCTGCTTCCTATTCATTGCGTTTTTTTAATGTGATGATGCATTATTATTATGGCTAAATAAGTTGGTGTGGAAAGCAAAACTCAAATGATTTCAGTTTTTTCTTTGAATGAATGCTTTTATAAAATTATGTTTTTAGTATTAATGTGGAAACACACACACATCTGAGCGTGGCAAACGTTTGGTGTTAATACAACTTTTATTTAGTAACACTTGAGATGGAATTTCAGTGAGAGCCCACATGGACATAAAAACACCTGTGTTTCTAAAAAGTACATAACACTTGTTATCCACTTACAATTAAAAAATTATTCAGTATATTAATGAACTTTTAAGTCAAATATTTAGGCTTCAAAAAACATGATTTCTGTCTTCCTGGACTGAGATGACCGATCAGACTCTTTGGCCAGAGCCAAAATTTCCATTACCACTTGCTTCGTTTAAGTCCATCCCAAGCCATGGATGGCGGCAGGTGTTGGAATACGGGGCTTAAAGGGGAAATCTACTTTTTTTTTTTTTACATTTTCTACATAATTAACTGGTTGAGATGTAAACAAAGTCATTCAGAGTGGTTTGGTGTGAAACGCTCTGTTGTAGAGAAACTTACAGAGTCAGAATTGTTCACAGTGGTGGTGATAGGAACCAGACATCCACCTCTAAAAGCTCCCTCACAGAAAGTTACTACATGAGATGGTTATGAATTCACTGTCTGATGACTGAGACACTGTTTTATGATAGTTTTGAGAAGATTTTCAGCCTAAAAATCCATTCATGGTGGAGGGATACATAATATGCAGGGTGCTGTGAGGCAAAATAGTCCCCAAAGAAAACTTATTTCAGATTTTCCACTATTTTTCATCATCAACATTCCATATAAACTCAGAAGACACGTGTAGGTTCACTGGTGGTTTTGTATGTTGACTAGTGGTTTTTGTCTATATTTTTATTGTAATCGTGGCAACCCCTGGTTCCCATCACCACCACTGTAAAGAAATCTGAGTCTCTACAATCCAACCCCATCACCGTTACTTAGTATGGTGCAGGATCCTTGATGTTTTTGGCAGTGGACATGAAGTATTAGATTTTAAATGAAAATCTGGCTGCCTCAGCCAAAAAGCCAAAACTGGGTTGTGGTTGACCTACCGGCAGGACAATGATCCACAACATGCATCCAAAACTACACAAAAATGATTAAATGAGCACAGACATAAGCTTTTGACATGGCCGTCCCAGTCCACCGACCTAAACCACATTTAAAATCCGTAGGCTGAAGAGCAGAGTCCAAGAGAGAGGAGCTAAAACCGTAGAGGATGTGGAGAGATGTAGTCTTGAGCAATGGTCTCAGATTGCCTACTATATTCTGTAATCTCATCAAGCATTACAGCAAAAGACCCATTGCTATTATGTTGGTAAAAGAAGACTGGACAAAGTACTAAGGTAGAGTAACTAGAATAACTGTAATGTGAGGTCTTGTTAAAAATGTTGGTCTTACTTCAGTAAAAGGTTAGAAATGGTGCCATGCTTCCAGTGTGAGATTGAGCTAATTAACTACAACCTCATGACCCATGATCTTTATCAAGGGTGCGAATGATTACAGAGCTGCCTGCATCCCCTCATATCCTTCATATTCAGGTCACATTAAGTAGGTGTGGCCTAAACCTCAATACATGTGCAACCCCATTTCCAAAAAAGTTGGGACGCTGTGAAAAATGTAAATAAAAACATAATGCAATGATGAGCAGATCATTTAACCCTATATTTAATTGGAAATAGTACAAAGACAACATATCAAATGTTGAAACAGAGAAATTTTATTGTTTTTTGAAATAATATATGCCCATTTAGAATTTGATGCCATCAACACGTTCCAAAAAATTTGTGACGGGGGCATGTTTACCACTGTGTTGCAACAACTCTTCTTTTAACATCACTGTGTAAGTGTTTGGGAACTGAGGAGACCAACATTTGATATGTTGTTTTTGTAGTATTTTCCTTATATGGTTTACTTGATTTGATTAACTTTGTGATTTGCTTAACATTGCATTCTATTTTATTCAAGTTCTGCACAGCATCCCAACTTTTCTGGAAATGGGGTTGTTCACAAAAGCTTCATTCCACTTAATATCCATTGTACCACCAAGGATACATCCTCATGTGTTGTTCAATTAGCTGAATTCTAGTATTGAAGACAGATTCAGGAGAATCAGGTGTTGCAATGATCACAGATGGTGCTCTATTCCCGAACATTTGGTGATTGAGCCCAAACAATGGGTACATGGGATTTTTGAACTTGGTGTGAAAAGTGTACAGATGACCTACACCCTGAGAGGAGACGCTGTAAAAGGACAGAGTTCCTGCTGGCCAGTCCAGAAGTATTCCAATTCTCTCAGGCTTGGGCACACTGATTGCAGAAATAGATTTGGTTTGGCACGTGTCTGTGTGTACGGCAAAATATGGGCTTGGGTACGGCTGAAGGATTAGTTCCAAAAGCTTGCCATAAAGCTTTCCCCTGTCGGTTACGCCCACGTAGACCATTCCAGTCCACTCCAGCTCCCAGTAAAAACGCCCCCCTATTAGCTGTTCCCTGGCGCGCACCTTTGCCCATTTGACTGGCTCTTTGTTCTCCTCACCATCACTGTCATAGTAGTCATAGAAAGGAACCTCTGGCACTGGCAACCAAACAACCCCTTTTCTGTTTGGAGAACACGTCAGATTTTCTTCTTCATTACCCATGTTAAGGTCTTGGTAGTCTGGAAGAAAACGTATAATTATTAGATTTGCAGTTAAAAACATAAAATGCAGTTCAACAACAAATGAAAAACACTTACATTTCCAAAGACCAGCTGTAATTCGTGAATGTCCTGCATGATCCAATCTACAAAATACAGCAAAAATCAGTCATTGGGCATAAGTTTCATTTTCCTTCTTAACAAAACACTATCTAGGCCAGAATAAAACTAAGAAGATGAACTTTCTTGAGAAAGTCAGTGACCACATGCATTTATAACTATATAAATGCTAGACTATGCTAGATATGATTTTGCCAGAAATAGAAATTAAACCTTGATTGATTTGTGACTTGTCATAGACTCAAGAAATGTCAGGCTTAGAAAAACAAACAAATTAAGAGCATCAATTTTAATGCACTACATGTGTGAGAGAACATATAGTTGTGGCCAAAAGTTTTGAGACTGACACAAATTTTGGTTTTCACAAAGTTTTTTGCTTCAGTTTTTATGGTGGCAATTTGCATTAACTCTGGATTGTTATGAAGAGTGAACAGATCAATTGCAGTCAATTGCAGTCATTCCTTGCCTTGAAAATAACTTGACCACAAAAACCCCATTTCCAGGGCCCCACAGTATCTTAGTGAATTCAGTCATACGAACCCACACGTACGCTCCGTTCACAAATTAACAGTCTGCTGACGGTTCCTAGAATTAGAAAAACCACAGTAGGTTGTCGAGCATTTTCCTACGTAGCCCCAAAATTATGGAATCATCTCCCGACCTCTGTTTGGGACACACTCTTAGCATTTAAAACTAGACTCAAAACTTCTCTGTTCGCACAAACATTTTGATAATTTCAGTTGTTTGCACTATTACTCTCTAATATTTCTCCATAAACTGACCTGTCCTGTTAATTTCTCTCTCTCCCTCTCTCTCTCCCCCTTTATTTGAGCCTCTGAGTGACGTTTGCCTGAGTCACTACATGGGAGCCACCACAGCTGCTAGAGTCACCAGAGTTCCATCTCCGTTGGCTGATCTGCACCGTTTTGACAACCATGAAGCTTCACGCTATACAAAGCTGTGCACACCCCACCTGCATGAACTAACCCTCCTGCTGCATAAACTCAAACTATTTAATTAACCATTGCTCCACCTTTTTTTCCCGTTTTGTATTCTAATATTTTATATTAATGCTTTTTCTTATCCGGTATCGACCAGAGGAGGATGGGTTCCCTTTTTGAGTCTTGGTTCCTCTCAGTGTTTCTTCCTGTTGCTCTAAGGGAGTTTTTCCTTGCCACTGTCACTATTGGTGACGCTGATGGGGGCTCAGACCTGGAATTTTCAACAAAACCTGTTGTAAAAAGCGCTATATAAATAAACTTTGACTGGACTGTGACATTTCAGGCCTACCACAAAATGACCTATTAATATAATTTCAGTGATCTTCTCGTTAGCTCAGGAGAAAGTGTTAATGAAGACAAGGCAGCTGATATCAGAAAAGAGTGGTGGTGCTTGAAATCATCTTCTTTTGTTAACCATGGTTACCTCCAAGGAAACCTTCACAGTCATCATTGCTTTGCATCAAAAGAATTTCACAGGCAGGGACATTGCTGCTTGTAAGATTGCACCTAAATCAACTATTTATTGGATCATCAAGAACTTCAAGGAGAGAGGTTCAATTACTGTGAGGTAGGCTTCAGGGCGCCCAAGAAAGTCCAGCAAGTGCCAGGACTTTCTCCTAAAGTGGTTTCAGCTACGGGATCAGGTCACCACCAGTGCAGACCTTGTTCAGGAATGGCAGCAGGCAGCTATGAGTGCATCTGCATGCGCAGTGGGGCGAAGGCTTTTGGAGGATGGCCTGGTGTCAAGAAGGGCTGCAAAGAAGCCACTTCTCTTCAAGAAAAACATCAAAGACAGACTGACATTCTGCAGGAAGCACAGGGATTGGACTGCAGAGGATTGGGGTAAAGTTGTTTTCTCTGATGAATCCGCCTTGAGACTGTTTGGGACATCTGGAAAAATGATTGTCTGGAGAAGAAAAGGTGAGCACTACCATGAGTCCTCTGTCATGCCAACAGTAAAGCTTCTCATCCAAGTGAGTGTGCTCACTCACAGTTTTGCCCATAAACACTTCCATGAATAAAGAACATTATCAAAACATCCTCCAAGAGTAACTTCCCCCAATGCTCCAGCAGCAATTTGGTGATGAACAATGCTTTTTCCAGCATGACAGAGCACCATGTCACAAGGCAAAAGTGATAACTAAGTGGCTTGGTGAACAAAACATTGAAATTTTTGGTCCAGGGCCAGGAAACTCCCCAGATCTCAATCCTATTGAGAACCTGCAATTAATCCTCAAAATACAGGTGGACAAACAAAAACACAAATTGTGATAAACCTCAAGCACCGATTAGGCAAGAATGAGTTGCCATCAGTCAGGATTTGGCACAGAAGTTGATATCCAGCATGCCAGGGCGAGTTGCACAAGTCTTGAAAAAGAAGGGTCAACACTGTAAATATTGAGTCTTTGCATAAACTTGATATTTGTCAATAACGTGCTTATAATTGTACTTCCAAACATCTGACAAAAAGATCTAAACACATGGAAGCAGCAAACTTTGTAAAAACCAAAATTTTTGTCAGTCTCAAAACTTTTGGCCACAACTGCACAATGCTGTCCTACAATACTTGCAGTGCATGATGTTGAATTTGGCTTCAAATAACAAACTCTGCATTATAGATGAAATTTTTACTCTGAAAGACCGCACTGAAGCGCTACACACATTAAATGCAGTGTTTGAAGAAAAAAGGCAAAACAGCTTGAAATTGTTGGCTAGCATGTAGTTTAGATAGCAAGTATGCTAGTTTGTATAACAGCTAATTTAGCTGAATTTGTCAGCTAATCTAGTTGAAGTTTTAGTAACTTACAGAGCCTATTCCTTTAAAACTTAATAAACATGAGCTGAATTAGCTACTACACTAGCTAGCTAGCATTCTTGCAATACAAGTTACAGACTAGCCAAACATTTCTTTCCTTTAAACACTGTAGTAGTGCTTTAGTTCTGTCCTTCAGAAGGTTTTTCTGTAATCAAAGGCTCATTACCTGAATCATTGTTAAACATAACAGCTTTTAAGTAGAAGTTTATATGATGCAATGCTTTAACTAATAATAGGACTTCTCTATTGAATACCTGAGATTTGACTAGGGCTTGCATGAAGTGACTTGTGAACATCACTGGCATTAATTGAGTGATTTATCTGACCAAAAAAAACAAAAACAAAACATTATATGTACCTTAATGTCTCCAGTTTGCAGTGTCTATCCTCCAGTCTAGAAGAGAGCAGCTTCTCTCCTAATTCTCCAGGGTGATTATAGCTCAGATCGAGCTCTCTCAGCTGAAAGGGGTTTGATTTCAGAGCTAAAGCCAGAGACGAACATCCCCCCACTGTGATCATGCAACCAGATAATCTACTTAGACAGAAATACAGGAAAGAAATATGTTCAGACAAAATTGCCTTCCTTCTAAAAATTCATTGTCCATTTCCATGAAAAAGTCTTTACCCCTCATGATTTCTTCTATTTTGCGTATTTGTCACACTTTAAGATCTTCATTCAAAATCTGATATGACAAAGACAACCAAAGAAAACATAAAATGAAAATTCAAATTACCATTTAATTTACTGAGGGAAAAAGTTATCCAACTGTTTCAAAGAAACTAGACACATCCTGGCTTGATTATTGCCAGCACTGCTAAACATCATTTAAACAGAACTTGTCTAGCAATGTGGAGTAATGCCAAAATAAAAAAAAAATACAGAAGAAGTGAAAAACAAAAATACTGAAATATGCCAGTCTGGAAAGTGTTAACTCCAGTGAACCACATTGAGAACGATTATCTCCAAACTGAGAAAACTGGTGTACAGTAGTGAGTCTTCAGGAGTTTCTTTACATCTGATATAAAGCTGACATAGCATTCTACAGTAAGAGCATCATACCAACAGGGAAACATGGTGGTGGTAGTGTGATGTGGGGATGCTGCTGCTTCAGGGCCTGGATGACCAGGAATTTTGCTCTCTGTGTCTCTAGTTATAAGAATGGTTTGGTTAAAGTTGTTCATGCTGAAGTTGGCACAACAAAATAAGTACATTTAGGGGGTCAATTAGAGAAAATCAGGAGAGGGCAGATACTTTTTCATGGCACTGTAACCCAGCAACAATCTATACTACATCAGTGAACACATTTCCTAACCCCAGGTTCTGGAGTATGCAGTTTGGATGTTTCAGTCCAGTAGAGAGAAGTTTTACTCCTGAATCCTGCAGATCATTGTCTCCCAGGTTCAGCTTTCTCAACACAGAGTAAGAGCTTAACGCCACAGTAAGATAGAAGCATGCTTTCTTTGAGAGTTTACAGTCTCTCAGCCTGGGAGAAAAGAGAACAACGAGTTAAGAAACAGTGGAGAAATATTTAAGATGTTTTCATTTAAAGCGTTTCAACACACACACACATACACACACATATGAACCACATTGAGAGCTACTCTTGTATAACGTACCCCAGAATCTGTAGTTGACAGTGTGGACTCATCAGTCCACTGCAAAGACGTTTTGCTCCCACATCTCTAATACTGCTTCTGTCCAGAGTCAGTTCTCTCAAGAATGAATGTTTGAGAACTGAGGCCAAATCAGTGCAGCAATCTTCATCAATCATATTACCTGATAGTCTTTGAGAAAAGAAAAACATACACACAAAATCTAATTGTAAATAGTATAAAAACAACATAGTAAATGTTGAAACTGAGAAATTTTATTATTTTGTGAAAATAGATGTCCATTTGATGCCAGCAACACATAAAAAAGTTGGGGTAGGGTCATGTTTACCACTTAGTTGCATTGCCTTCTCTTTTAATAACACTCTGTAAGCATTTGGGAACTGAGGAGACCAACTGCTGTCGTTTTGAAGGTGAAATGTGTTCCCATTTTGCTTGATATTGGATTTCAGCTGCATAACAGTTTGGGGTCTCCTTTGTCTTATTTTTCATTTCATAATGCAGTAAATGTTTTCAGTGGTGACAGGTTTAGACTGCAGGTAGGCCAAGTTAGCACCCAGACTGTTTTACTATGGAGCAATGCTTTTGTAATACGTGCAGAATGTGGTTTTTCATTGTCTTGCTGAAATAAGCAAGGCCATCCCTGAAAAAGACATCATCTGGATGGCAGCATATGTTGCTCTAAAACCTGTATATATTGTTCAGCATCAGTGGTGCCTTCACAGATGTACAATTCACCCATACCATCACGAATGCTGGCTTTTAAACTGTGCTGGTAAGAAGCCGGATGGTCCTTCTCCTCTTTAGTCCAGAGGACATGGCGTGGCGAACATAATTTCCAAAAGCAATTTCGAATATTGATTGGTCGGACCACAGGACACTTTTCTTCCTTGCCTTAGTCCATCTTAAATGAGTTTGGGCCCAGAGAAGGTGGCAACGTTTCCAGATCTTGTTTATATATGGTTGCTTCTTTGCATGGCAGAATTGTAACTTGCATTTGTGGATGCAGTGATCAACTGTGTTCACAGACAGTGGTTTTCAGAAGTGTTCCTGAGCCCATGCAGTGATTTCCACTACAGCATCATCTGTTTTTAATGCAGTGCCGTCTGAGGGCCCGAAAATCATGGCCAGCCAATATTGGTTTCAGCCTTTTCCTTCACATACAGAAATTTCTCTAGATTATCTGAATATTTTAATGATATTATATACCATTGATTATGAAATTTCCCTGTCCTTTGCTATTTTGCTCTATTTGCCTACTGCACCTTTATTCTGAAAGTCTCAGCTTCTCTGGGATGCTCTTTTTATACCTTAAAGGAATCTGCTACATTTGTACATCCGCTGTACCTGGGAGTACATCTGCTGTACCTGGGAGGACAATGGGAGGACATTCTGAAAAGTTATTCCTGGCGGTCTATGTATTGGTTAAGAACAGCTCTTGCTTCTGTACCTAATTTCTTATGGTCCAGGAGCAGCTATCTGCCTGGGCCTATATAAACATTGGCATTTCCAATGTTTGGAAATGCCAACATTTTGGAACCTCTTCCAGCCTACTCAGCATATGCAAATATTTTTTCTGAGGTTCTCAGAAATACCATTTGACTGAGACATGGCATACACAGTTCCAAACTGACAATTCTAGAGGTTCGCATACTTTTTCCTACCAAAATACATAATGTTGGATCACTTTGCTCAATAAGTGAAAGAAAAACTATCAGATCACTTGTGTTATTTATTTAGTAGATTTCTGTTGTTATACCTTCAATGATCTGATCACATTTTAGGTCAAACTTATGCAGCAACTCATGTATTTCTTTACATTTTTCATATTGTAGTTTGTTCAAGAAATGTTTTGGCATATTAGTTTTGGGTTATGTGTTGACAGAGAGTGAAGTATGAGAGAAAAACTGCTTAGGTACAGAGTGGCTGTGTCCAGCAGCAGCTGGAAAATAAAGCACCAAGCAACTTGTGCAAAAGCTGTGATTCCTTTAACAGCTGTAAGCACTACAATATAAAATCAGTCACAATCAAGTAATCAGCAAGAAAATACCAGTTATCATCCACAAATACTAAAGTACTTTTACCTTATTATCTCTATGTCACAGTAAGGGCTCAGGAGACCCTGAAGGACAGATTTCACTCCTTTGGTGGTCAGTTTATTGTAGCTGAGGTCCAACTCTCTCAGTCGACATTCTGATGACCAAAGGGCTGAACCCAAAATTTTAGCGCTGTCATCTTTCAAACCGCATGCAAAAACGCTGGAACAAAAAAAGTGTTATCAAATGTCCAAATAAGTCAAAGTGTCAAAGTATGACCCAACTTACTCACTTAAGTGTGTGTGGCTGAATGTGGGGCCCCATAAGAACAGCTCTCAAAAGCTCTGCTCCTTTTTTCTCCAAGTTGATGTGACTGAGGTTCAGAGTCTCCAGTCTGCAATGTGGACTATTCAGTCCTGCACAGAGTGATGCCAGACCACTGTCGCCCAAAAAATTCTGGCTGAGGTCCAGTTCTCTTAAGTGTGCTTTGGGATTCTGAAGTGCAGAGGCCACAGTCTCACAGCATTTATTTGACAGCCTGCAATCAGCCATTCTGCAGATGAAGATTTAATTAAATCAGTTTCCTGTAGTGCATGTTTTACAATAAACATTGGCAATAAGGTGATTTACAGAATTTAGCCAGTGATCTATGAGATGAACCAGTGTCCATGCAAGTTAGATCTAGGTGGAACCAAGGTACAAAATACAGGGGGTACTGGGGGGACACCCAATTAGCATTTTTTGGACCCCCCGAATGTCTCAAAATCAAAATTCTAAAGAGTCCCAGAGAATAAACTTATTACAATGTTATGTTGTCTGTTAGAGTAAAATAAACACTCAAATCCAGATTCAGTAAAGTTCACTGTTTAGCTTCTCCCACAATCAGTTTCTGTCTTTGGTGTTCTTAACTAACTAGACCTGCAGCACTGCTCTGCCTCAGGGTGTGTAAGTTTAGTATGTCTATACAGGAGATTTTCAAAAGATAGTGGATGTAATTCATGCAAAAATGTACAATGTAATAAATGTACACTGGCTATATCAAGTGCTCTTACTGTTAAATGTTGCTGAAGAAAAAAAAAAAAATTATACACTCACAAAGCCTTTCTGCAGTTCCTCACAGCTGGGACCAACCTTTTACGACTCCCTTCAGATGTATTGTATTTCTTCAGGTCCAGCGTTTCCAGAACATCCCCTGACATCAGAATGATGTAGGCCAGGGTGGAGCACTGTCCAGCTGTCAGTTTGTGCTCAGCTTGTCTGTCTGAGGTCAAGAACCTTCGGATCTCCTCTGCCATTGAGTGATCATTGAGCTCCAGGAGACAGTGAAGGAGGTTAATGCATCGTTCTGAGGAGGGAGTCTTTCTGTCATCCTCTTCTCTGAGCTTGCTCCTGAGGTACTGGACAGTCTGACGAATGTTCTGCCCACTTTCTACACACACTGAAAATGAGTTGAGCAGCTTCTGGTTTGACTCCAGCGAGAGGCCAAGGAGGAAACGAAGGAACAGATCTAAATGCCCACTTTTACTCTTCAAAGCTTCATCAATGGCGCATTTCTGTAAGTCATACAAAATAATTTCTTGCTGAGGAACCCTTGCTGGAAGGTCAAAATCTTCATGATCGCTTCCGCTGAAGTTTTGGTCAACGCTGGAGTCATCAAAGTCATCATAATAGTCCTCATCATGGAATGCTGTGGCACGTGTGTTTAGGCTGGATTGCATTGCGTTCACTCCTGTGTCAGCGTATGTGTGGATGACAAAGAAAGCTGCAAGATACTCTTGAAAGCTCAAGTGCACAAAGCTGTACTTCTTCACCGAAAACATCGGATCCTCCTCCTTGACAATCTCAGTGAACAACCCTGACCTCAGCGAGGCTTCAGTGACATCAATGTCATACAGTTTCAAATCATCTTCTGAAAACACGATGTTGCTTTTTTGCAGATTGTCGAAGGCCAGTTTTCCAAGTTTAAGAATAAGCTGAACATCTCCCTCGGAGAGCTTCCGAGGATCACTTTCTCTTTTCCCAAGATATTTCTTCTTTTTTTCACTTGTTTGAGTGAGTAAGAATCGCGTGTACAGCTCAGTAAGAGATGATGGGATTTTTTCATGGCCTCCCTTCAGCATTTGTTCCAGGACTGTAGCTGTGATCCAGCAGAAGACCGGTATATGGCACATGATCTCAAGGGTCCTTGAGTTCCTCACATGTGAAATGATCCTACTGGCCAAGCTCTGGTCGCTGATCCTCTTCTTGAAGTACTCCTCCTTCTGCAAGTCTGTGAATCCTCGTACTTCTGTCATACGATGGATCAGACCTGGAGGAATCTTGTCTATCGCAGCCGGCCGAGAAGTTATCCACACCAAAGCAGAGGGAAGCAGATTCCCATCAATGAGGTTAGTCATCAGCTCATCCAGCGATGCTGCTTTGGAAACATTAGAAACTCTTTTCCATCCAAAATCCAGAGGAAGCTGACTTTCATCTAGACCATCAAAGATGAACAGAATTTTGCATTCATTGTAATATTTTGTATCCTCAAATTCTTTGAGTTCAGAGTGAAAGTCAAGCAGAAGCTCGTGGAGACTCTGTTCCTCATCTTTGATTGAGTTCAACTCACGGAAAGGCAGCACCAACAGAAGATCAATGTCCTGATTGGCTTTTCCTTCAGCCCAGTCAAGAATGAACTTCTGGACAGAGACTGTTTTTCCAATGCCAGCAATTCCTTTAGTCAACACAACTCTGGGCTGTCTTTTTTCAGCTTTTTGAAACTGTGGAGGAGTGATGCCTCTAGCCTTTTCTTCTTCTGTTTGTTTTTGATGATCTTGGATGTTTAAGGGTTTGAAGATGTCATTGCAGCTGATTGGCAGGTCTTGTTCAGGAGGTGTCTTGAATGTTGCATCAATCTGCCAAACCTCATGTTCCTTATTCAGTCCTTCTCTTTCTCCCTCTGTGATGTAGAGCTCTGTATAGATCTTATTTAATAAAGTTGGGTTTCCCCTCTTTGCAATTCCCTCAAAGATTGTTTCAAATTTCCTTTTTAAGTTACATTTCAGTACTTCTGTGACCCTCTCTGAAATGCTGCATGCTGAAAATAAATAACCATGTGTCAGAATATTAAAAGTGATGCAGATACAGTGATATTATAATGAAACTAGGGTTGGTTGGCACAGTGGTTTGGTTGATACAGTATTAACTTCTGAGTCAGTAGGTGGAACTCTCACAACAATACCTAATACAATACGCTTTGATCGACCTTTTCTCCACTTAAAAGCTGCTAATGTTATATTCTATTAAAGTGGAGATAATATTTTGTTTTATTTGTTAAAACAAAAATGTCTACCTTCAGCAAATACATGATAGATAGCAAGCTAAAGTCAATTCAATACAGAGTTGTGTCTTGGTGTGAGTGACTGACGTAATTAGAGTTGGTAAGTTTACTACACTGTACTACATAATCGTTTTATTAACTTTTCATAAATTTGTAGCAAGCTGTTCTTACCTCTAAGCTTAAGGCCATTTCATCTGTTTGAGTATATCTAATGATTTAAATAATAAGACTTTGACCCAAATTATTTTTACATGTAATATTATTTTTTAAATAGATTTACAGTTTTTTCTTAAATTTAAAAACATTCAGATTGTTTATAATGAATTGTGATATTTTACTACAAACTGACTAAAGGAAAAAAGAATTTAAAAGCTTTTCTTCATGCATTAATTTTCGTAGTATTGTTCTTTTTGTTGTTCTTCAATACAAGCTAATGCTAATGAAACATTATAAACAGTTCATTTATTAAAATTGTTAATTGGTTGCCACTGAATGTCTATATTTCTGAATTGGTTTGAATTAAAAGCTCTTATTATTTCATTCTTTGAAACCATAACTTTTTAATTTTAATGAACCCCATAACATTGGGGCTCATTGGCACAAGTGCACATTTACTTATTGAATGCACTAATTCCAGGAAATATTTCCTGACATTGCTGTTTGCCTTTCTTTGCTGCTGGTTGAGTTGGCCTAATGTATGATATGCCTGGGATACACGGTGAGTGAAAACTGTGCCAATCAACCCCACTGTCTCCTGCTGTTATAGCAGTGCAATGAAATTATTAAATGACAACATTTGCAATCTAAATACAGCACTTACCAATATTTGAACGTCCTTTAGAAGTCTGTTGATGAATCTGATTAATAGTTGCTGGAAGAAAAAAAACGCACAGACATTATTTGCTTTTATTCAAGCATTCTTTGCTTATTATGAGGAAGTTTGGCTAATCGCTTTCTCCTGAAATTTTGCATGTGAGGCATCAGTGTCTATTAAACAGCTTAGAATTAAATGGATATTGGTACAGTCTTTGTGCAACTAGTACATAGTTGTGTATTTTTACCTGCTGAGTTGAAAGAACCTCCAATGTTGCAGTTATTCAGCTGGACTACATTAGCAACCCCACCGTCCTGAGCCGTAACAGAGAATCTGTAAGAGATGCCCTCAGGTGGAGAAGTAGATGCTGAAGATGCTGCTTGATCCTCCATGGTGGACCCACTGATTTATGAAGCTGACGTAGGATCGGCTTTTCTCATTAAAAACCCACACTGTAAAAGAAACAACAGAACATGTTGTCAACATGTTCAAATGATCTATAAAATTTTTAAAAAGACACAGTCATTTTTGCATGTGGATTCTGCTCTGCTACTCTCACTCCAATAGCTGTATTATTACTCTTTATAACAGAAGTGCCAATAGCAATAGCATAGCGCAAAATTCTGACCCTAAGTAGCATGTCACAGTAATGTGTTTATTTTCCAATAAAAACCTTGACATGTGTATTTATACAAATTATTATTTACATATGAAATAAGACAGCTTTTTTTCATTAATGTACTGTTGTGTTTGGAAAACTATTTGGAATTTAAAAATTTGGGATTAAACAATGAGCCTCGTGCACTGACAATAGCTGCAAGAGGCAGCCTGAAGATGGCGCTTCAGCCCCATGCAAGACATCCCATTCCAAAAAACAGGGACAGTACTATGAAGTTGCCCCCCTTTGTGACTTTAACAGCCTCCACTCTTCTGTGAAGCTTTCTACAAGATTTTGGAGTGTGTCTGTGGAAATTTGTGCCCATTCAGTCAAAAGAGCAGGTCAGACACTGATGTTGGACGAGAGGGCCTGGATCACAATCTCCGTTCTAGTTCATCCCAAAGGTGTTCAGTGGTGTTGAGGTCAGGGCTCTGTGCAGCCACTGGAGTTCCTCCACACCAAACTGGTCACTCCATGTCTTTATGGAGCTGCTTTGTGCACAGGGGCTCAGTCATGATGGAACAGGACAGCTCTTCCCCAAACTGCTGACACAAAGCTGGAAGCAGATAACTGTGTAAAATGTCTTTGTGCTGCAGCATCAACATCACCCTTCACTGGAACTGAGGGGCCCAAACCCTGAAAAACAGCCCAGCCCATCATCCCTCCTCCACCAAACACTACTGTTGGCGCTATGCATTCCAGTAGATACTAAGGTATTGGACTCACAATACCTTAGCAACCACCTGGGATACCACAGCAATTGCCTATCAACACATGAACAACCACTTGGAATACCATAGTAACAGCCTAACAACACCTCCAAAACCACCTTAAATTCCATAGCAAAGACCTAACAACATTCTTAGCAGCCACTTGGGATACCATCACATAGCAGCTTTATAGAAAATCCAGCATAAGGTTTGCTCATAAACTTTCCCATTCTGGTTACATTTAGAATTAGAACTGAATAATTTTACAATTAGAATTTAACTAATGTCCACCACCAAAAATGTAAAATTAATATGCACATTTTACATCTAATTCTTGGGGCATCCCTGGTCCAATGCATGCCCTGAGGGCCCCTCCCCTACTCTAGTCAATTAAATTCATAACATAATGTAGTATTTTGCAGGGTTTCAGTGATGAATTAAATTGTGTCAAACATTAAAATGGTTCACTAACTAATGGAACACTAATTCTGATATGCTGTCACACTGTGGTGTCAAAATGGAAAAATAAAACATTTAAAATCTATGCTAATTTGTAGAATACTGTAATGCTGCACAAACACAGAAAGACGCTCGCGGATCTTAAAAAGGAAATGGTTTAATGAGAGACAGTATAAGGGCAAATCCAAAAATCGAAATCCAAAAAGCCTTGCCAAAGTCGAAAACCAGAGGACACAAAAATGCACAAACAACCAGAGCAAAAGGGCAAACACTAAAACGCAATATCCAGAAACAGGCAAAGGGTCTGATACACAAGATTAGAAAAACAGTCGAAGAAACGCTCAGTAGTCCAAAAAAGGGCAATACCTCGCAGTGAGGAGAACAAACCAGGAACTATATAAAGCCTAAAACACAGGTGTAAAGCATTAGTACTCAGGTGACTGAGAACAAGGAAGCTGTTTGTGATTGGTGGACGGAGTGACATCATCAGGATTGGGATTATGGGAATTGGAGTCCTGGAGAGTATTAGACAAGGGAGGAGAACCCGGAAGTGTGACAAATACATTTAGAAATTGGCAAATATATGTGGAGATTTAAGTCACTCAAATGTACAAATATTCTGACAATAAATTTTAAAATATATTTTAGAAACAAACCTATCTAAGATGTTTGTAATAATTTAAGAGTTTTTATTGGAGTAAATGTCTGGCTTCATTTGCACCTAGAAACTCTGCATACATCTGCAGCTGCATACATGTGGTATTTTGCAATGAAAAATCTGAACGGATGTAATGTTTCCTGTGTAGTTCTTCTACTAAGACTACTAAGTCAGCAATTTTTGAGGTAGTGGCTGTTTTGTTTCCTGAATGTAATTGTGAGCTTTTTCAGTGTCTTTAATTCTACCATTCTGATGTTTATTTTATTGTACTATTGTTTTGTTTTACTGTTTGATGTATTTTCTTATTTTTTTCTTTTTTTATTGTATTTTATTTCCACATGTGCAGGAGCAGCTGAATCAATGAAATAAAAAATAATATTATTCTTAAGTTTTTTAATCTTCTCTTGTAGATTTCAGAATACACAAGCCTTTCATTTCAAAAATAAAAAAAAACTTAAACAATTAAGAAATAATAAAAAAACTATCCAGCACAGAACAGTTTCTGCTTGTTATGTATTTGAAATATATACTATATCCATGTATTTCTTTTCTATATGAGACTATTGACTTTAAAGTATAAAAATAATTTGTTATAAATTGTTAATTAGGCCAGTACAACACATTTTCCAGTACTTTTAGATCCACCTATAATGTTTGTGTGGTTTTATGTAGCAAAATTTGTCACAATTTATTTTTACACACATTTTCCAATCTCTCTTTATCCCTTACAATTAAACAGACTGTTTTTGATACTATGCCTTTAAGACTGAAATATGTAAATGAGCTCTGTTCTGACTGGCTGTCCTGCATCGTGCCTCGTTCAAAAAGCACACAGAGCTGAAACATTGCCTATAACTTCAGAATCAATGAAGACAGCATAAACCAGCACCAGACCGGTTTTATATCAGCATAAACCAGCAACAGAGCATCTTAGACTAGCATAAACCAGCACTCCACCAGTTTAGACCAGCATAAACCAGCACCAGACCAGTTTTATATCAGCATAAACCAGCAACAGAGCACCTTAGACTAGCATAAACCAGCACTACACCGTTTAGACCAGCATAAACCAGCACCAGACCAGTTTTATATCAGCATTAACCAGCAACAGAGCATTTTAGACTAGCATAAACCAGCACTGCACCAGTTTTATATCAGCATAAACCAGCACCAGACCAGTTCAGACCAGCATAAACCAACACCAGAACAATTGTGCTGTTTTCTTTCTGCTGCAGGTCTGTATGGACTGGACAGTGAACTGTACGGTTTTGAAACATTGATAATGTTACGATTTTACTTTAAATTACTCCTGTATTTAAGAAAATTCCATTTTTCATGATATTCGCTCCTGCTGAGAGAATCATGGTGGAGGATGAGAATGTAAAACTGTACTAACCGCAGGGACACTGACCAGAAGGCGCTGAGCTTCGGGCCGGTGCGCTGCAGCAGGTGCACGCTCTGCAGCAGGTGCACGCTCTGCTCCTGCAACCCTAGTAGCTTATGCAGATACTAAGAGGACTGTTTACATGTGCATTTGAGTTTGTTGAGTTTCTTATCTTCTCCAGAGTTCATCTTAATTGTTACATTGCATTTTCTAGTCTCCACTCTGCAGTGAAGTCTACAGTGAACTCCACTCTGCTTCCACTCTGTTCCTCTGAAAGCACCTCTGACTTTGATTTCCGACCCTACACTGGGCTGTAGTTGAGTGTCTTAACAAATGAAGAAACTGTGCTGCCTTAAAGTCTTGAGTTCATGAAGCGTTAAACAACAGGTTAAAACAGAACATAAGGTGCAATTCTTCTGTTGCCGAGAAGACGAGATTATCAAGTTTCAGATCTATCCTCCTCGGTCTTCATCTGTTTCCTCCTCCTCATCTCTTAAATGGACTTTCAGTCTTTAACTCATTTTAAAAGCACTCACCCAACGCTGAGTCTGAGAATCGAGACCCAGCCCTCCATTCTGCTCGAGTTGTGGACCAAAAACCAGCGACGTTCCTCTGAACACGGAAGCTGAAGCTCTGGAGATACTCAGATGCGCTGTATAGATGCTTGGCTGGTTTTACAGGAAACACATCATCAAAGCCTTACGAAACCATGAGGACTGACAGGATGAGGTTTACTGGGCTTAAGGAGGGGTGTGTGTGTGGTTGGGGTGGAGGCATTTGAAGTCAGACCTTTTTGTAATAAGTGTAGAAATGCTGTGTTATTTTGATTATGCATGTTTACCGTCGGCCTATTAACTCAGTTCACTCTGTTTTTCAACTATAACAGAAACTAGAGGGAAGAGATTTGAGTGGAGCATCACTGCAGCACTTGCTGGGACACAGTACACAGAAAGGAAATACATGGGCATGTATATATTTTATATATCGCTGTTGTCAGAAGAAAACCTTATATTTCCAAACTGGTAACTTTACAGGAGATGGAAAAACTTTACTTTACTTTTAATGTTAAGTCAGTGGAACCAGACATTTTTCCAAGTCATTTTGGGCCATTTCTGTTAGTCCATTCATCATGAAATTTACACACAATGTAAAGAACAACAGGTATTTTCAAATTATGTCAAAAGCTGAAAAACATCAAAAATGGAGATACGAGGTTTTCTTCTGACAGCAGCGATATATATATATAATATATATATATATATATATATATATATATATATATATATGTATATAAGATACATGTGAAGTGCATTGTTTGAAATGTATGTGTGTGGATGTATTTAAAAAGCATGTTTTTGTTCCTTTTGGACATTTTCATACTTTTTCAAACGTATTTGTTAAACATATTTTGCATGCGTTTCTTTTTCATATGGGTAGATTAAAGGCTGAACTTCATGCTTTTAACCACCAGGTGCCGCCATTTCTGCACTAAGTAATTAACCCTTTACCTTTTAGCAGAGAACTTGTAGAGAGGAGAATTATGTCCAAAATGAATGGGTTAATATGAAACATTTGAGCAAAATCATACCTAGATAGCAAAATTTGTCTGGCTCACTTGTGGGCCACATCCTTTGTTTGTTCTGGCCCAATATACGGCTGGGTCCTCAGCCCAGATCTGGCCCACACACTGTAAAGTGAGTAGAACTAAACAATATGGCCCAAATCTGGTCCCAATTTTTCCCAACTACATTGTCCGTCCACGATATTCACACCAGAATTGTCTCACAAATATTGACATGAGACAAAACGGTATGAAGCTGTCCAGGATCTGGCCCTATTCTGGCCCACATGCCTAACGTCTACCCAGTAGTCAACCAACACTCACATAGAAAAGCCAGAATCGACCCAACACTGTCTGCTATGTGAGTAGTTTATAAATGCTTAAACATTTTTAATGTAAAAGAATAATTCATTCATTTCCTGAACAACATAAAATATTTTAACACCACTGTTATATTTTAAAGAGCTTTTAAACTCAAGTTATAGGAGTTTAAAATGGCGCCTCATTAACGTTCATGATGTCAGTGAGCGCAAACAGCCAATGAGCTGCTCCGCTCGCCAACCAATCAGCACTCAGTATCAGTAATGTGAGCGTCCTGCTGTCCAAAACCTGTTTGCTGTAGAAAGAAGGAAATGTACAGGTTTTCTTTGCTTTTTTAGTGAAATACATCCTTCTACTTTCTAAAACTAAAGGAAAGTTCTGGTTCAGTAATTAGAAAATATTTTAACTTTTTGTTTTTAGCCGTTTAGCTCCATTCACTCCCATTCATTGAGGACTCAGTCGTGGGCGCCCTCTGCTGTTTTGCAGTCCTGTTTTTGATATAACGGGGAAAACAGAAAGAGGCCAGACTCCTCATAAACCGGCTCTGCTTTTAGTTCTGACGGTACAATCTGATTGGCTGAGGAGTGTTGTACCCGTTGACAATATAAATCAACTAGACCCAGTCATCCTGCTGTTTTCAGCTGAGGTCAATCTTTTTTAAAAAAAGGGCATTATTATTTTTTTGCAAACAAAATACAAACAATAATGGCAGTGCTGCGTGCAATAATTTGCATAACACAAACAGAGTCCGGTCAAGTACAAAAATACTATTAAGAAGCAAATAAATATATAAATATGGGCTCCTGAGTAGTGCAACTGTCTAAGTGTTGACCTATTACATTACATTGGACTATACATAGCTGGACAGGACTATACAGGTCTATGCAAGACTATACAGGACTATTCAGATCTATCCAGGACTATACAGGACTATACAGGTCTATCCAGGACTATCCAGGACTATACAGGTCTATACAGGACTATACAGGTCTATCCAGGACTATCCAGGACTATACAGGTCTATACAGGACTATACAGGTCTATACAGGACTATAAAGGACCATCCAGGTCTATCCAGGACTATCCAGGACTATACAGGTCTATACAGGACTATACAGGTCTATCAGCGAGGCATCTATAAAAAAAGGACCATCCAGGTCTATACAGACATATACAGGTCTCATGCAGTATTTGCATAACAAAGGACCCATCCAGTCGTCTATACAGGACTATATAACAGGGCTCCTGAGTAGTGCAACTGTCTAAGTGTTGACCTATTACATTACGTTGGACTATACATGTCTATACAGGACTATACAGGTCTATGCAGGACTATACAGGTCTATCCAGATCTATCCAGGACTATACAGGACTATACAGGTCTATCCAGGACTATCCAGGACTATACAGGTCTATACAGGACTATACAGGTCTATACAGGTCTATACAGGGCTATACAGGTCTATACAGATTTATACAGGACTATGTGACATAGGGCTATACAGGACATACAGGGTCTCATAACATGTTGACATATAAATAAACTAGACCCTGTCCTCCTGGACTTTACAGGTCTCTATACAGATCAAACAGGGCATTATCCATGTCTATACAGGACATATACAGGTCTATCATGGCATGCCAGGACAATACAGGACCAATACAGGTCTATACAGGACTATGAAGGACCATCCAGGTCTATACAGGACTATACAGGGCTCCTGAGTAGTGCAACTGTCTAAGTGTTGACCTATTACATTACATTGGACTATACATAGCTGGACAGGACAATACAGGTCTATGCAAGACTATACAGGACTATTCAGATCTATCCAGGACTATACAGGACTATACAGGTCTATCCAGGACTATCCAGGACTATACAGGTCTATACAGGACTATAAAGGACCATCCAGGTCTATACAGGACTATACAGGTCTATACAGGTCTATACAGGACTATACAGGGCTCCTGAGTAGTGCAACTGTCTAAGTGTTGACCTATTACATTACGTTGGACTATACAGGTCTATACAGGACTACCCAGGTCTATACAGGACTATACAGGTCTATCCAGGACAATACAGAACAATACAGGTCAATACAGGACTATACAGGTCTATACAGGTTCATACAGGACCATACAGGACTATCCAAGTCTATCCAGGACTATACAGGTCTATACAGGACTATACAGGACTATAAAGGACCATCCAGGTCTATACAGGACTATACAGGTCTATACAGGTCTATACAGGGCTATACAGGGCTATACAGGACTACACAGGTCTATACAGGGCTATACAGGACTATACAGGTCTATACAGGTCTATACAGATTTATACAGGACTATGTTTTTGATATAATGGGAAAAACAGGAAGAGGCCAGACTTCTCATAACCTGTTGACAATATAAATAAACTAGACCCTGTCCTCCTGCTGTTTTCAGCTGAGGTCAATCTTTTAAAAAAAAAAGGGCATTATTATTTTTTTACAAACAAAATACAAACAATAATGGCAGTGCTGCATGCAATTATTTGCATAACACAAACCCAGTCCAGTCAAGTACAAAAATACTATTAAGAAGCAAATAAATATATAAATATGGGCTCATGAGTAGGGCAACTGTCTAAGTGTTGACCTATTACATTACGTTGGACTATACATAGCTGGACAGGACTATACAGGTCTATGCAGGACTATACAGGACTATTCAGATCTATACAGGACTATACAGGACTATACAGGTCTATCCAGGTCTATCTAGGACTATACAGGACTATACAGGTCTATACAGGACTATACAGGTCTATACAGGACTATAAAGGACCATCCAGGTCTATACAGGACTATAAAGGACCATCCAGGTCTATACAGGACTATACAGGGCTACTGAGTAGTGCAACTGTTTAAGTATTGACCTGTTACATTATGTTGGACTATACAGGTCTATACAGGACTATACAGGACTATCCAGGTCTATACAGGACTATACAGGTCTATCCAGGTCTATCCAGGACAATACAGGACAATACAGGTCTATACAGGACTATGAAGGACCATCCAGGTCTATACAGGACTATACAGGGCTCCTGAGTAGTGCAACTGTCTAAGTGTTGACCTATTACATTACGTTGGACTACACAGGTCTATACAGGACTATACAGGACTACCCAGGTCTATGCAGGATTATACAGGTCTATCCAGGACAATACAGGACAATACACGTCTATCCAGGACTATACAGGATAATACAGGTCTATCCAGGACTGTACAGGTCTATACAGGTTCATACAGGACTATTCAAGTCTATCCAGGACTATCCAGGTCTATACAGGACTATACAGGACTATAAAGGACCATCCAGGTCTATACAGGACTATACAGGTCTATACAGGACTATACAGGTCTATACAGGGCTATACAGGGCTATACAGGACTATACAGGTCTATACAGATTTATACAGGACTATCCAGGTCTATGCAGAACTATCCAGGACTATACAGGAGTATACAGGGCTATACAGGACTATACAGGTCTATACAGGACTATACATGACCATCCAGGTCTATACAGGACTATACATGTCTATACAGGACTATACAGGACTATACAGGTCTATACAGCACTATACAGGACTATACAGGGCTATACAGGACTATACAGGTCTATACAGGTCTACAAAGATTTATACAGGACTATACAGGTCTATACAGGACTATACAGGTCTATCCAGGACTATAAGGTCTATACAGGACCATACAGGTCTATACAGGTCTACAAAGATTTATACAGGATTATCCAGGTCTATCCAGAACTATAAGGTCTATACAGGACCATACAGGTCTATACAGGACTACACAGGTCTATACAGGACTATACAGGACTATTCAGGTCTATACAGGGCTATACAGGACTATAGAGGTCTATACAGTTCTACAAAGATTTATACAGGACTGTCCAGGTCTATGCAGGACTATCCAGGTCTATACAGGACTATACAGGTCTATACAGGTCTATTCAGATCTATACAGTACTATCCAGGTCTATACAGGACTATACAGGTCTATACAGGTCCATACAGATCTATACAGGACTATCCAGGACTATACAGGTCTATACAGGACTATACAGGTCTATACAGGAGTATACAGGACTATCCAGGTCTATACAGGACTATCCAGGACTATACAGGTCTATACATGACTATACAGGACTATACAGGACAATACAGGTCTATACAGGACTATACAGGGCTATACAGGACTATACAGGTCTATCCAGGTCTATACAGGACCATCCAGGTCTATACATGACTATACAGGACTATCCAGGTCTATACAGGACTATCCAGGACTATCCCGGTCTATACAGGACTATACAGGACTATACAGGTCTATACAGGACTATACAGGACTATACAGGTCTATACAGGACTATACAGGGCTATACAGGACTATACAGGTATATCCAGGTCTATACAGGACCATCCAGGTCTATACATGACTATACAGGACTATACAGGTCTATACAGGACTATACAGGACTATCCAGGTCTATACATGACAATACAAGTCTATAAAGGACTATACAGGTCTATACAGGACTTTACAGGTCTATACAGGACTTTACTGGTCTATACATGACTTTACAGGTCTATACAGGTCTATACATGACTTTACAGGACTATACAGGTCTATACAGGACTATACAGGACCATTCAGGTCTATACAGGAGTTTGTTGCCCCGAAATCTGTCATCCATATCTGTGGAGTGAGTCTCATGAAGAAGTATACACTGCGCTTGTTCATTTTTACAAAGTAAACAAACAGAGTTTTCTTTAACATTGCCATTTAGCCTCTTGGCATTTACCATAATATAGGAGGTGAATACAAGAAAGGAAAAAGAATATGTAATGAGGAAAATATAGTAATAACACAGAGAGGGAAGCAGAAACTCTGCCTGTTATAGATCAGCACTGCTGAATCCTATTATTGCTCTGAAAAAATAAACAAACAGAAAACCTGTTTACTTTTTCACAGTGAAGAGACGCCCTTTGACCATCTGCACCTTTATAGCACACCAGCTTTCCTTCCAGTACAGCGCGCTCCGTTCCTCTCCGTCTGCCCTGCAGAGACGGAGTCTCTTTGCAGACTTCTGATTTTTTTTGTCATTTTCCGAATGTGGCCATGATGATCAGTGTGAACTGCATAATGACTCTACGGTCCTCGTTGCCACGAAAAAGGGTGTTTTTTGCACACAAGCTTTAAATCACAACAACAGAAGAACCATTTTTGGTGCTGTATAGAGCCATTTCCAAAACATTTCTACATACAGTCTTCAAAAAGTTCTTCAAGGGTTCTTTACAAAAAGAAAAAAAACAAGAGCACTCATAAGAACCGTTTGCATGATTGAAGGGTTCTTTGCATGTTAAAGGGGTTCTTCGGTTTGATGGAGAACGTGCTGAAGATGGTTCTATATAGGAACTTTTTGAAAAAGGGAACCAAAAGGGGTTTGTTATTATTACAGTGTCACGCTTGAACCAATAAAGAACCATTTTTTGTGCTGCTTAGAACCATCTACAACACATTCTCCATCAGTCTGAAGAACCCTTTAATCATGCAAAGGGTTCTTTGAGTGTTCATGGTTCTATATAAACCCACTGTCTGTACTAAAGAACCCTGGAAGGCCCATCTTTTTGTGAGTGTTACTGCTATTATCACTCTTAATACACGTTCTAGATATGTTCTAAACGACTCAACCGTTCTAAACGATCTAAACCAGGAACGTTCTATGCACGACCTGAGCATTTAGAACGTTCTAAGTGTTCTAAGGTCAGAGATCCGTTTCAGGAGCCGAGCGTTCTGAGTGTGAACGCTGGCAGCCAATCAGAGCGCAGGAGGGGCGTGGCCTGTTCCGAATACGGGTGGGAAATAAAGCACGCCCGTCTTTATGAAGCGCGGCGCTGGAGGAGGAAGGATGCGTCTGTTCTCCTCCATCCTTCATCCCTTCTTACCGGAGAGCGAGTGTGAACGCCGCTGGCCAATCAGAGCGCAGGGGGGCGTGCCCTGTCCTGAATACGGTGTCGCTGAAGGAGACGGCCGCTTGTGCACGAGCGGCTCTGGCGATGGTGGACACGGCAGGCGCGCGCAGGCCTGAGCTCGAGCCTGATGTATCGGTGCCGGAAATCACTCCGCTGGACCGGTACGACCCAGGCCGAGCCCGATCGCGCGCGGGGATCCGATGGCTCATCGGCAAGGCCTACGGACGCGCAGGTAAGGCTGGCTCGAGCACAATAGGTGTGCGCGTGCGTGTGTGTGCGTGGTAGGCTGTGATGGAGGACACTGAGTGTGTGTGTGTGTGTGGAAAAAGAGAACAAAAACGGGCCGTTTTGCTTTGTGTGTGTGTGTGTGTGTGTGTCTGTGTGTGTGTGTGTATGTGTGTGGTGTGTGTGTGTGTGAGACTGCACCGGTCCCCTCGCGCGGAGCCGCCGGGAGACTGACACGCCTTAGAGCAGCAGTGTTAGGCGGAGCGGCGGCTGTTACAGAGACGGAGCGGCAGGAATACAGATGCGGCTCTGCACGTGAAGGGTGCGTGCGGGGCATTAGAGTGGTGGGCTATGGAGGGGCGCGCCCCTCGCTACATCGCTGAGTGTGTGTGTGTGTGTGTGTGACTCAGTGAGCTCGTCGTGCTGTTTTGTCGCAGATTCAGAGCCAAGCGCAGTCCGGGGTGTTGGATGTAGGGGGTGTGTTATATGTGCGCGTGTGACGTCATCTGGGTTAGTGTGCCAATGTGACAACAAAGACATATATACGGGTATGAACGCATAGGATAGACAGATATATAGATAGATAGATAGATAGACAGCTAGATAGACAGAGACAGACAGATAGATAGACAGACAGAGAGACAGACAGATAGATACATAGACAGACAGATAGATAGATAGATAGATAGATAGATATATAGATAGATAGATAGAAAGACTGACAGGCAGAAGTGTTAACACAGATAGATAGAGAGAGAGAGAAATGGATGTATAGGCAGAAGAATAGATAATTAAATAGGTAGACAAATGGATAGATAGACAGATAGACAGACAGACAGACAGACAGACAGATAGATAGATAGATAGATAGATAGATAGATAGATAGAAAGACTGACAGGCAGAAGTGTCAACACAGATAGATAGATAGATAGAGAGAGAGAGAGAGAGAGAGAGAGAAACGGATGTATAGGCAGAAGAATAGATAATTAAATAGGTAGATAGATGGATAGATAGACAGACAGAAGGGTAGATAGACAGATAGAAGAATCGCAAGAGAGAGATAGACAGGAGGATAAACAGATAGATAGACATATGGGTAGATTGACTAGACAGACAGATAGATGGATAGACAGACAAGACAGGAGGATAGAGAAATAAACAGACAGGCAGATGGATGGATAGATCGATAGACAGAGAACTTTATTAGGACACTGTACTAATACTGGGTCTGGTTTCCTTTTCCTCTCTAACCAGCCTCAGTTCTTTACGGCATGGATTCCACAAGATGTTGGAAACATCATAAACATTAGGAATGTGTCGATACCATTTTTACAGCATTCCAGGGTTTTTAATACTCGCCGATACCGAGTCGATACCACACTGAGTAACCTACTCAGAATGAAGTGGTTGTTAGTGTGAAAGAGCACAATGGACCTTAACAGGTAAACCATTAAAATCTAGCTGATTTTAATGAAGTGCATTAGCTAGTTATGCTAAAGTATGTTTCATAGTTTTGATCCTCATCTATCTCTTACAGCGACATCAGGAATCACATCCCAGCCTAACGCATCTGTGGAGCTCACGCTTTGTCTTGTTGAAGTATTTTTAACTGGTTGAGCTGTAGCTGATTGTCCTCTAAAGCCAGACAGACACTGTGATTTTAGACATTTTGTTCTTTAGTGAGTTAGTGTACGTTTCAATACTCTGTCTTGTTTCACACTGTACGAAAACACTTGGTCCATGCTGTGTGCAACAGCCTCTACAGACTGTCTGTGAACAATTTCAAACATAGTGATTTCATTCAAGATAAGACACTAATTACTGAGCAAACTCGCTGAAAAAAATGCAGCTATCTCGCTATTCTATTCAGTCAAACAGAGTAAAGTCGGCATATAAGGACTTTGGTATTAAATGTTGACTTTTTCACCTCCGTTTTGTTAGCCTACGTGTCTCCACCCATGTTGGGGAAGCGGTTGTGAATGTGTTTGTGTGTGTTTAAAAACAGGCTAAAATGAACATCAATGAACACATGACTCAACCTGGCAATGAATGAGGCTCTGCTCAGTGGTCACTTTAAACGTTCCGCCTTGGCAGGAACTTTTAAAATGACCATTGACCATTGAGCAGAGTCTCCTTCATTGCCAGGTTGAGTTATTTGTTCGTTAGCGCATCACATGCTATTTTTTATGAGTCTGAGTAAATGAGCATGGTGTCGGTCCAATAGCAGATACCGTTATCAGTATTGATGCATCTCTAACATATGGTTGCACTCAAAATTATTCAACCCCCCTCAAAGTCCAAGGCAGTTTGGTAATATAAATAAAATTAATAAAATCTGTCAACCACGGCTTTAGTAAACAGTCATTTTTATTACATGTTTAAGCGATTCTAAGAACACAAAGTTGAGTCTACTGCGAACAGTTCAAATAAAACGTCATTCTCTCCACAAATGTCCATGTGCAAAATTATTCAACCCCCCAAAGTCAGTATTTCGTGGCACATCCATTACACTTTGTAAACTCCAATAAATGCTTCCAATAGGTGCTCAGAAGCTTCAGACATCTCTCTGTTGGAGTCTCTGCCTGTTCCTCACGTGCAAAACTTTAAAGCTCATTAACGTTCCTTGGTTTCCGAGCCACCACAGCTTTCTTTAAATCCGACCAAAGATTTTAAATGGAATTTGAATCCGGGGACTGAGCTGGCTACTGAAGGACATTCCAGGACTGATCCCTGAACTGAGCTTTGGTTGACTTGTCTTGAAGATCATCAAGCTTCTGGAATTTTCACCAAGGCTGGAATTTCAACGAATCCTTGATGCCAGTCAAATGGCTGACATAGCCAGTTCCTGCAGCAGCAAAACACCCCACAACAGGACTGACCACCTCCAGGTTTGACCCTGGGGATGGTGTTCTTTTTGTCATATCCTTTGCTGCTGTACTAGAAGTTTTAAACTTACTTATGATACCTCTAACTGTGTCTCTTTGAAATTAAGGTCTCTGGGATCTTCTTGCAGCCGTTGCCCTTTTTGTGCAATGAAATGATTTATTCTCGTAGCTTCTGTAAGAGCTTCTTTTTCTTTTACATGCTTGCAGCTGAGCTTCAGCACCTACATGGCTGGAATTTATACTTACACTGATCAGGCATAACACTATGACCACCTCCTTGTTTCTGTGCTCATTGTTTATTTTATCAGCTCCACTTACTATACTACTTTGTAGTTCTACAGTTACAGACTGTAGTCCATCTGTTTCTCTGATACTTTATTAGCCCCCTCTTACCCTGTTCTTCAGTGGTCAGGACCCCCATGGACCCTCACAGAGCAGGTACTATTTGGGTGGTGGGTCATTCTCAGCACTGCAGTAACACTGACGTGGTGGTGGTGTGTTAGTGTGTGTTGTGCTGGTCTGAGTGGATCAGACACAGCAGTGCTGCTGGAGTTTTTAAACACCTCAGTGTCGCTGCTGGACTGAGAATAGTCCACCAACCAAAAATATCCAGCCAACAGCGTCCTGTGGGCAGCGTCCTGTGACCACTGATGAAGGACTAGAGGATGACCAACACAAACTGTGCAGCAGCAGATGAGCTATCATCTCTGACTTTACATCTACAAGGTAGGAGTGTCTAATAGAGTGGACAGTGAGTGGACACGGTGTTTAAAAATTCCAGCAGCTGTGTCTGATCCACTCGTACCAGCGCAACACACTAACACACCACCACCACATCAGTGTTACTGCAGTGCTGAGAATGATCCACCCCCCAAATAGTACCTGCTCTGTGAGGGTCCATGGGGGTCCTGACCACTGAAAAACAGGGTAAAAGGGGGCTAACAAAGTATCAGAGAAACAGATGGACTACAGTCTGTAACTGTAGAACTACAAAGTGCACCTATATAGTAAGTGGAGCTGATAAAATGGACAATGAGCGTAGAAACAAGGAGGTGGTCATAATGTTATGCCTGATCAGTGTATATCCCAGCTGAAGCAAATTAATTGCCATTTTAGAGAATTTTGTAGCCTCACAGACTAGCAGTGATTTAGAAAAACAGCAATATTGAATAGGGGTGGAATAATTTTGAGATTGCTGTTTTAAAAAATCATCATTTTACTTTTAAATATAAAATCATTCATTTTCACTATCAATTTGAATAGATCACTCAGTTGTAGTGTATATATGTAGATTGGAACTAGGGCTCATGATATCTACAACATAAATACAGAAATGTATATAAGTAAGAAAACATTTTAAAGGGACCCCCTCCCACCCACCCTTGTGAATTGCTTCCCCAATGTATAGAATTCTGATCAATACAGTTTAAGACGTCTGGGTTCAGAAACAGTCCATATGTCTGCACTCTGAGTGAACACAGCTTTCTAGCAAACTCCAGTACTTTTATATGCATTTGTCACTACATTCTTCATGTCTTAATTTGGTTTTGAATCTTCACTGCGATTTTTACACACTACCACTTTCAGTATTATGTTTTATTTTTAGTTTCTATGTGTTTATTTTGTGTTTTAAATCATTTTGTCTGGTGTGTGATTGTCTGTTGTTGCTATCATGTTGTCTTAGGTGCTGCACAGCAAATTCCTACCAATGCTGCTGGTTAATGTGGCAATGAAGTCTTTGAGTCATCGACTTGAAGCCATTTTACTTACTATCCAGTGAACCTAAACATGGTTTCTGAGGTTTATGTGGAATGTTTACAATTAATCGGAAAAAAATAGTTTTCTTTGGAGGATATTTTGCTTCACAATGCTGTGCATGTATCCCTCTAAACTCCCATAAATGGAGTTTAAAAATATAATTTAGAGTAGAATACAGTAGAATGGAATAAAGCTTTATTACCCATTTTGGGAAAAATTGACTTTGAGCTCGCCAGGTTGAAATGCCAGATATGCCAGGAAATAACACTAAAAAAGGCTAAAATCTTCTTAAAACTATCATAAAACAGTGTCGCAGTGAATTCATAACCATTTCATGTAGTAACTTTCTGTGAGGGAGCTTTTAGAGGTGGATGTCTGGTTCGTATCACCACCACTGTGAACAGTTCTGACTTTAGACCAGAGCACTTTTTGTCTTTAATGATGAGGAAAAGTTGAAAAATAAGTGGAATTCTAGTTTAAATGTAGAGAACAAAGAGTCTATTTTCCTGAAACGCAGTCATGCCAGGCCTTTTAGCCAATTACGGATATGCTTATAGTACTTAAACCTCCCTATTCTTATTTGTGTGCTCTTGAGCTGCTTATGTAAGCACTGAAGGAGGCCAGTGTTTCTTCCTCCACATCACTGCTGCTGCTTTGCACAGGCTCTCTAAATGTGGGTCAGCGTGGGAATCCCTCTGTGTGCTGCGAGTTCTAGCTCTAGTGTGCTGGCGGGTGGCATTCGCGTGAAGGAGACCCATCAGTTTCTATCTGTATCAGACACTTGTTCCAGTGACTCGACCAGTCTCTCTCTCTTTCGAGCGGATGAGATGATGTGGTGTCAGATTTATCAGATCTTCTCTCACATCCAACTCCAGGTCCAAAAGGAATAGCACTAGAAACTGTAGAACAGACTCAGTTTATATCACAATACCTACATTTAGAGTCGGTTATTCATTCAGCCTAATGAGAAACTGTAGAACAGACTCAGTTTATATCACAATACCTACATTTAGAGTCGGTTATTCATTCAGCCTGATGAGAAACTGTAGAACAGACTCAGTTTATATCACAATACCTACATTTAGAGTCAGTTATTCATTCAACCTAATTAGAAACTGTAGAACAGACTCAGTTTATATCACAATACCTACATTTAGAGTCGGTTATTCATTCAGCCTAATGAGAAACTGTAGAACAGACTCAGTTTATGTCACAATACCTACATTTAGAGTCGGTTTTTCATTCAGCCTAATGAGAAACTGTAGAACAGACTCAGTTTATATCACAATACCTACATTTAGAGTCGGTTATTCATTCAGCCTAATGAGAAACTGTAGAACAGACTCAGTTTATATCACAATACCTACATTTAGAGTCGGTTATTCATTCAACCTAATGAGAAACTGTAGAACAGACTCAGTTTATGTCACAATACCTACATTTAGAGTCAGTTATTCATTCAACCTAATGAGAAACTGTAAACAGCCTCAGTTTATGTCACAATACCTACATTTAGAGTCGGTTATTCATTCAGCCTAATGAGAAACTGTAGAACAGACTCAGTTTATATCACAATACCTACATTTAGAGTCGGTTATTCATTCAGCCTAATGAGAAACTGTAGAACAGACTCAGTTTATATCACAATACCTACATTTAGAGTCGGTTATTCATTCAACCTAATGAGAAACTGTAAACAGCCTCAGTTTATATCACAATACCTACATTTAGAGCATATTATTTGTTTAAATGTATATATATATATTTATTTCTTTTGTATGTTATGCTGTACACCTGCATCTTGAGAAATTCCTTGTATACGTTGCACTTTGCTAATAAACTTGATTCTGATTCTCTCTTCCTCTCCAGACAACATCCCTGCAGATTTGTCTGAGGCTCTAGCTGATGGTCAGTCTGATGATGGATTCGGCTCTGCAGTGGAACGCGTCCTGCTGTCCAGTGAGCTGTACTGCAGCGCTTTCACTTCTCTCCCACAAGCAGTGTCTCAAACACACACCGGCTCATCGGCACCCCCTAGAGACCATGGCAGCCTGCTGCAGGTCCTCCAGCACCGCGGCCTGGCACCAACACACTCACAGAAACCCATCACAGACGCACAGCTTACCTGCAAACCCGTCAATATGGTGAGCATGGGTGCTGGTCTTACTTTGGCTAACACTTTTATGACATATGTTTGTTTGTTTGTAACAACAACAAATGTCTGTTCCTAGCGAGGGAGGGAAGACAGACCCTGCTGATTGCCTAGATAACCTCAACCATACAGCAGTTCTTCCAGTTTAGCTAGCTAACATTAACCTGACAGGTCGGCCAACTAATGTTACAGCCACAACAGCTATTCCTAATGAGAGGCCAGAGGGCTCCTTCAGATCAGCAAGCTAACATTAGCCCTGAAGATCTGCCAGGTAACATCAGACTCCCATGTTGGGGGGGGGTCCCATTTTGGCTGGCTACTACAGTGTTAGCTGGCTGCTAACTCACTCGCCATAGTGGAGCTGATGCTCCAATGTCAGTAAAAGTCTCTGTTCTAGGGTGGTTCTGCACTCTTCCTCACAGTAACTGAGATCTTCCTCGTCTCCTCTTCTGTAGAGTCTCTGTTCTAGTGCGGTTCTGCGCTCTTCCTCACAGTAACTGAGATCTTCCTCGTCTCCTCTTCTGTCTTCAGTGTGAGAAATGAGGAACAGTCACTCTTCACTCCAAACTCTTGGGAAACTGGGCGAGTTTTCAGATTTACAGATCTGCTGCAGCTCATTGTAAAGTTCTTCAGAGGAATCCGGGCAGAGTTGCAGTTTCTAGGCCATGAAGGACCAACTGAGTGAACCAGTCTACTACAGCGCCACCCTGAGGCAGAGCAGTGTTGTAGCTCTAGTTAGTTAAGATCACCAAAGACAGAAGCTGATTGTGGGTGAAGCAGAAAAACAGTGAGCTTCACTGATACTGGATTTGAGTGTCTCTAAAGGTCAGCATAATGTCGTAATAAGTTTATTTTTAGGGGCCCCTAGAATTTTGATTTTGAGACATTCAGGGGGTCCAAGAGGTTATTTAAGGGGTCCTGGACCTCAAGGACCCCTGTATTTCACATATGCACTCACACCTACAACAGCAATTCCAAAGGACACAGGTGTCCTCTGTATTTGTTAGCTAACATTAGCTCGACAACAGCTACTCCCAACAAAAGAGATTAGAGTGCTCCTCTAGATTATCTTGCTAACATTAACCGTACAACAGCTGCTTGTAATTAGAGAGTAACAGAAGAGTGATCTTCCTGACTACCTAGCTAATTATAGTCCATAAAAGCTATTGCTAATGAGAGAGAGTAGAATGACCCTGTAGATCAGCTCGCTTACGTTAACTATACAACATTTCTAATGAGTGGTGTGTTCCTTCAGATCTGTTCGCTAATGTTAGCCTAGGCAACAGCGGCTCTGTTGACAGATCTCTTCTATTGTCCAAGTCAACAACACCACCTGTTTATATTTTCACATTTTCATTTTTATTTTTCTGCCCATTTCTTGTTAATTTTCTTCTAAATCTGCTATTTCTTTCTCTTCCTCAACTCTTACGCCTCCACATTTCTAGCCATTTCTGTCAATTTCCCTTCTATCCTCCTCTGCTGAGCTCTCTATTCAGGGCAGATCACCAGGCTTACTGTGAATGTGCCTATTTGGGATGGATGAGTGTGTGAGTGTGAGTGTGTGCCAAGAGCGAATTTGGATTTTTTGGGGATTTTAACACACTGTACTAATCCTCAGCTGACCTTAAACATTTTATATTTCTTCGCTTGGTTTGAGCTTCTCTTAGATATCCTTAATTTGCATTCCAAAAGATTTAACATACCAATGTTCCTCACTCTCACTGGGTGTCTCTCTCACTGGGTGTCTCTCTCACCTCTGATTGGTTGCAGGGTGCACATTTGGCAGTGATTGAATCGCTGATGACGCTGGCTGCCATGGAGACTGTGGGTGCGGTCAAGATGGCCAAAGAAGCCGACCAGTTTGGCGATGGAGCAAGCTGGGAGAATTCTCTCCTCTTCTGGATCAACAAGGTTTAATTCTACAGCCTGGAGTCTAGAATCTGAACGCCCATCCTGAATATAGCAAATATGTGTGATAACTTTCAGAGCAAATCTCAGGTCCTGTGTAAAAGTAATCTCAGCTGCCACACAAGTAGATTTGCCACAGTGTAGGTGAGACAGAGGAAAGCCTTCAAACTATAATTTGTTTCAGCTTAAAATGTGCATTGTTTGTGTCTCACAGCTCAATCAGAAGCTGAGGGAAAGTACAGAGGCAGATGATGCTCAGAAGTCACAGCCCTGCACAGATCTACAACCAGCCCAGCCATCAGTGAGTACACAGGCATACAAAAAAGGCACACAAGTGCAACCAAAGCTGCTGCGGGTACTTTTCATCCCCTTTTTCTCAAGTCCGGTTGGTATGTCTTGCGGGAGCTCTTAGACTGGATTTTAAGATAGGTTTTGTGACCACCAGCAAAGCAGTGACCCACTCTCAGGGTGTTTTCATACCCAGAACTGCTGCTTGTTTGCGAGTTCAGTATGTTTGGTCAAGTATGAAAGCTGTTTTTGAGCCCAGGAGTCATCCAGAGATCCGATATCTGGTCCTCCTGAAATCCGTGGTCTGGGGTTCACTTCCAGCAAACTGGTGTGGTCAGTTGCTCCTGGCACTATGTGTGGGACTGTGCGATTGGTTCATTTTGTAGTGTGACTGCTTCAACTAATTGCGTGACTTCCTTTTTCAAGTTTCATGATGCCATGTTCCTGTATGGTGAAATGCCATGTATCCAAAATGCGCTGTTCCTCGCCGCTCGAGTGTTTGTTTGCATGCAGAAAAGTGACATATGGAACTGCACAATCAATCCACGGTTCGAATGGATTTCTTGTGTCTGAAAGCAAACCAGCGATAATGAGCTCCTCCCCCAGAACAGCCCAGAATTGGTCCTGGGTGCAATCTCAGGTATTCGGGACAAGTGTGAAAATGCCCTTAAGTTGCCCATAGAGGACCTTCTTGGGAAGTCAATCCTCTGACGCCTTGATGGTGTGGTTCAGATGAGCTGATGGATAATGATGGTACTCTCATTGCTCCTTTTGTTCATCCACTTCAGGATCACTTTAGATGCGACATTGTCCTGCCAAGTCACTTTCAAAATGTGTTTCAGGGATTTTATGAGCAAAGACCCAAGTTTTTTTAGGTTGTAGCTCGGAAGTGTACACCCATGCAAAAGTGTGGACAGACATGCTGTCTGATAGACTGCAACTTTGGTGCTATGTGCAGGTTGCTGTTAGGTACAAGATGTCCAAATGTGGATGAAGCCTATTTGATGTGGTTTCTGGATTTCCTATTTGCTTCCACAGACTTCAGAGAAGGTAGTTCCAAGGCATTTGAAGGATTGTACACAGTTAAATGGAGAGTCTGTGGTAGAGAAGATTGGTTGTGGTGATGGAGTGGAGATGTTAACAGATGGCTTTGTTGTGCTGTATGCTTTCACAGACACAGTAAGTGTCTGCAGTAAGTGCCACAAGAGCCATCCTCATACTGTGGCTTAAGAATGATAGCTTAAAGCCTCCTGATGTCAAAGAAGTTTCTGTTCAGCCTGAAATCAAGAGCAAACCTACTGTCTGCCTCTCGGTCTCAATGCAGGAGAGTGACACTGAGGATGTAGATGTTAGATTTTAGAACTAGATGTTAGATGTTAGAACTAGATTCTTGTCTTCCTGCTCTAACTTTGTAATGAAACCTTGTAGTCTCTGTTGAAGTCTGTTGCATTAACACCCCCCAGCTGATGGATTCAGCTGGAATCACTCTTCTAAGGGTATCAGGGTACTGTAAGTGTAATTACTTTTTATGCCATAAGATTTCCATAAGATTTGGTTAGGTCTCTCTTTCCTGAAGGATCCTTCACCAAGACATTTGTTAGCAGTAGTGGGTTATTACTGCTGGTTTCCACCCTGAGCAGAATGCCCTCATTGCCTGTTAGGAGAGATCTGAGAAGGCAATATTTGGGCCACCTTGTCTTGACCTTTCCCAGATTGGGGAGAGCTGTGTATTCTCAAAATAGGGCTGCTGAGATACACAGAAGCCTTCCAAAAGCAACTTATCGCTCATCCCTGTTGGTAACAACCCTGACTAAGGGCTCCCAGATCATTAAACCCTGCTTCCATTACCAGGTATCCCATCAACAGACTTCTTTGGCAGTAGAGACTTTAAGCTAGCAGTACTAGAGATATCTAATTTCGTTTAAGGTGACCAAAGGTCTGCTACACCCAATATTACATACTTTGCAGCAATAAAATGTGCTCTGGTGGCAAGGGGTAGACATGAAAGGATTACCACCCCCAGGCAGTAGGAGGCTTCCAGTAGTCCAGGCACAGCCTCAAAGCCTGCTGCCACAGCTTGCTTTCCTCCGAGCGTTTTCCTAACATTTAGCTTTAGCCTGCATGTCACATTTGGGCACCACTGCAACTTTGAGGTCCTCTGCCAGTTTATCTGAGGTCGCAGGCACCCAGTTACTGTGTGGCCTTATTGGACTCTTGGTGATACAAAAGGTGTGTACTGGCAAGGGAAATCTTACACAACCATGCTGTATCTTAGTTCACTGCGACAGCTAAACAGTGGCAGCAAGCTGCAAGTGAGTTTACTCAACTGTAAAAACAAAAACGTTGCAGAAGAACGTTTCACTTGGCCGACTACAGTCAGTGTAAAACCCAGTAATGTATCGGCGTCTGCTCACACATGAGCTTAGCAGGCAGATTTTAACGTCAGCATTACAGGGATTTTGACTTCAGCTTGTGTTCACACTTAACGCCTTCCTATTTAATTACCGTTAAATTCTTAGGTGAAAGTGCAAAGGGTTCTAATTTCTTGAAGAACTGAATTAGAGCAAAAATGCGAAACTCTTAGGTGGCCCCAAGGACATGTGGAGAAATACTGCACCCTGTGGTGGTCACCCCACACACAAACACCTGTTTATCCTTTTTACTAACTCTTTCCACCATAGTCACTGACACCTTTTCTTTTCCTCTCTCTCTCTCTCTCTCTTCTCTTGTCTCCGTGTAACAGTGTCCAACACGCTGGTATTGGAAGCTGGTCCCAGTGAGTACTCAGTGATGCATACACACACATACGTTTTCTCTCTGGGCTCTAGAAAGGACAGAAAGCTTTGATGGTTTAATGACTGCTTGATTGCTGAACACATTGGCATGAAGGTTTTTATCTATCTATTGATTTATCAGAAGTCGGTAATCAGAAAGTGCTTGATTCACCAGTAGATTTATGAGGCAACAAGTAGGGCTGGGACAAACTTTGAAAAACAAACTTTAAGACCTTTTTACACTGAATCCAAACTTGACAAAAGAAGACACAAACCAAGTTTTCAAAAAGTAAACATTGACACCAATGCCATCTTCCACATCACAGCTCACAGTTGTATGTTTGTCCATTTCTTTTAGACTATTTTCACACTCAGTTAATTAACCAATGTCAGAATCAGAGTTTTAGTTTTGTGACATTGTGTCTCTTATATTTGGTTCAGTTGGTTTTACATTGTAATGGCTCAAGGGCACTTAATTATACACTAGTGCTCTTTAATGGTCAGACATTTTGCAGGGATGAAGTGCTTGTTTACATTCAATTTGTCACCGTTTGAGCCAAAAAGCTCCTACTTTGCATTAAAGTAGAAATACTTAACATCTATATGTATCACAGTCAAAGCAATAACAATGAAACTTAATTGATATCTGCTTCTTTATGATTCATCAGTTTGTATACAACCAATCAGGTCAATCAGCCTTCATTATTATTTTTTTTTATTGCTCGTCTGCCATTATTAAAAGCAGCTCATGTGTCTGTAAGGTGTCAGACAATAAAACAGGCAGGTTATACTGACAGTTCAGCATCGACGAGCTGCTAGAAGAAGAGGAAAGCATGCTCTGGTGCCGGATTTCTGCATTTGGTGTGGACCATCACAAAAATATGCTTCCACCAGCAGCAAACTGAGACAGGATTAATTTGGAAGCGAACAGAGACCTGCCGTTTTTTTTATCAGACCATTTTTTATTTGTTTAGAGTACGCCCGAGCATGGGTGGAGTGCTTATATTTGTCAGATTGGACTGAACGGAAGAAAAAGTTTGATCAGTCCGCATCAAATGACGTAGGTGTGAAAGCGTGCTTAGTGCTCAGAGCTCCAAACTTAAGTAGAACACCCGCTGTAGAGCTTGATGGAACTCCCTGTACTACTAAATGTTTTTAGCAGAATGGGCTGTTACCCAGTACCTCTGGCTGGGTTTCCAATCAAACTTTTTGCAAATTATTCAAAATTTCAGCAGAAAAAAGGTGAATTAAGCCATCCACTACTGTTATTTGCAGAAACTTCAGATGACGTAGGCTACCATGATTAGGGGCTGCATAAAAAGCAAAATTAACAGATTTAACTTGTTTTTTGCTTTAAGTAGAATATTATTTACAGCTGTTTGCCATCTTTTTATGGCTGTGTTGTTTACAGCTCTGAGATGCTGGGCAGGATGCGCAATGGCCTGCCTAATGAGGGCTGAAATCTCGTTACCACCCCAACAACATCTAACTTGCATCTGGGAACGCAAGCGCACCAGACAGTTCTGGGAGCATGTTGTGCAGAGCCATTTTTCAAGCCAGCTTTGGATTTAGAATTTCAAAATGTTGAAAACAACCTTTGAAAAGCTAGGCACTGCGATCAGACCATCTGTAGGAATCATGGAATCATATGACCTGATATGTGATTATTTACTCAAAAATCACTTTTCTTCGCATTTTGGGTTTAGCCAAAATAACTTTTCCACCTTGTCCTATCGTAAAACTCTTTTTGCGATATTTGGGTGTTTTTTTTTATTTGTTGTTTTGTAATTTGCAAAAAATTAGTGTATGGTAAACCCACTTATGTCTTTGAGTCGCACTGGATACAAAAAAGAAAACTTTGTTACCGTAACTACTCAATAGATCCAATTCTCCCAGTTTGTTGCAATTTCAAGTTTCAATGCATTAACAATCACATCTGCTGTTTTCATCAATACAAATGAACTCAGTGGGGAAAGATCTCACAACAGTTAAACATTAAACCAGAATTACAAATGAATAAATACTGTTTCTTATGCCGTTGTGTGGCAATACTCCAAAGACATATACTTATTAGTGTGTATGTAAATGAAGAAAACTGGGGTGGAGTGTCAGATCATGGATTGGAGCTCAGAAAGCTCAAGCATACAAAAGATACTAGCTATTGATTTCATGGTTGTTAGTTGTTGCTGAATTATGGGTAGTTATTGTTAAATCGAAAAGTGGTCCCAGCCCTAGGCTCAAGCTGCACAGGCATGTGTGCAATTTTTCTAGGTGTAGGTGCTTAGAAAAAATAACATTCAAGATAAAAGAGCACAGAACAAACAGAACATAAAACAATCAATTTTTTCATTTACTAATCAGATATATTTGGCACAAGATAGATTTTGATGAGACTCTTTGGAAACTCTTGGAACTTTGGAAGCTTTCTGTCATCAAACTAGAGCAGGGCTGACCAGTCTTATCCAAATAGTGTCACATGGCTGCAGGTTTTTGTTCCACCAAGGTAGGAGACCACATGGTCAGCTGTTTGAAGACCAAGACCAACTGATTAAACAAATGTAATCAGGTGTGTTTCTGCTTGTTCAGAGTGTAAATCTGCAGCCACACTGACACTTTGTGGATAAGACTGGACACCACTGAACTAGAGCCCAAGATCCCGTTTACACACTCTGTACCATCATTTTTCTACATCTGTGTATCTCATCTCTCTCTTTATTGCACTGGTTTTCAGCCCCAGAAACCTTCTGCCTGCTTTAACACACCTTTTTTCAAATCATGAAGAACTACAAAAAGTGAAATTTACATATTTTACCATATTCCATATATAGTTGATCAGCCAAAACATGTTTGGCGTCTGAAGTTTCTTTAACCTTCCGTTACTTGTTATCTACATTAGCTTCATAGCTCCAGTGCTAAATCTAGATAACAAGTAATGGAAGCTTATACCCCACCAATTAGCATGGTGCTAACTGTATGCCTAAATCATCACACACTTGGCTCAAATAGGTCTGCCTATTTGGTTTCTGACACTGAATGACATACGTCTATCTACAAAAATATATATGACTTGTTAGCTACATTTGCACCATAGCTCTAGAAACTAAGGTAGGAAACTTAAGGCACCAAACAGCCCTGCTAAAAAAAACAGCATGGACCAGCAAGCATTTCATGCTGGTCTAAGATGGTCTATGCTAGTCTATGCTGGTCTAGAACTGGTCCGGTTCTGGTTTAGCTGGTTTAGCATAGTCATTTTAGTTGACCAGCATACCAGCATCCAAAGCACAACATATCGCTGCTGTTGGAAGAAAACCTCGTAGCTCCATTCCATCCGTTTTTCATTTTTTGGCCTAATTTGAAAATACCTGTTCTTTACATTGTATGTAAATTTCATGATGAATGGACCAAAATAAACGGCCCAACCTTACTTGGCAAAAAGTCTGGTTCCATTGACTTACATTAAAAGTAAACTAGGTTTTTTCCTTCTCCTGTAAAATTACCATTTTGGAGATATGAGGTTTAATTTCCGACAACAGCGATTTGTTGGTTTTGGTGACCAACCATGCTAGTCTATGCTGTTTTTTCTAGCAGTGAGGTCTTGGCTGATTGACTCCATTTGCTGTAAAAGGAACACTGTAATAAATCTATCAACATTTCTATTTGATTTATTGTATTATGACGTGTATCCGGACTGATACTGGAAACCATTGCTTTATCTTTACTCCATCTCTTTTTTTAGGGGTTGCACAACTATTCATTTTTACTAGTCAACTAGTCATTCAAAAACATTGGTCATATATTAAAACCAAACAAAAAAGAATGAGTGTTCCAGGTATGGGACTTTCCTAGCAGTTGGCTAATAGGGTCTCAGGCAGCAAACACTGTGGTTTGAGGTGTGAGGTGTCCACTGCAGAAGAGTTTTTGTTGTATTTCAGTTTCAGCCTCACTCTGCACACAGAAGTACACAGACTGTCTGATGTAAACTGCACACTAAAATCACCACAGCTCCCATAATATCTACTCTCACTGAGAGTTTAAACTGGTTCTAGCTAACCACACTTCTGTGCACTGGTTTGGTCTCAGAAAAACTGAGGCTGTGTTTGAAATAGCCTACTACATACTGCTCGCGTACTGACTGTGCCCAAAAGTAGTTCGTGGTATGAAGTATGTGACCAACATGAATTTCTCCAGTACGCCAAAGATACCCGGACTGATCTGGCAGACTGATCTTACCACTGATTAACAACAAACAATTAAACCCCTTAAAATCCCAGGCTTATTACATACTGAGGCTTATTATTCAATTACTACAGGGACTTCAGTGCAGACTTGTTAAGCCATTGTTAGATTATAGAAGTGTGTAATAAAACTCTGGGCCTGCCGGTGGACCCTGACCATTTAGGGGGTTAATAGCCCCAGATTTAATCTTATATGGATACATAAATTAAATAAAAGGAAATAATACAGCTGCTACTGCATTTACAGTAACCTACTAAAGTTGTTCTCAGCCAAACAATCCACTCAGCATCGGCTTTTCAGGCTCCCATGTGGAATCACGCTGCTTATTACTCAGTCAAAACTAGCTCATATTACCAACTATGAATATAATTAAACCGTAAAGACTGACCTTCCAGCAAACGCAGGAAACCAGGTGTCTTCATAAACCACACAGGTTTGAATCTAAAGAGTACTTTTTTGGGAAAATCTGCTTTTAGCTACAGGAATCTCTAAATCTTCGCTCTCTGGTGTCACATGAATATTTTAAGCTTTTGGTCTCTAACCAGCTCCCATCAGCCCCGCACTGTTTCACTTGATTTTAGTTAAGCTTTAAAGTGATTTTTGGTATGTTTTTAGTTATTGTTTCATTTTTATTATTCTGTTCTTATTTATATTAATACTGCCAAGGTATTGGTTTACATCTTTTATTTCTTTATTTATTTCATTAATTTTATTTTTTTTATTAATTCTTATTTTATGTTATTTATTAAGTTACTACATTGTTGTAATTTTAACGATTAATTTATTTAAATTTTTTCTTAAATTTACTACTATGATTTTTATTATCTTTTAGCATTTGTTATGTTTTTACTCTTTAACCTCTCAATCACTGATTTGTGTTTTGGCTCGGCTACACTGTAAATGAGGGTCTCCCTAAATGTACTCAGAGTTTAAATAAAGGCTGATCGATTGATAGATCGTTTGATAGATCGATCGATTGATTGATTGATCGATTGATTGATTGTTTGATCGTTAGTTTATTTGGTTTTGGAGATGAGTAGAAAACACCCTCCACTCTGTCATGATATCTCATAAAACTCAGCATCTCTTAGCCAAAATGTAGTCCACCTGTTTTGGTAAATGTGGAAAGCAGCTAGCAACGGTTGCTAAGCAGTGATTGGAGGTCTAAGGAAAATGGGGTGGGTCTTGAGATTGATCTGATTGGTTCAGTCTCTGATGTTGGCAGTCGTCACACCGCTGCCTTGTATTATAGCACGCGGCTTTAGTCACATGCTGAACACAGTACACCACTGTATTTCAGGCACTGTCCTCAACCAGTCGACTGATGCCCACAGCGCCCACTACTGGATTCATTAGTCAGCTAGTTAACTAGTTTTTTGCAACCCCTAATCTCTTCCTCTTATTTCTGACTGTGTTCATGCTAACTGGTTCTTCTCTTTCTCTTACATCACTTCATTCTCTCTTCATTTCTCTCTCCTTCATTATGTTTGATGTGAACTTGTGTCTCTGTTGCTGTGATGTTTGTTTTGTAGTTGTGGGTCTTTTTTATTCTGTGCTCCAGTGTTTTTATCCTGATAGTGGTGGTAACGATAATTCTTTTGTTTTACGTTGTTTGACTGGAGCAGGGCGGAGCCTCACACATGTGCCTTATCAGAACCATTCTGATTGGTTACTGGATTTTTGACGGATACGTGAAGTGATGGTAGCGTTTTTGTTGTTTTTGTTGTTGTCGTCGTGCGAGTTGACGTCTGTACGCCCGTCCTTAAGTCTTCCTTTTGTGTTTCTACCATCAAAAATATGTAAAATATATTAAAAGAATCCTCCTTTGACCAATCAGAAGCCACCTCTCAACCCTCAGCCAATGAAATGAAGGGCTTCCACTGTAACCCCGCCCACTGATTCTTTATAAACGGGTCAATACGAAATTCGGCAGACGGCGTAAAGCATGCGGAATCTCTCCTAAGACTCCGCCCCTTCCCGTTTTGTTTGGGTTTATTTTGCTCCTCCTCTTCCTGGTGTAACTGTGTGTGTGACTCTGGTTGCCTTGGCGGCGGTTGCCGTGGCATTTACGCCTGTCCTCCTCTCTCTGCCATCCTGCATCCAGCATGCCATCGCTTTTTGTTTGAAGGAGTCGGGGAAAAAACCTCCTGTGGTAACGTATCCGCCAGCCTGCTGTCTCCATGACAACCACCACACAAACACACAAACAAACAAATAAACAAACACAAAACAACAACCAACACCCCCCAACCCAACAACACCTCCACCCCAATCCAACCTCGTGGCTGGATGGAAGTGCTCACATTTTCTCTTCTTACTTTCTTTTTTCCTTCTTTCTTTCTTTTTCCTTCTTTTGTTTTCTTTCTTCATTTTGTTTATCTTTCTTTCTTTCTTTCTTGCTTCGTTTTGTTTGTCCTTTTTCTGTCCTTCCTTGTTTTTTTCTTTCTTTCTTTCTTTCTTTCTGTCTTCCTTTTTTCTTTCATTCTTTCTTTTTCTTCATTGTCTGCTTTTTTCCTTCTATCCTTTCTTTCTTTCTTTCATTCTTTCTTTCTTTTTCTTCATTGTCTGCTTTTTTCCTTTTATCCTTTCTTTCTTTCTTTCTTCTCTTTCTTTCTTTCTTTCTTTTCCTTCTTTCTTTCATTCTTTCATTCTTTCTTTCTTTTTCTTCCTTCCTTCTTTCCTTTTATCCTTTTTCTTTCTTTTTTACTTTCTTTCTTTCATGTTGTTTCTTCTTTTCTTCCTTCCTTCTTTCCTTCCTTCCTTTCATTTTTCTTTCTTTCTTTATTTTATTTATCTTTCTTTCTTTCTTTTTCTTTCTTTTTCCTTCTTTCTCCCTTACTACCTCCCTCTTTTTCACTGACTCATTCTCTCTCTTTCCTGCTCTTTTTCCTCTTTCCTTTTCTGCCTCTTTTCTCTGTCTCTCACTCTCTCTAGACTCATTTACTAATTCAGTATTTTTGTTCCTGTTTGTTAGTGTAATATCTGCTGTTATGTGATCTGATGTGTTAAAGCACATTTCCACACTGTCGCCTTACATTATTTCAGTTTGTTGATTCAGTTTGTTTTGTTGTTTATTTATTAAATATTCTTTTTTTTCCTTCATTTGCCCTTGTTTTTAGTTGGTAGCTTGCTGCTGATGGGGAACATCTTTGACTTGGGTTAAGTTTATTTGTGTGTTTATTTGTTTATGTGTTGTTTTTTGTTTGTTTTTAAAGTAGGGATGCACCGAAATTTCACTCTCTGAAAAAGGAGAAAAAAGGTTAAATATTTTGACCAGAAAATCCAAAAATGAAATGAGGAAGATTAAATTTAAGACTTTACAAATCGTTTTAATGATGCTGAGAATGAGACACAGTAATTAAAACGCTGTTCGATTCTCCAACACCGGTCAGCACAGACGCATTCAAACAGTTTGAGCAGCAGCGGATCAACAGTGAAAATATCAGCGATTGTGACTGATTTCACGGTTTCTATGAGGGACATCAGACCCGAGATTTATAATCTCTGTTCATGTGGAGCGTCAAGACCCCCAAGAACGTCTCCGCTGCAGGTTTGATAGCATCAGAAAGCATGAGTTCATATGTAGAGCACAACAAAATAGAAACAGAAAGGAAAGTCCCTCACGAAATAAAGGTACTAAACTGTCTCTGGGGCAGTACCTGTTTTGTCCCTGGTGTGGGACCCTCAAGGGTCCATCTCAGTACCTTTAGTCAGGGAACATAACTGAACCATAATCCACTGAAATGATATGTTCTAAGCTGTACTGACTCCACACACCCCGTCTCGTCTCCAGGCTTTTATTTTACTGTTCTGTTTTAAAACATTTGGTTATGAAAAGGTACAAATACGAACTTTTCACCTGGAAACACTTATTTAAGGTTCACAATCAGACCTTAAAACCACATTTACACTGTTTGTACCTTGAGGAACGAAAAATGTACCTAAACAGAACCTTTATTTCTAACTGTGCTGCGAGCACACTGACACCATCTGTACATACAGGTCATGAAAAAAATGACTACAAATATGAAGAAATAATGAAAATAAAAATGAAAAAATAAAGGAATTCAAAGCCTTGGATGACCAACTGTTCTCTGTTGTCGAGGGCGTTTCATTTTGTGATGGTAATCATTTTTTAAATAATTTTAGTAATAGTAGTTATGTAAACTTTTTATTTGTCAGTTTTTTCAGTTTCGGTTTCTGTTTACAGTCCTGAATTTCAGTTTTGGTTGCGGTCAAGCATTTTAATTTCGGTGCATCACTATTTTATAGCCAAAATGGAACCAGAATTTAGAGAATTTTATAAATTTATAATTATCATTTTTTCTTTATTCCTGTTTTCTACACAACCACTTGTTCACTGCCTCACTCATATTTGCTGCCTGTGTTTCCATGGCTTGGCCACTAGATGGCGAACTGGACTGAGCTTGAGCTGAGCAATCCTGCCTTTGTTTTCCTCCATTTTTTCATCCTTCACTCGCTCTCACTGCACCCTGTAGCCGTGGCCCTGTCTTGCTGCTGTCCCGTATGTCTGTAGGTGTGCGTGTGTGTATGAGTTGACTTCTCAGCTGCTGTGCACTTACTATTACAAACACACCCTGTTGGCTGGCTTTGAGACGCTGTTGTTTTGCTTCAGTGTGTGCTGTGATTCAGTGAGTGACTCTATATTACTGTATTAATGTTTGTCCTGTGAAGGAAAATTGTAAATATACTGCGAGCCCAACAGCGATCTGTCATAGGAGTGATTCCTATTGCACTGTTGGATTCCTATTGGAGATCCAGTGAATGCTCTGAAACTGAAACTGAATCAAAACGGAAGAGTCGCTCATTTCGGTGAGCGATTCTTCAAAACAGATCCAGTAAATCAGATTCAATACAAGTGAGAATGAATCTGATTCACTGTAGTGACTCTGACTCATCAACTAAATAACCCTTTCTCCAAATCTCTCTTTCTTTATCCTCTCTCTTTTTGCCCTCCTCTTAGATCCGCTATAGGAAAGATAAAGTGCGCTCTAAACAGACTCCTACCTTTTCGGTCGTGTCCGGAGTGAAAGATCTGTCTAACGGCTGTGCCATCGCTGCTGCTATACACTTCTACTGCCCCCAACTTCTGCCCCTGGAGGGTAAGAGAACATGTATAAAGCTGGGTAACCAGACATACAGACCTCTGAAGTCGTGTCATCATTCTGTAGTCAATGTTATGCACATATTAGTAACTCTAGGTCTAAGCTGTTTTTCTCTATGGGAAAATGAATGGCGTTTTAAAGCTCTGTGATGAGCAAACCTGATAAGTTTTGATCTTTATACGTTCACTGGATTCTCTGAATTACAAGGTTGTTCAGCCCTTAGACTGTAAATAATGCTACATACCCTGATAGCAAGAGGATAGTGGGCCACTGTCACTTATGGCAAAGCTGGTGGTCCACTGGTGTTTTGCTCAGTGTTTTCCAGGCGGCCCACTGGTGGTTAAGCAGAGTATTAGACAAAATTCCACTTATCATCCCTCATTTTCCACACACAGCCCAATTTACTGATTTTTCCTTCCTTCCTTTTTTAAGTTATACTTTGTAAATTAGTTTAGTAAATAATTTTAATCCAACACAGTGTCAGCAACAACATATTCTACACTGTAAAACTCACTGCACATCTTAATGAAAGAATTAAGTTAATACAACTTAAATACTGCAGAAATTTGAATCAGAAACTTAATCTGAAAAAATCAAATTAACTCAAAAATGAATTGTTGAGATAGTAACCAATTTTGAGTAAGATTGTATTTTTTCAGCATATTCTGAGTTGAGGTAACTTTATTTGAATTATTATATTCACTTTACATGCAAATAGAAACAGGCTAATAACGGGTTGTTTTTAAAGACTGTTGAAAATTTAGCATGGCTTAATGTCATAGACATCATAAATGTTTACATTTAAATGATTTGGAGATTTGTGCTTTTTTCATAACTTTATTTTGATGATTTCAAACTCAAAGGTTCCATCAAATAGCATCTTTGATTAGAAAGAGAGCATAATTGGACCTGTTCAGTTGGATTTAGTGCAGCACAGTGTTTAAAATGTTAAATATTTATAATTTGATTCATAATTATTGATAGTAGTTTTAAAATGTGGCAATCTTTTGTCTGTTCTAACTTATCAGGTGTCACATAAATAAATAAATAAATAAATAAATAAATTAAGGAGTAAATAAGTAAATAAATAAATATCGTGACACATCATGTAAACTTTCCGAAGTATCATGATATCACATTCTGCCATATCTCCCACCTCTAAACTGCATAAAAGTAAGTCTGCTACTAAACTTTAACACTAAGCCATTCAAACTTTAGGCTGCTAAGCAACTTTTTAGTTTACTTTTAACTGCCAATTAAGTCTTGCTCAGTCACATCAAGCTGGGAAGGCTAGCGTGTGTTTCCTCCGAGACACGCTTGGAGGAGAGCACTACTCCAATGTGTGGTGATAGAGGGGAGACGCTTGATTGAGGCAGGGAAGATAACTCAGGGAGCTCGGGCTGGAGTCTGGGTGGCTTCTGCTGGAGCTAGAATGCCAGACCCCTCTTTGGACGATGGTAGGATTGACAGATAGAAGGAGGAGGTGGAGTGGTGGTGGGAGTGTGAAAACTATGTCATGGGAAACGGACTGTAGACATGGGAATTGAGAGGGTGTTAGATTGGAAGGAGGAGGGGTTTCAGGCATGGTCCTCCCCCCAAACTTCAGTTATTCCATAACTGCATAAATCAGCATAAAACAGCTGCCTGAACTGTACAGCATCGCGCTGAATGATGGGTGGGACAGAGAGGACCATCCCTCCAAGCCAGACAGAGAGAGGACAGGTATGATGTCTTGATCTTCCAGCCACAGATGGCTATGGAATTGCTGGGGACTGAACTCTTTATTTTCCGACGAGAGGGACCAAAGCTTGGATGGTTGTGACACTCGGGGGCCACGTTAGACAAAGCTTACTGGTTTCTGTGGGGTATGTTGAAGAGGTAGCTAGTCTTACATTGTCACTTAAGTGAGCTGAAATGTTAGCATGCATGTGGAAACATTGATATTTCAACTACAAAATGACCTCGTAATTCAGACGATCCAATAACATTAGGAGGAAAAATGTACATACAGTACATACTTTGGGTTTGGCCCATTTTTGTTTAACACAGTGTATGACAGTGACAACTTTAAAAAATGCCATTCATTTTTCCTATAAAGAAAACAAGCTTAGACCCAGAGTTACTAATATGGATATGACGGCTCTGTATACTACCAATTAAACACAACCTCAAGGTGTTAGCAGTCATTTGTATGAAAAGGAAAAGTTTGGCATGAAATTTAATTGAGCCATTTCCCAAATTTGGTCAATCAGTCAAGATATGTTTGGTGTCTGAAATTTGCCTCTTTAGTTTGACTCTGGACCCACGACACTAATATAACTAACAAGTAATGAAAGTGTATTCCAGCTAGTTTCTTGCTAATTGTGTGCCTAAATCATTATACTTGCATAAATGTCGAGACGTTAACTGTGTGGACTTGTTCAGTAATCTCTATCACACTAGATCACATGGTTTCTGACTGTATGACACACTGTTATCTATAAACATGGACAAAGGTACATTGCTAAAAACAGTAGCAGCAGTCATCTAGGAGTCTGAATTTTGTCCATACTTTTGTCCAAACGTGCTACGCAAATACGAACGGACATTAACACAGTAGCTTATTTCGTTTGTCATCTCTTTCTTTGCTTGTAGACGTGTGTTTGAAGGACACTATGTCTGTAGCGGACAGTCTGCATAACCTGCAGTTGATCAGAGAGTTCTGCAACAGCCATCTGAAAGGCTGCTGCCCCCTAGTGCTGGAGGACCTGCTCTACACCCCACCTGTGTTACGGGTGAGACCCTTAAGCATTCGAAATCTGAAGTTATTATTGTGACTTTGCTAAATTAGTTAAATATAATTACATATTTGGTTACAGTTACCTCACAAATTACATTTCAGTCTAATAACATTCTATATCGGCAGTGTCGAATCTGCATTTATGACATTTTTTCTTTTGTTTTGGTGGCAAAGATTCTCAAAACATCAAGATTGTACATACAACATTAACCTTTCATCAATTTCAAATCATTACTAGAAGCTGAAAGGTTGTAAATGAACTTTAAGTTGACTATACAAAGCTGTAGCTATGAAATCCCAGGTGGGTGCTATGGTATTTCTCAGGCCATTGCTATCTTATCCCAGGTGGTTGCTAAAGTGTTGCTAAGCCATTACTATGGCATTCCACGTGCTTGCTTATATATGTTCTAGTATAAATATGTCCATGAGGGTCCGTGTTGAATGAACAATGTACATAAAGGCTCTACTGCAAGGTTCTGTTGTTCTAGTTTGAAAATGCTGTAGCTTTTACTTGCTGAGTGGACTGATCTGTGATCTTTAGGTGAACATCATGTGCTTCCTCTCTGAGTTACTGGCAGTGTTTGAAGTGCAAAAGCCGGATTTTGTCAAGCCCACTCACACACTGGACCTTACAGGTAGGCCCATATGCATACTACCTATATACCTTATTATGCCCATGCATACATTATTTTATTTGATAGTGTATAGCATTGCCATAAGAGTTGGTGTAGTTATGTATATAAGCCCTGTAACCCTAAAAATAGTTCTTCAAGCCTATCAAGCCTCACAAAATTGCCATCGCTTAATGTGACCAAGAATTGACGACTTTGACAGTAAGGGGCCGTTAGTGGCTGGTAAAGTGTAATCCAGCCTCCCTTCACATGCCAGACTGGGGTTCAATTCCCAGTCAAGCAGGCACACCACATGACACCCATAAGGGTCCTTGTGCAAGACTGTAGTAACACTACAGTCACCTGCGCTATGTGGCCAAAAGTATATGGAAACCTGACCATCACACCTATTTGAGTTTGTTGGACATCCCATTCTGAAAACATGGGCATTAATAGGGAGTTGCCTCCTTTACAGCTGTGACACCCTCCTCTCTTCTGGGAAGGCTTTCTGTGAGATTTTGGATTGTGTCTGAGGGAATTTGTGCCCAACACAGAAGACCAAGCTGGCAATAATGCATAAATCATAAATATAATAATGAATGATGAAACAATATTGATCAATATTGATCAATTTCTGCTTTGTAATGTGATACATGTATGTAAATAAACTAAACTAAACTTACCCGAAGTGAATAGGCAGGTCTTATCAGTTAGTAACCAACAATACATAATTTTTTCAGTACTTGTTGGTATCGGCCCATTTCAGCCACAGTTACTGATTTTGACTCAATTACCTCAAATGACTGGTGGACAGTTTTCCTACTATTAGAGAACACACTATTATACTATATTGTCCCTTCTAAAAACAAAGTTATACTGTTTTCTTTATAGATGCCTCTGGTATGGAGGACTGCACCAGTCCCATCAGTGGCACCAGGTAACATCACTCAGAATAAACTACATTTAATAGTATGGGAATTACATTCATGTTGTTGAGTTGCATTGTGGGATTTGTTGTTTGTTACAGTGGCTCTCCGTCCTTCCTGTTTAAGCAGCCGCTCTTACCCATCTCATCCCCTTCGTCTCCTGGAGGGAAAACCGGTGAGAAAGCACAGCATGCTGGAACTTGTAATCCTCTATAAGGATATATGGGATTTGTAGTCCATGTTTCTGTACACCTGAATGATTCTTCATGTGTTTTGTTTCATTGTTCAGAGGGTCTGGGCTGGAGCAAGAAGCAGATCAGGTATGCTGCTTTTGCTTCTCACATTTTCAAGCTTACGAGCACACACAAAATTTCAGTTCACCTCTGTTCAAATTTATTGATTTTATTGATTATGTTCAAGTGTACAGAGTAGCAAAAGTCTCAAGCTGCAAAAAAGTTTTGTCCCAAACTGCAAAGTAGTAAAATAAAGAGACATTTCAGCCTAAAACCAAAGCAAAAGTTTGTTATCTTTTCTGTTGTGTAATATTCTGTAGTTTAAACACTTTGTGACTTTCATTTGATATAATTTCAATGCCAAAACAGCGAAGTAGATGAAAAGACAGAAACATAGTGTTAGATGAACACAAATTTAATGCTATTGCTCCCACAATATATTGTGTATGATTGATATTGTCCCACCTCGAAAATCCCAATTTAACTATATGCACATGTCAAAAATTAAGTTAATTTACTTTAATTTACATTATTTTTAACTTGTCATCATCTGACCTCGACCTCAAGTCTTTAGCAAGAGGTGGGGGGGCCTAACCAGCAAAAAATCTTCAGGAGCCCAGCAATGTCATTGTCAGATTTTTTATAATCATTAATAATGATTATACACATACACACGCAAAAAGTCGGGTCCTTTAATCTCAGAATGCAAAGTGATAAATATTTCATTACTGACATAAGAAAATCTCATGATCACACTTTTGAAAACATCAGCCGCCCAACAAATGGACGAATGAATGTTGAGTGGACCGATAAAAACAACTTAAAATAACTTTGAATAAAAACTCTTTATTTAAGAACATATTTTTCTTTTTCATTTACTGTTTTAGAGATACAAGGTTTTCTGATGATTTATTGATTTTGACATGAATTTACTAGGGGTTTTTTTTGATCTTACTCAGTTCTTGTCGTTTCATTCCTGTCTCGCTCCCTCTGTCTCTTAGTCGTCCACTGTCTGCAGTGACTTTCAGCATCCCTTTCCCTCTGGACAGTGATGTGGACGTTGTCATGGGCAACCCTCTTTTCCGCTCCGTTAGCACTGACAGCCTTACCAACCTTGCTCCCTACACGCCTCCAGAAGATCTGAGCAAGCTGATTGGCCAGGCGCCACTGGGGGAGTTGCCCACTATCGAAGAAGCACTACAGGTCATCCACACAGGGTCGATCTGTGCGTAACGAACCAGAAGGGGCACCGGCGGGCTTCTTCCTGCACTCCCCCGAAAATGAAGACAAGTCCAGGCTGAGCAGCTCTGCCCCCTGCAGGTCAGGAATGATGTACCGACCAATCGGAGGCAGTGGTAGGCGAGGGGGCGGGGTCAGAAGGCCAGTGGACTGTTCTAGAGATGACGATTCTGTTCTCAGAGATGGAAGCATCGATTCCGATGCTTCCGAAGATTTCTCCACAAGGTCTAACCCTGGAACTCCATCCAATGGTCCAAAAGGAGGCCGCATGACGAGTTTTGCTGAGCAAAGGAAGAAGCTTCCAGAGTCACCGGTGGCCTCCAGGGTGCAGGGATTGGAGGAGCCTTCAAGCCCAATGATCATGAGCCCTGCTGGGGCAGCAGAGGCCCAGGAGCTGGGGGCTCGTCTGGAGGAGAAGCGAAGAGCCATTGAAGAGCAGAAAAGAAGGATTGAGGCAATTTTCGCCAAGCACAGACAAAGGCTGGGGAAGAGTGCCTTCCTCCAACTGCAGAGGGAGCAAGGGGAAGGAGCAAATGGGGGCAGAGCCAAAGAAGAGACAGAGTTGCTCAGTCTGGACGAGAGGCTGACTCGCATGGAGGAGGAGCTAAAGCGGGAGGAGGAGCGAGAGAAACAGGAGGAGAAGGAGAAGGAGAAGAAAAAAGAGGAGGCGAAAGAGAAAGCTCCACCCAAATTGGAAAAGCAGGTCACGTTCTCGGTGGAACCCAAAAAAGGGGCAGAGAAAGAGCCGCCTTTGGTCGAATACAATGAAGCGGTGTCTAAGCTAAGCTCTGCCTTGCAGTCCTTACAGAGGGACATGCAGCGACTTACGGAACAGCAGCAAAAGCTAATGGGACAGAAAACGACTGCATCACCTCCAGCCAAAACCGCAACTTCTTCTCGGAAGACCCCACCTTCCAGCAAGGCCTGGGTCATTCCGGCTGGTCCGAAAAACTCAGTCACACCCTCGGCCCGAAAACCCCAGTCCAGCCGTGACTTCTCACCTTCAGGGTCACCATCTAAGCCAAGTGCAAGTGACCCCAAATCCCCCAAAGCGTCTGCATCCACCACACCTCGCAGGCTCCATAACTCCACCCCCAAAAGCCCCAAAAGGCAGCATCCTACCCGACCGTGTGACCTCAGTTTCCCACCGCTAACCCGTGTCCTCACGCCTCCACAGAACGTTGACACGCTTCCCCACCTGCGCCGTGTTTCTCCCAGTCAGTGCCAAGTTCAGACTTGTTCTTCCCTCAGACTTGGAGGGCCCCGGACCCCCCAGGAACCAGCTTCAGCTCCAGTCCAAGAGAGCAGCTCGGAATCAGGCTCCAGCACTGAACACACTCCCCTGTTCACACTGGAACTGGAGACCTGCCCTCCGCCGCCTCCCTCTGGTAAATTTTGCCCTTATTCATCACTATTGGTAATTACCTAAACTGCTGGTAAATATTGATGTTTGAATTTACTAGTAGTAACTACCACTACTAGTAATTGACAAATGATTGATGTTGGCAATTATTGCCCCTTCTGGTCAGTACTGGTGTTGGTAATTCTTACTGATAATTACTGCCATCTGTTAGTAAATATTGACATTTTCATTATTATTTTGATTAGCGCCCCCTCCTGGTAATTCATTTTGGCAATTCCAGCTCCTTGCTGGTAAATCAGAAAGTTCAATTATAATCTTGTGTTACTGTCTTTATGGACAGGAACATTTATGCAATGAATTTTGCTCAGAAATCAAATCTAACGTGGACTTTAATCTCAATAACCAATACAGTAAACATGCTGCCCTCTTTCCACAGTCGTGGGTCCTGTGAGTGTCGGCGGGGGCAGCAGTTCAGGAGCCCCCTCTGAATGCTCGTTTGAAAGCGACGTGCTCCTCAGCGCCCCTCTGAGGCTGGAGGAGGGCGAGACGGATCAGGAACAGCCCGACATTTTCTCCTCCGATTCCATGAGTGACCACACAGAGACAGAGAGCAGGGCAGGGGTCGGGATTTACTACAAGGTAAATAAATGAGATCATTCAGAATATTGACATTAAATAAACTTCATCATAGTAATGGTCCAATTATTGTGACTTGCCACAACTATTAAAAAAAATCAGCATAGTGTTCTGGACATCAATGAAACCGTTTCATTAGGGTTTTATTATTGTATTATTTATGGGTAGACATGCAGCTGCCCACAGCGCCCACTAGTGGATATATTGCGTAGTTGCATATTGGTGAGTGCATCTATGTCGTTGGTAGTTTTTATTGGCAATCACTAACGCCTGATGGTGAATATTGACATTTGTAATTATTATTGGTAATTACTGCCCCCTGCTGGTAAAGATAGGTATTTTTTATTATTGTTGGTAGTTACTGCCCCCTGCTGGTAAATATTGGTATTTTTTATTATTGTTGGTAGTTACTGCCTCCTACTGGTAAATATTGACATTTGTAATTATTACAGAAAACAATATGGTGTGTTAAAATTGCGATATATCATATATCATATTATGATTACTGATTATTGTCATGTGATTATTATTATTAATTACTATGTGTGTGTGTGTAAGGAGGGTGGTCTCTTTGAGGAACAGATGGCTTTGAAGAAAGCTCTACTTCTGGAGCGGCAGCAGAGACGAGCAGAGGAGATCAAGAGGCGGAGACAGGAGCAGGAGAACAGGCAAGATAAACACTCACACGTTTGTGTGTCCGTGTTTGTTTTGATCGTTCAGTTTTTGTTTTGCAATAAGAAAATGGAAAATGAGAAACGACTCGTTATCTGATTTTGATTTTAACAGAGAAAATGGGAAAACAGAAGATGACCCATTAGCCGATTTCGGAATATAAAATTGGCAATCTGCCATTATCAGATTTCAATTCTTGACTGTTGTTTTTGTCAAAATGCAGTCAGATAAATGTGTGATTGACAGGCCAAGCGAAAAGTTCATCAATCTCAGTTGTTCTAGTCTACACTAAATCTCTCTCTTCTTCCCTCAGTCGGCCATGCTCTACAGACGAACTTTGCCCCTCTGTGACTCCGCCCCTCTCCCAATCTCTGCCAACTACACACACCGTGCCCCCACCACCACAGGCCACACCCCTGCCATCTAATGCCACACCCCCAGGCACACCCCAGCGGCGTGGCGCCTTCACCAGAGCGGAGTACGAACGGCGGCAGCAGCTGAAGATCATGGCTGACCTGGAGAAAGTGCTGAAGCAGAAAAACAAAAAACAGTCGACCACCAACAAAAACAACTCCCACTCACCTCGCAAGGAGAAACCAGGTAATCACAAATACGCTGGTGGGGCTCCTTCAGAACCTTCTAGGTGATCAGAGAATGTCTAATGATTTCTGTGAAATAAATAATAATAAAAAACTGTAATATTTTGTTTAATTTTATTCCATAGAATCATGCTTGTGTTTAAAATATGCAAAGTACTGTAGTAGTAATTTGGTTGGAAACATAAGTGTTAAGTGACAGAAGAAATCAATAAATCATGTTTTGAATTTTTGGGATCAATTTTGTGCAAAAAATGTCATTCTAGTCATTCATGAAGTTATAGATAACTGACAACTGACTGTGAGTCATAGTCTAAGCAGGTTTGGGTTAGTTGTTAGGAATGGAAAACAGCGGCGGCAGCTCTATGAGCGTCACTGTAAAACTGATACATAAAAGCTCAGATATATGATAATGTCTTTTACAAGATTCAAATAAAACATATTTAATCTACAGCACCCAGAAATGGTCATGGTAATTGTTAGCTTAGCACTAACATGCTACTAAAATCCCATTTAATCACGTAAAATCCAGTCCCAAGAGAATCGCTAGCTGAATTTAGCATTATCATAGAGGTTTCGAGTTTTTTCAATTTTGAGTTTTGAAATTTATGGCCTAAACTGAAGGTCTAGCACTAAAAGTCACAATCTGCCTCTGAAACACACATTTTATTCATTAATTTTGGTCCATATTTTAAAATATATTATAAAAGCACTGAAATTGTTGGCCTTCCAGTTATGCATAAACTAGTGACAATATCAGCAGAGATACAATAGAAAAATAATTTTACAGATAGACAAAGCACCTTATCCTCTGAGTGTGGAAACTTCCAGCTGTTTAAGATAGGGAATAATGTTTTGCAATTTGTTTTGCTTTCATTTGTGTAAACCCAAGGATTTGGAGCCCCCTAGTGGCCAGTTTATGTAAATGAGAGAGACATTTAAGTATAATTACAAGAAAGACATATGTGTATGCACACATATTACTGTTCAAAAGCTTGAAATCACCATATTAACAATTTTCATTTTATTCCTTTCAGCAATAACTTGCACAATTACTCACCAAAAGGTGTATATTAATATGTGTGTGTGTGTGTATTACATTTTGTCAACAAGAAGTGAATAAAATCATAAATATTATATTGTAGTAATCTATTTACATTTTTGTTTGATTACAACTTAATTCTGAATATTAATTTTATTTATATTCATTTTAATTCATATCTGAGGTTTACAGTTTTCTCAGTCATTTTAGAATCTTCTACAGCTCTGTTCATCATTCTGGACACATCTAACATTTCTTCATTTATATTTACATTAGTGATTTACTGAGTATTTGAAATTATTAAAAGCATTCATTCCAAGCATTTGAAGGCTACTGTGTTATGATCTCAACACTACTATTTATCTACCTTTATCTAAAACTGACCAGTAAACGTCCTTGTTTCTTCCTTTAAAATGAAACTAAATGCTTTTATTTCTGTCTCCACTCTGTAGCTGAACAGGCTAACAGCACTCAGACTAACGGGCCGCTGCTTACAAACAAAACAAACAGGTACTGCAGGTTCTTCTCTCTGTCTCTCGTCTGTTGATGCATTCAAACAGTCCTCGTCTACTCATAAAGTCAGTAAACTGTCACGTCACTAAATCATAACGACCCACTACTATTTGCATGGCTAAATGGTTCTTTGCATGGTGAAATTGTTCTCCAGATTGACGGAGAATGTGTTGTATATGGTTCTATGTAGAACCCTTTTGAAAATGGTTCTGTATAGCAATAAAAAGAGTTCTTTTATTGTTACAAGCTTGACAATATAACAATAGCAGAACTCTTTCTGGTGCTATATACAACACATTCTCCATCAATCTGAAGAACCATTTAAGCATGCAAAGGGTTGTATATAGAACACATGGTTCTAAATAGAACAATCCCCTTTACTATAGAACCCTTGAAGAACCATCTTTTTTAAGAGCGTAACAAAGAACGTTCTAGCTGGTGATACGGCACAACAAGCAAACTCGCCTAATATGGAACTAGTTTACCGCTAGTATTTATGACTTTGTTAGCTGTTCCAGAGCACCTTCCTTGTGATAGACTGAAGTCCCAAGTTCACAAACTCACCGTTTTTCAAAACACCTTTCATTTTTCCCTCTGCTCCCTCAGCGTCTCTGATTCGCCATCAAAGCTGATGTCACCAGGCCGTCCGTCCAATCAGAATGGAGATAAGGACTGGGAAAACGGCTCCAACGCTTCCTCTCCTGCTTCAATCCCAGAGTACACTGGTAAAAGCTCATCTTCACTCAATCTTAAACTACTATAATCCTAAAGCCTATTGGAGCTGGATTAGTTTTTCCAGAGTATGTCCGGTTATGCAATCTGTGTGTGATTTGACTGGCCGATACATATAAGTGCCGGTTCCCCAAATTACGCAAATTACCCTGTGTCATGAATTTGATAATTGTTCGGTCAGTGAATTGAGTCAAATTAAGTTCTGTTTTCAGCTGTTAACCTTGTTTTCAGGACGCAAAAAAGGGAACAAACAGAGGCACCATTTTCTCTTACCTGGTTTTGTTATTACATCACTGTGATGTTGATTTGAACAGGACTATTCGTACTGAAGTAACTCAGAATACGGTGAATTATTGAAGGTAATGTTCTCTTATTGCTTAAAGCCTCGCATTGTAGGTTCGTACTGAAGTAAAATCATGGATCTTGTCGGCAATCACTGAAGTTGCAGTGTTCCCCCAGATAAAACTAATCCAGCTGGAATAAGGCTTTAAACTACTTTCGAATGTTCACTGTGTACTGTGAAACAAAAAATATCGTTGCTAATATCATCTTTGAAACAGTGACTTTACACTAGGTCCAAAAAACATTCTTAAAATCCCAGGATTATTACATATTGAGCCTCATTATTCAGTAACTACATGTACTGCAATGCAATGCTGAGTTATGACTGCTGCTGGGGTTTTACACGTTAGGATCACTTCTAGGTTGAGAGTGGTCCACCACCCCCAATTTTCAGCTAAGAGTGACTCTGTGGTCCAACATTGACCACAAATAACTGAATCACCTGTTTAAGATGTAGTTGAACATTTTACAATTGTGCTGGGCATCTGGAGCCCAACTACTAATATAAGAGTATAAATGGAGAATCCAGGAATGGCCTGAGCAAGGATGGCTCAAGGCTCTCCACTTTACCAACAAATTTGTCTGTATAATCTGACAGTTTAAGAACAATTTTCATCAACCAACGATTGCAAGGGTTTTAGATATTTCACCCTCTATGGGGCATAATATCATCAAGATTCTGGGAAACCAGAGGAATCTCAGTGCATAAAGGCTGAAATCTGTTACTGAGTGCTCGTGATCTTCAATCTCACAGACGGCACTGCATTAGAAACTGGCATGCTCCTTGATGGATATCACCACATGGGCTTGGGAATACTGACAAATTGTACTATGAATAGCATAAATCATTTATTAACAACATCCAGAAATGCTGCCGACTTCTCTGGGCTTGAGCTCATCTGAAATGGACTGATGCACAGTAGAAACGTATTATTGTCTGACGAGTCAATCTTTCAGACTGTGTATAGAAATAATTAACATCATGTTCTCTGGGCCAAGGAAGAAAAAGACCATGTAGACTGTTACCAGCATAAAGTTCAAAATTCAGCATCTGTCATGATATGGAGGTGTATTAACAGGTAACTTACACATCTGTGAAGGCACTATTAATATTGAAAGATACATGCTGCCTTCTAGACATCTTTTTCGGCAACATCCATGCTTATTTCAGTGTGATATGCCAATACAGGTTCTGCACGTGTCACAAAAGAATGGCATTCACTTACTTTCACAGCTTTTTAGATATTGAAGTTTGGAGCTTGTCTGTTAAGTAGGAGCCATTGAATAAGGAAATCACCAAACATAAGGGTCAGAATTGAACAGCCCTTGTCTACAGTTTTTAATTGTACACCAGCAAGGTGGAGCTACAAGGAAGGCCAGCAGCAATACACTATTTATCTGTAGTGTATACCATTTTTCTTAACATTATCAATGTGTTGATAACACATAATGTAATCAATTTGTTGCACCTACACTGTGCATGTGTGTTCAGGGCCCAAACTGTTCAAGGAGCCGAGTTTTAAATCCAACAAATTCATCATCCACAACGCCCTCTCACGCTGCTGCCTCGCAGGAAAGGTCAACGAGAGTCAGAAGAACAAGATTATTGAGGTACAGCAACCCCTGCACATACATACAGCCACAGGCTCTGATTCCTCCTCACCTCACATCCACCCACACACTCACATCCACCTTATCTGATCTGATCTACTGAGAAGCGAGATGATGATGACTCAGACTCAGAGAAACCATCCTAAAGGGAATTTTATTGATGTTATTTTTGAGGACAGTAGTGGAAAGTGAGCTCCAGCTAATAGTCAGTTAGTAGCAGTGCTCTAGAGATCAGGCTGTTGGGCAAAATAGAGGAAATACACCCCCCCCCCAAAAAAAAAACAATGTCTATTTACTGTAAAAACTTAACAGTATCTGTACATTTATCATGTACAGGATGATGTTTAAACCTGCACACAGTTTGAGGAAATAAATTGGAACAGCGAACAGTTCTGTTTTTACCATACAAAATAGAAAATCTCTCATCTTGACTCTCTGTCGGAGAAGGGAGTTTAAAAATTATCATCTAAATTTTGCAGAATTTATCATTTATTTGCAAATCATTTCTAGTCTTGGTCCTGGAGATCTTCCACCCTGGATAGTTCAGATCCAACACACCTAGCTGTAATATTCAGATGCTTCTGAAGGTCTTCATTACCTAAATCAGGTGTTCGATCAGGGTTGGAGATAAACTGCATTGTGCTAGATCTTTGGGACCAGGACTAACAGTGTGTGTCCACTGCGAGGTCATTATCTGAAATTTCATTCCATTTCAAGTGGAAGAGCACAGGAGGGTTTGAGGGACCACAAAGAGTGAGAACTTGCTCAGAACATGGCAACAAAAGTTGGTTTCAACTTTAAATAAATTACGAACAGCAGCCACGTAGCACTGACCAACTGGGAGCAATTTCTAGGGTGACAACTTGGAGTTAATTTTGTGCCAAAAGTTTGAAATAAAATTATAAAATCTACATGTAAAATGATAAGTATCAAAAAGTCCAAAATGTATTGAAAATACATGTAATGAGAATTGAGTTTAACTTACTGCTACTGATTTGGAGTGACAGGTATGCAGACACATAGCCACGGCCACTCCATGAGCTCTGATCCGTGGAACACAAAGTATTGAGTATAGTATTGCTGAGAGGATTGTGCAGGCATCTCCAACATTATAAGCAATATTCTGGATGGTTTCTTATCAGGAAGACGCCAAATCAGTTGACCAATCGAGACTGCAGGTGAACTCCCTCCTGTAAGATCTGACCCCAGTGAAAATGTGCCAAAAGAAAGTTTCAGAAGCCAAAGAATCTTTCCAGAAGCAAAAAAATTAGCAGCAAAGTGAAACAAAGACTGGCAAAAGAGCAATACATTTATTTTAAAAATGAGTGAAAATGAGTAGTAATCTTTTTGAAAAAATTTCATGTAACTCATTATTTTTATTTACAACATATTTTGGAGATTCTGATATGTAACATTTTGCTTGCTGATTTTATTTCATTTGAAACTTCTGGCACAAAATGATCTCTGTAGACAGGTTTAACAGGCGCAATCAGAGTTAAGGCCATCACACACCGAGAAAAGAAACCCAAGCTCTTTCTCTCAGTTTTAGCTGCTTTTGGAGATTCTGAGCCTTTTGATGTTTGAGAAAAAGTTCTAATTGCATGAACTCATCAATTGATCATCTTGGTTGTCACCATGCCAACACTAGAGATGACCGTGATTGGTCAGAGAGTTCATGTCCCTGGCAAAAGTTTGCAGAAAACAAACACAGATAAACATTGTCACGTTTTCACCACCTGAAAATATGTCTTTGATGTGCGAGATGTCGTCACTTGTACACCAGCCTGAATTCATTTATTGTCATCAGAATAAAACACAATGTCGAAGGACCTTTATAAGAATACAACCAATAAGACACAAAGGTTGGCTATGTAAGGCTAGGTAAATCAGGGTTAACTCAAACCAAGTGAGACAACAGACAAAACTCAAAACAGGGGCAAATGAGAGCTCTGGAGAGGAATTTGAGCACCCCTGGCCTGGACAGGAGGCCTAATTTCACACCTGACCATAACAAACAGCATATTCCATCATGTCATTGTTCACAGTCTCTCTCAAATAAAGCTGTCACATCACAATTTTTTCCCTCTTCTTTCACCCCGCCCCATTCCTGTTTCCTAGGAGATGGAAAAAAGCTCAGCCAACCACTTCCTGATCCTCCTTCGTGACTCCAACTGTCAGTTCCGTGCCATCTACACCCTGGATGGCCAGTCGGACGAGCTGCAGCGGCTGTGTGGTGTCGGCCCGCGTACCATTTCCTGTTCCGCCGTGCAGGCCATTTACAAATACAGCTCGGACAGGAAGCAGTTCAGCGCGCTGCCTTCTCGCACCGTGAGCATGAGCGTGGATGCCTTCACTATCCCCGCCCACTTGTGGCAGTCCAAGAAACAAAGCACACCAAAAAAAGCAGCCACGCCCAAATAGAAGGAACCACACCCCCTAAAACGTTGGCGCTCCAAAAGAAGGAACTTCATCTCAACACAGGAGCCAGTATCTTCACGAAAGGAAGCTAGGTCTCAGCATACTTGATCTTTTTAGGATATCCAAGAAGAATCCGGCTCTTTTCTGGACGCTCCTTGTCTGACCACGTCTACATTATTGGAATGCCCCAGAATGCAGTTTAGAACGGTTGAAAGGTAGTGGGGACCAATTAGCATGATTTCCGGTTTCTTTTAATGCAGCTTTCTTTAGAAATGTTTAGCTAATTTCTTCTACTGCAGCTTTTCCTTCATGTTTTGATGGAATATTCATTTAACAGCATCCCAATCATGAAGCGATCTTCCCAAAACACAGTACAACCATCGTTTCAAAAAACTGTTACCAACTCTCAAAACCCGCCCAAGTAGACCAGCCTCTGTGGGAAGAGTCTACACTAGTTGCATGTAAATAGAAGAAGCAAAGCACCAGAAAAAAGCAAGACACATCAAAAAAGAGTGTGAACACTTACTCAGATATCTTTCCTGAACATTTCCTAAGCATATATTCTCCCCTGAGTTGTACATAAAAACATTGATAGACCTTTCCTAAAACTTGGCACACTAACACAAAAAGTTCTTTCGTTTTTTAGTGAGAACATTACTCACCTTTGGCCTTAAATCCAGCTGTTGATTGGCCGTAGGCTTTTAAGATTTACCTGTGGATTGGTTCCAGGGTTGAAGATCTAAATTCTAATTGGTTAGATGCATTTGCAACAAACTGCTGATTGAACAAAGGATTATAAAATCTATATGAATGATTAGATGGTTTTAGGTTCAGATGAGCTGATGTCGAATCAGATTTCTTGGTTTCTCGTAGTTCTGTTTGAGTGTTTTTCCACTGCAGAACTGTGCTTTTTCAATTAGCTACCAGTTCAATGCCGAAGGTTCCCGTTTTATGGGTTATGGAACCTGTACAAGATTGGTACCCACAGGACCTAATGGTACCCATTGTCCTCTCTATTTGGTAACACTTGCATCTGAAGCAAATGAAAAGTTAGCAAATTATTTACTCTTCTAGGTGAGGATAAAGTCAGTAAGCACTATAACATCACCAATAAGTGCACTAGAACATAAACTAGACCTGTATGTTCACACATCGTAGACACATCGATTGCTATTTTTTGGAATTATTTCTTTATAAACAATTTGTGAAGGTGATATAAGCTAGTCAGGAAGGTGCTGCTAATGTTATTAGCATGTGCAATTAACTTGTCTTCAATCGCAGTTATGGCGATTGTTCCAGCCATCTGACAAATGGAGGAAATGATGTTGAACTAACTAAAAGTTAGTTCTGTTGATTCATGCTTTGGTTAGTGCTTGTTTTTGAGTGTGCAGTGGAAAAATGCTTTTGAGCCCTATTCTAACTGGATTAGTTTTACATGAGGAGGTGGGTAATGTCATTTTGCCAGCGATTCTCGGTGATTTCAGTCCTGTCCGAATACGCCACTTCAGTAACAATTCCGGTGCAATCGCCTAGCAACACCCCAGCAACCACCTAGCAACACCCTAGCAACCACCTGGGATGCCATAGCAACCACTTTGCAACACCCAACAACCACTTAGCAACCAACTAGCAACACCCTACCAACCACCTGGGATGCCATAGCAACACCTACCAACCACCTAGCAACCAACTAGCAACACCCCAGCAACCACCTGGGATAGCATAGTGACCACCTAGCAACACCCCAGCAACCTGCCTAGCAAACCCTAGCAACCACCTGGAATGCCATAGCAACCACCTAGCGACACCTAACAACCACCCAGCAACCAACTAGCAATACCCCAGCAACCACATGGGATACCATAGCAACCACATAGCCACACCCTACCAACCACCTAGCAACACCCTAGCAAACACCTGGGATACCATAGCAACAACCTAGCAACACCCTGCCAACCACCTAGCAACACCCTAGCAAACACCTGGGATACCATAGCAACAACCTAGCAACACCCTACCAACCACCTAGCAACCAACTAGCAACACCCCAGCAAACAGCTGGGATAGCATAGTGACCACCTAGCTACAACCCAGCAACCCACCTAGCAACACCCTAGCAACCACCTGGGATGCAATAGCAACCACCTAGCAACACCCTAGCAACCACCTAGCAACACCCCAGTAACCATCTGGGATACCATAGCAACCACCTATCAACACCTTTGTTCAAATACCATAGTGACTATTCAGCAACACCCTAACAACTGCTAACTGTCCGGCAACACCCTAGCAACCACCTGGGAACTGCTTACGCTGCACAATCACTCTGCATTTTCTTCAGGAAACGCACTTTTCCATTTTACACTGAGATTTCTTATGGCATTAGAATCACTTATGAACATTACAGACGTCCTGTGGTAAACTGGCGGTATCCCGGCTCCTCACGGTAAACTAATCCTATCCGAATAGGCCTTCAGTCAGTGCTCCTGTTCTGAAATGCTTTATGAATCCCGGCTCTGGACGGTGGCCGTTTCATGCTTGTTGAAAATGTCTGTAAACTTCTCGTTTTGTTTGACTGCACTTTTCTAGCCCCTGGAATAGACGCAAGAGTGTAAACTTTTCAATGTACTGGACCTTTTTTTTATCCTCTTGTGAGCACTTTTATACATTCAAACGTCGTAACACGCCAAGTTTAGTATGTAGTATTTTTAAGAACCTGCAAAGTCTACAACAGTTCTAGAATTAGAACGCTGGAACAGAACACTCTTAGAACATCTCCATAGCGACGGATGTACATTTGCAACCATATAATTTATTCTGTTTGTATCGTCATGAGAAACCCGAGCTGTATGTATGTGTGACTGACTGCATATCCTGAACATTTGTTCTCAGACCTGGAGCTACTGCTGCTCCAACACTGATAATATTTCAGACAGACACAAATGAAGAGCCCTGTGTGCACATTTTTACATACACTATGTACCATCAAAGCCCCTTTTTCCATTTCCCGGCTCCAGCTCTCTCTGAAAGCTCCAAAACAGACAGATAAAAGAGAAAGAGATGAAACCTTCACATCTTCCCGTCTACCAAAAGCTGAAATGCTGTGACCCACTTTGAAATGCCTGTTCTGCTCTTGAATAATGGTTTCCTGGTAATGCTGTGTGTGTATGACGTGGACTGCATGAGGTCTGAACCCGAATGCTCCCTGGTACATTTGCCCTTCATATGTCTTGTCACATCTGGAAACATCTCTAAATCTGCATCTGGAGAGGTAATGTTAGCAGAGAATTGTGCTAATTTCTCAAAATTTCTGCATAATTAAATATTTCAGACGTAAACAGAGTCATTCAGAGTGGTTTGGTGTGAAATGATCTGTTCTAGAGAAACTTACCAAATCAGAACTGTTCACAGTGGTGGTGATAGGAACCAGACGTCCACCTCTAAAAGCTCCCTCACAGAAAGTTACTACAGTAAATGGTTATGAATTCACTGACTGATGTCTGAGACACTGTTTTGTGATAGTTTTTATGATCAAGTTTTGGCCTAAATTGTCTTGTTAATCCTTTTACTTTAATCCATTCATGGTGGAGGGATACATGCAGGACGTTGCAAGGCTAAATAATCCCCAAAGAAAACTTTTTCTGGTTTTGGATGGTAAATAAAATGGCTGTATTGGCGTTGTAGTCACGGCACCAACACTGTAAAGAAATCTGAGTCTCTACAGTCAACTGTTTCACACCGAGCCACTCTGAATCACTCTGTTTACATGGCAGTGATGGAATTTTGTAGAATTTTTTAAAGATTGGCAGAATTCCCCTTTAAACTAGGCTAAGGGATACTCATTCATCTTGCAATAGCCCCTCTTTCATGGGTGCTTCTTGTCTAGATCATTGGAAAGATTATTGAAATGCTTCATCACAAAATGATAATGATAATGTAGCTGACAATGGATGAAAAGTGAATGGGGACCAGTTAGCATGATTTAGGCTAACTACGTTAGCATGCAGTCTTTCATTTACACTTGGACACTCAATCTGCATCAGCAGGTTTAGGAATTAGCATATATGCAACTTAGGCCATGTCACAGTTTAATATTGTAGTTATTTTACTAAACCATGTTATAGTTTAGTAAAATTGTAATACGGCGAACTAAATTGATGTTAGCAGTTGGCTTTCGTGCTAGTTTCCATTCTTTGGTGGTCACATTAGCATTTTTTCCACAACTGGAAGCCATCAGGGCATAAAACTGCCACTTAGCATGAGCACAGTTATGCTAACTCCTGGGTTTAATGCCCTGCTAGTGTCCAGACATTGTTAGCCATGTTAGCATTAGCATTAGCATATGACCCAACTGTCAGGTCATGCTAATGTTGCTGAGTTGCTGATAAAGAGAAATATGGTTATGGCTGGAAACCACTTAATCTACCTACACCTGCATTTACTGGACGTAATTCTCTCTCTTTTCCTCTCTGTCTCAGTGCAACAGTGTCTGTTATCCTTCGTATGTATGAGTGTGTGTGTGTGTTTGTATCTCCGCATGACTGATAAAATCAGAGAACATAGGTTACTGAGTTTTTATTCGGTCTGGCTAATGTTAATAAAACGGTCAATAAAACCATTTTCCACAACACAATTCTGGCGTCTCTATCACTGCAACCTAATAATGTTATTTAAAGACTCTGAAATGTAAGGTAATAAATGTAAAGTGAGGCTTAGAAAGAATTTGTTGGAATTATGCTTTTTAATCTCAGCCTCTGGGGATGTTGGCACATTTAAAAAGCTTCGCTCATTTGCTGACAGGTTGAATTTGGAAGGGAAAAAAACCAACACTGACAGATAAGCTGGTTCACACTGGTACAGTCACGCTCTTCTGGTCCCTACTGTGAATTTATTACTTTGGGGATTGAAATGTGACGGTACTACATACTAATGACATGCTGATGAAATTTGCATTAGCTAATAATTTATGAGCTAACTTTAGCTAACTTAGTAAGTAATGCATTACCGCCCTCTAAAGGCGTCATTAACGAACATCAAATAAACAAAAGTCGCTCAGCGCCGCCCTCTAAAGGCGTCATTAACGAACAGCAAATAAACAAACGTTGCTCAGCGCCACCATCTAAAGGCGTCATTAACGAACATCGAATACACAGTTGCTCAGCGCCGCCCTCTAAAGGCGTCATTAACAAACATCAAATAAACAAATGTCACTCAGCGCTGCCCTCTAAAGGCATCATCAACAAACATCAAATAAACAAATGTCGCTCAGCGCCGCCCTCTAAAGGTGTCATTAACAACCATCGAATAAACAAACGTTGCTCAGCGCCGCCCTCTAAAGGCGTCATTAGCAAACATCGAATAAACAAACGTCGCTCAGCGCCGCCCTCTAAAGGAGTCATCAACAACCATCGAATAAACAAACGTTGCTCAGCGCCGCCCTCTAAAGGTGTCATTACCAAACATTAAATAAACAAACGTCGCTCAGCGCCGCCCTCTAAAGGTGTCATTACCAAACATTAAATAAACAACGTTGCTCAGCGCCGCCCTCTAAAGGCGTCATTAACAAACATCGAATAAACAAACGTCGCTCAGCGCCGCCCTCTAAAGGTGTCATTACCAAACATTAAATAAACAAACGTCGCTCAGCGCTGCCCTCTAAAGGCGTCATTAACAAACATCAAATAAACAAACGTCGCTCAGCACCGCCCTCTAAAGGCGTCATTAACAAACATCAAATAAACAAACAGCGCTCAGCGCCGCCCTCTAAAGGCGTCATTAACAAACATCAAATAAACAAACGTCGCTCAGCGCCGCCCTCTAAAGGTGTCATTAACAAACACTTTTTATTCAATAAGACCCACTGAATGCATTTTCTGTTTTCCTTTATTAGTAATAATTTAATCTAATACCTAATAACTCTTGTTCACAGTCGGAGGGGGGGGGGTACGTCCCTCTATCTGCCCACTTAGATTACACCCCTGGGATGACAGAGTTTCAGACATGCTCAGTACTTTTCTAAAAAAAACTTGCTGGGTTTCACTTTGCATGTGTATGAACCGTGACAGCAACTGTGCTGCATAATTCATTTGTACTTTGTATGGCTGTGGAACAGTCGTATTTGCTCTTTGTTTTTTGCCTTTGCTTCCCCACAGATTTTGCATTTGGAGGTTTCCCACACTCAGTGCTGTGGATCAAAGGTCTGTTGGTGAGCCACAGGCATGGCCTTTAACCATGCTACACTCTGTCTCTCCCAAAGATCAGCTCTGGAATCATCCATGTTTGTTTAATGTCTTTAATTCTGGGTCCGTAAATGGGTCCACTTCAGTTCCTCGCTCTCATAGCTACAAAACTTGTTTCACAATATTATGGAATAATTCAAAGTGGTGATGGGATAATAAGACTTAAGATTATTAGCTAATCAATAAGCCTAGTGTTAAAGGGGTTAAATAATACTGAGAGTAAGTAGAATTTTCATTGCTGATACAATGAAAAGAAAAAACTGTGGTAATGTGAAGTGTGGGAACCTCCGGCTCTTGCCCTGTGCCATGCAGGCATCCCTCGAGCAGCTGGCAACTATGCCAAATGGCATCAGCTAATATGCCGCCTGACTATAAAACACACCTGCTCTGTCTTCTCTTTTACACCAACCTCTGAAGCTCCACCTGGCTACGACAGAAGGTGTCTCAGAGTCTCATTTTCTTTTGCTCTTCAGAACAGAGCTATGAGTTCAGTGAGTTCCTTCAGATACTCCAGTATCGGATCGGTTGGGTCTGGGTCACTTTGGGCTGGAGGAGGTGGTGTGAGACCCAGCTATGGCTACTCTTTGGGCCTGGGGTTGGGTGGTGGTGTCCAGAGCCATGTTGGTCTTGGATTAGCGTCAGGTTTAGGTGTAGGTGTAGGTTTAGGTTTAGGTGCTGGTGGTGGCAGGTTTGGGGCAGGCTTAGCAGTTGGTGGTGGAAGGTTTGGGTTAGGCTTGGCTTCTGGTGGTGGTGGAGGAAGGTTTGGTTTTGGATTGTCTTCTGGAGGTGGTGGAGGTGGTGCTGGTTTCTGGGCTGGAGAAAGCTCCTCCATAGATGGCGGCCTTCACCCGTTCACCGCAAATGAAAAAGTGGAGCTACAGACCCTGAATGACCGGCTGGCCATCTACCTGAACAAGGTGAAGAAACTTGAGACTGCCAACCGTGAGCTGGAGGAGAAACTTAGGGGGTTCCAGGCCAACAAGGTGCAGGTCACGTATGACATGCAAGCCTATCAGGATCAACTACAACCTCTTCGAGAACAGGTGGGTGTATATGCTCTTTTTGTCTGTATGTGATAGCAAGAGTGTTAAAAATCTGTAGCTGGAGAAAAGGTATTGCATTTAGATACTGTGGAACAATAAATTTTAAAATTTAAGCAAAAAAATGTTTTTGAACTAGTTTTTAAGATAGAGTTTCATGAACTTTCTCATGATCGTTGTTCCTTGAATGATTTTTCTTTCTCCATAGTTTACAGATATTTTGAGGGAGTCCACACGCCTCGCGTTAACCATCGATAACATCAAACTGGCTGCTGATAATTTCAGAACCAAGTAAGTCTATGTTTTAAATTTTGGACAAATTTTACATTTTTGGATTGTACTGTAAAGTGCTGAGCTTTTGTGGCAACACTTGGACATTTTCCAAGCCCTTCGTGGTGCAGTCAAGGGTCCATAACTGATTTATTAGGAAACTTAATTAACATTTTTTTATTGCCAAAGTTTTTGTTCTGTCTGATACTGTGAGGACTTTTGGTGTTTCAGGACATTTTGGAGACAACATGACTTTACGTCGGAGAGTTTAAGAACCAAACCTGTTTCAGTAACAATGAGTCAGCACTATGAGTCATATCACTCTTTCCTAAATGATGTTTGTAGGTATGAGAATGAGCACGCTATGAGGCAGGTGGTGGAGAGCGATGTAGCTGCCCTGAAGGCTCTGAAGAAAGAATATGATCTGGCGATTGCTGGTCTGACACAGGAATATCAGCTCCTTGTGAAAGATCGTGATACCCTAAAAAGGACCCACGAGCAGGTGAGATGACGCAGGAGAGAAGAAGAGTAAAGACAAGGGAAGAGGGAAACCGACAAAGATAAAGAAAAACAGAATCAAGTGGATTTTGCCCACTTTTTGCCCAGCCAGATTATTATAAATAATTAGAAAGAACAAACTTAGTCTCATTTAGTTGGATTTTGTGCAATACATTATGCCAAACATTGAGTAAAAATCATTGTATTCACAGTATTTGATAGTCATTTTATAAAATGTAGCACTCCTGTCTTTTTTTTCTCTGTTTCAACTGGTCTGAAAAAGGAAATATCCTGACATAATGTGTATCATGAAAATTTCTTGAAGTATTGCAATTTTATATTTTTGCCATACCGCCCACCTCTAACTGATATGTACATAGTAAAGATAAAAAACATCAGCAAACTTAAAAGCTCAAACCTAATAATCTACAGAGTACTGCTACAGTGTTTGTGAACCATTTATATCTAATGTTTGATGACTTTATGTGCAGAAGTAGACAGTTTGGATTGAGATCTCTACCAATAAGGACTTCTTTCTTTAAATCAAGTGGCTGACATTTTGTGTTCAGCTTCAGAAATTAGCACCCTGCACCCTGAGTATCAGGTTTTGCTTTTACGGATCCCCCAGGCACATGTCGTGAATATCTGGATCCTCAAATTCAAAGTACATTCAAAGGAACACTAGCTCACTGCCAAAAACACCTAAAAGCTTAACTGACATAATAGTGGATAGTTGAAATAAAGTCAACATTCAGGTAAGACATGGAAAGTGTCAAGGTTACGATCAACCGTATCACAGTGACAATGAAGTTTAAACTGGCTCATTTATTTTGCTGCTAGTAAAGTTCCCACCGCAGCTAGCATGCCTGAGTGTTTTTTCTGCATTTCCATTCAGGCTTTCTTATGCTCAATAAAATGTTGATGGACACTCAAAAACGAACTTGATATTTTAATAAAGCAAGTTACAAAAGCGACTCCTGACTCCTAACTTTTGACCTCTGTGCTGCAGGAAGTGTTGTCTCTGCGTGGGCAGATGACAGGAACGCTAACTGTAAATGTCCAAGTGGAAAACACTGTGGATCTCTCTAACAGACTGGCCGACCTCCGTGCTGAGTATGAAACCGTCGTGGAGAGAAACCGTAAAGAGATTGAGAGCTGGTACACCTCAAAGGTACGTACACAAATAAACACACTTGCTGGTGAAGCAATTCGACATTCACAGTCACACCTGATACACAGAAGCTGTGTGTGGTTGGCATAGTGTAGTGGGTAACACCTCTGCCTTCTACACTGTAGACTGGCGTTCAATCCCCGCCTGGGTAAGCACCCTACACTATACCAATAAGAGTCCTTGGGCAAGACTCCTAACACTACCTTCACCTACCTGTGTAAAATGATCAAATTGTGAGTCGCTCTGGATAAGAGCGTCTGTCAAATGCCATAAATGTAAATGTAAACAAGCATCCAACAGCACACCAATACTTAGTCATTCACAATCACAACTGGTTCACTGACGTGACACATCTTGAAGTCGGATTCATTTACCTGATTAAATCAAACTACACATGCAAATGTACAATGTGTTTGTTTTCAGATGGCTTCAAAAGACAAAGAGATAATAAAAGTTACAGATGTCACGGTGGCAGGGAGCACTGAGATTGCTACGAGCCGAGGTCAGATCCTGAACCTTCAGACTGAGCTGGACGCACTGCTGCTTCAGGTAACACGCCACACCTGACCTGAACCTGTTCCATACTTCACACAAGTCTGTTTGGCTTTGCATTTGGCAGAAAGCCTTCTTTCTGGACCAACTCCAATTCTTCTGAGTCAGCTATTTGACAGTTCTTTTACAACTGCTGTTGCGCAAGAGCATTTTATACCTTGGCCAAGATCCTGCTTAGTCTAAGTGCTTGGATAGCATTTACTTTTGCTGCCTTTACTCGGAGCTCTTATGTTTATGATGTGAGCCTCACTCACTTGTTCCCTGTCTATCTGCAGAAGACCTACCAGGAACAGCGCCTGGTGGACGTTCAGGGGCAAAAGCAGGTACAGCTGCTGGCTCTGAGTCGACTGGCTGGTGGTCTGGAGGCTGAGCTGGCTTCAGTGCGGGACAACGCTCTGCACCAGGCCCGAGAATACCAGCTGCTGCTTAGCACGAAAGTGCAGCTGGAGAAAGAGATCGCTACCTACAAAACCTTGTTGGAGGGTGCTGGAGACCTCAGCAAGATCGCTGGCATCAGGCTTCCATCATCGAGTGCCCCAGCACTTGCTTCGGCTGTTCCAGAAATCTATGCAGCAGGTAAGTCAGGGGGTCTAATCTCGTCTGCAAATGGCCGGTGTGGCTGCAGGTTAAAATTCCAACAGAGCAGAAGATCGCTTGATCAAATGTTTGAAGCCTGAGAGAAACTGATTAAACTAGTGGAATTAGGTTTGCTTCAGCTTGTTTGGAGTGAAAGCCTGTGGTCACACCAATAAGATTGGACACTCCTGGGGTAAGAAATTGTCACTGGCTGTGTTTTGTAGTAATAGAAGTGACCAGGCAAGATGCATTCCACCAGATGTTCAATGTCAAAACCTAACTCCAAGGTTTCTCAGCTATCACAATTGGGCTGCAAAGCACCCTCTGGTGGTCCTCTACCACTAGCACTTTGGCACTTTGTTGTAAAAATAGGTGAAAAAATGGATACTCAAAAGATTCAAATCTCTTTAAACAATAAACATATTAACACAAGTCCTACAACAACAGCGCAAGAAGCAGCTTTGTCTAATTTTGTCTATTTGTCTAATTTTTGCCTCTCCTGATGTTTCACTCATCCACTTACAGGTGGCTGGTTTAAAAACAGGTTTCAGAAACATTCTGCTTAACTTCTGTTAACAAATTTATGTAGCCTCATCTGCTGATATTATACGGCAGTGATGCATATCGCTGTGCTGACAATTATCATCTACAACAGCGTTCAAAATTGTTGATAACAACAATGAATTCAAACAGAAAAAAATGTTGAAATATGAATAAATTATAGGTAAAAAGTGGTCACTGCTGTGCTCTCGTCCCCTGCGATGGACGGGCGACCTGTCCAGGGTGTATCCTACGTTCTGTCCAATGACCGCTGGGATAGAATCCAGCACCCCCCGCGATCCAGAAGGATAAGCGGTTTAGAAAATGTGTCTTTTCTGTACTTTACTATTATTATTATTATTATTATTATTATTATTATTACTACATCTATCATGTAAAACGAACTACAAATGAATTCCAGTCCTTTTTCCCATTATATTCTAAAGAAACTCTTAATATGATCTAATCTTTAAGCATTTTTCATTATTCCCAAGGTTTTCTTATGTCAGTACTTAAAAGATAAAAGGTACATAAAAGATAATTTTAAGCAAAACACACACAATCTAAGCCACTTATCCTCCTGGGTCACAGGAGCCAGTCCCAATGCTCATTGAGCAGAAGGCATGAAACACCCTGGACAGGTCACCCATCCATCGCAGGGCAGACACACACATTTATACCTGGGGGCTATTTAGCAATCGGCCTGACTGCATGTTTTTGGACTGTGGAAGTAAACCTCTGCGGACACTGGGAGACTCCACACAGAAAGGACCCTGGTCACCCGGCCAGGGGAATCGAACCCAGACCCTTCTTGCTGTAACCAGTTTGAAGCAATAAATAAAGTAATAAATCCTCTGTGAGCTTTATTGCTCAATAGTGATACATAGGTGGGCCTTAAAGAGAGCCCAGCTAATTTTAACCACCTTTAAGCACCTTTGTAGAGGATATGATGTTATGATATGATAGTTGGCCACTGGTGAGGTTGTGATGTAGTTGGAGGAGGTGAGAATGTGATGACTTTTGTTTTTCAGCAGGTGCAGTTGTAGCTGCAGAGGCTGGTGGGACTGAGGCTTCAGCAGATGTCCAGCCACCATCAGCAAGCAGCCCTGGAGAGGGTATGATGTCTTTGGTTGATTTGAACCAAATTTTTAAAACATGTACTTGTATTTTTATACATTTGAAATACATTTCAAATAATTTGCAGTTCATGCTGAAGTACATTCCAAGCACTAAAATGTGGTTCTTCCTCATGTTCTTAGAGAGTTTCTCCTTTTGAATCTTGGTTCCTTTCAGTGGTTCTTCTTTGTCCTCTCAGGACATTTTTCCTTTTAAGTCTTGGTTCTTTTCAATGGTTCTATATAACCATATAAACAGATGTGAACTGAATTCAACTAAACTGCACAGAGAGGCTAAAGTGTGTGGGGCAACAAATATTGTGTAGAAATGTGATACAAGACCTTAAAGGAGCAACTTGTAAGATTTTTAGTTTAAAACATTCCAAAATTACCTAAAATTATTAACAGAACATGATGAAATAGCAGTTTTGATGTTATATCAAAGACGTAGAGACACAGTAGAGATATCTACTGAAGTTAGCATGCTAACCAGCTAGCCCTGGCCCGTCCTGACTTGTAATACCATTTTCTACCAGTGAGTCACTGTTGTGTCGAGTCTGCCGTCAGTCCAATATGACAGGATGAAGAAGTAACCACTTCTGGCAAGAAACCACAAAGAAGTGACATAAATAGGAGCAAAATTAGTTAGCATTGGCACTGCTTTCCACCACTAAAGACTGGAGCTCTGGGCAAATAAAGGGATCAAATTTAATGCAGAACTCGCAACATTTCTTCTGGACGGGTAAGTAAACAGGTGAGGAGTGAAGACGGAGGAAGAAGGACGGTGTGGAGTATGAATTCGACAGGTCTTATATCTTACCTACTGCTCCTTTGAGTCACTAATTAATGAGGAAGTGTTAAGTTTGAGTAGATGCGAAAGTGACTTCCTACATTCTTACAAATCAAAGAGTCTCATCAACAGGTGAAGAAGGTATTCCTGCAATAGATGCTGTGAGGTCAAAGCTCTCTGCATCATCACCTTTCGATGCCCTTCTTGAGTAGCTGTTCTAGCGCTCCTTCATTACAGGTACAAACACATAGTGCACACTGTAACTGAGGGTTCTGCCTCAGTGTATTCAAATGTTATTTAAAGGTTTGACAGGTATTGCTGGAGTTTTAGAACTACAGTTACCTTTCGGGGGCTTTTTTTTCTCTACAATAAACACAGCTACTGTTTTATGTTAGCACAAATTGTAAAAACATTAACTTCAGCTAGTACACCCTGGTGCGTAACATAGGAAATAACTGAGGAATGATGGCAAATCTTTGGTACAGCAAATGACAGGCATACAGAACTTAATGGAGTTGTCTGTTTTCTATTTTCATGTCTTTCTGTCTCTTCCATGATGAAGAAGTTTGAAGCTTTCCCATCTACATGTCTACTGAAGAACAGCCTGACTCTTCTCTTCATGGCAGACTGTGAAGTCACTGTTAATCTGTATTTTAAGCCACACTAACCACAACCACATTAATCATTAAACTCTTCTCTCTAACAATAAACTCCAGTCTCTAATAAACAACTGAAACTTACCCGACTGTGTCAAATGATCATCAGTTTGATTATTCACAATTAGATACTGATGAAATTCTTGTAGAATTTTATAGAAAGGTGGACATAAGTAGATTTTAGCCAATGATTTTTTTTGTTTATTTTTTAAACTGATATTGAAAAAATTCAAAAATTGCTTTACATGTGAAAATCCAGGAGTGTGCAGTCACATACAGAATACAGCGTTATCGGTATTATCAGAGAGTCAGTTTGATTAGGTTATTAAACATGCTATTTACACTCGAAAGAATTGCTGTAGCTTTTAGATTCATTTGGCTTAATTTCAAAGTGGGATTCTTCAAGGTTTTTGGTCACGTGACACCATTTAAACATCTGAACGTTTAAATGGTTCTTCTCTATAAAGGAGAACATGCCATATACAGTGTAAGGTTCTTTTAAATACTTTTTGAAATTGTTTCATATTTCTCTAAAACTGGTCCCAGTATTGCTACAAGTAAAAGAACTGATTTGGCACTACATATAATCTGTAAGGGAAAGATACATTAATCAACATTATAACTTCTGCTGAAGGTAACATTACAACATTTAAAAATCTACTTGAGGTAAGGCCTGACAAATACAGACAAAGGTACAAAAAGGAAAAGCATTAATAATCTGCAGTGAACACCTCTGACTGAATGTACGTATTATAATTAAGACATTTTGATCATAAGTATTAAGGCATATTAATGGTGAATTTAATATGTGTCGGTGAATTTATATGTGTCTGTGAATTTATCAAACTTTTTATAGTTTGTTTTATTTTATCCTAATATGCTAAACTCAAAAATAAGTAGGGTTTCACTTAGAAAATCAGCAACACATGGAATCTGACCAGGGGTGTGCAAAATTTTGCATGAGACTTTATACAGTTATGTATCGCTGTTGGAAGAAAACCTTGTATCTATGGTAACTTTACAGGAGAACGAAAAAACATACTGTACTTTTAATGTAAGTCAATGGAACCAGATTTTTTTCCAAGTCATTTTGGGACATTTCTTTTAGTCCATTTGTTCATTTACACACAATATAAAGGGTAACAGGTATTTTCAAGTTATGTAAAAACCTGAAAAATGACAGAAATGGAAATATGAGGTTTTCTCCTGAAAGCAGCGATACATATAATTAAATACATTCAGTTGTGAGGCAAAGAGTTTGTGAACCCTTTTATCTTTTATTATCTTCATCTAAGACATGTAAGCAAATAAGTAAATAAATAAATAATTTTAATTTTAAAAATGTCCATTTTATTCCAAAAAGGTTTAAGTAATCAAGGTCACTGATGTAAAAAATGAATAAAATGAATGAATGAAAAATGAAAAAGCGAATGTCTGTGATAGTGACCTTGAAGAAGAAGGGTAGTTGGAAGTTGACTTTCCATCATCTTACACTTTTAGCAGAAAGGGTTCTATATAGTATCAAAAAAGCGTTCTTTAGCTTGTAACAATAGTGGAACCCTTTTCAAGAAGGTTCTATACAGAACCATCTACAGCACATTCTCCATCAATCTGCAGAAATCTTTCATTTGCATTGTGAAAGAGTTCTTCAGACTGATGGAGAATATGCTGTTGATGGTTCTATACAGAACCTTATTGAAAAGGGTTCTATATAGCACCAAAAAGCATTCTACTACTGTTACAAGCCAAAGAACCCTTATGTGCAGTAAAGTTTGTAGAAAAATGCTGGTAAGAGAGCAGCTTTGACTCCTCAGCCAGAAAGCTCTCTCTTGTAGCCTCACCTTACTGGTGCACAGTTTGAGTCAGCCAACCTCAACCACTAGGCTGCGGACCAAAGGCGGGCCACAAATCACCCTCTGGTGGTCCTTGGGCCACTGCTGAATGGGAACCAGAGGTCCATAATCAGCCAGTGAGAAATCGGAAAATAAAAACGACTCAATTATAGGAAAGAAGTATAAAATGTTATCAGATTGTAAGCAATATTAACCCTCTACTGAACACATTATGAGAGCAACTAAAAAAATATATTAAATTCAATTTTTTTGCATAAAATGGTCCTTGATTTTTTTTTTGGACCTGTTCATTAAATTCAAAAACATTTTGAGGCAACATTGTGTGACAATGAGAAGAAATGATATGCAGCCGTGTTCTCTGAAGCGGTGAGACCTTTCCTGTGACTGGCTAAATCCATTCCACTGTCACACAGTGTTGCTTCACAAGCTTAGGTTAGCCTAATCTGTTGATATTTTATGTTAAATGATATCCATCAGGCATACATGCTATGTAATTTGTCACTGTTGTAGGTGGACCTTGAGGTGGAAAGGGTTGAGAACCTCTGCTCTAGCCTTTCATCAGTTTCTGACCATAGAGCTGCTCTTGTTTGGATATGTTTGGGTAGTGGTCCACTCTCAGTCTAGCAGTGACACTGATGTATGCGAAAACTCTAGCAACATCGGTGGACACAGTGTTCGCCACACTAGCATCACTGCTGTGCTGAGAATGGACCTGGACAATGATATCTGAACAGTGGTCCTCTGATCAGCGGTTATGGAGTAGATGGGGCTGATAAACTGTACAGCAACAGATGGACAACAGTTTGTAACTGTACAGCTACATAGTAGAGATATAAGGAAGGAGTTTATAATAAAGTGGTAAATAAACATGAAAGATTGATGAGCTGTTTTTGTTATTTTGTATCCCCTGTATATGAAGACCAGGTCATATTTTAGGAGCCATTCTTGTAGAAATCTGGCTACTCACAGATAACAAGGGTTCACAAACCTTTTCTCACAAAATCTACCGTATGTGCGTAAAGTTTAGTACAATAAGCAGGTGAATTTACATATTAGACATTTGAACTGCACTCTCAGAAAAAAAGTACTAAACTGTCACTGGGGTGGTTCCCTCAAGGGTCCATCTCAGTACCTTTAGTCAGGGAACATAACTGAACCATAATCCACTGAAATGATATGTTCTAAGCTGTACTGACTCCACACACCCCGTCTCGTCTCCAGGCTTTTATTTTACTGTTCTGTTTTAAAACATTCGGTTATGAAAAGGTACGAATACGAACTTTTCACCTGGAAAAACTTATTTAAGGAACACAATCAGACCTTAAAACCACTGTTGTACCTTTGGGGGAACATTTACACTGTTTATACCTTGAGGAACGAAAAATGTACCTGCACAGAACCTTTATTTCTAACAGTGTGGTGTGAATTTCTAAAGATCCACCCCTGCCCAAAAATAAATGGTTCACACAAATCACCGGTTTGTGAGGAATAAATCATGTTAGATAAATATCTAAATATGATAGAATACTTTACTACAAAGTCTCGATATGTGGAATTCAAATTATGATGCCGTTACAGATCTGATTTCTCACAGAGGTTGGGTTCTTCTTTGCATATATGATTACAGATTTTGCATTTGGAGTTTTCCCACACATGGGAAGGATTGTGGGTCAAAGTATCCCACAGGCTTTGCCCCCGACCATGCTCTTATCTTTTGTAGTACGTATGAGAAAAAAATAGCATTCATTTGCAGTGCCAATGGCTAAATAACTAAACCATGCCAAGAAAGAAAGAAAAAATGCACAAAGAAATAGAGTGGGAGAAAATTTTGGGTGTGGGAATCCTGCACTCAGCCCCCAAGCTTTATGCAAATGTCCTGACTAGGGTATAAAACAGGCACATTTAACGCTCTTCTCCACACCAGCAGCAGCAGAAACTGTCTCGTCTGCTCTTGCTCTCTCAGGCAGTGCCATGGCTTCGGTTGAACCAACTTCATCCTCTTCCTGCTCCTCCTTTGGTCGATGTCCTCCACCTCAGAAGAGCAATTCCAGCGTTGGGTCAATTGGGTCTGGGTCACTTTGGGTTGGAGGTGGTGGAGCTAGGTCCAGCTATGGATACCCTTTGGGGTTGGGGTTGGGCGGTGGTGTCCAGAGCAAAATTGGGCTTGGATTAGGTTCAGGCATAGGTGTAGGCATTGGTGGTGGCAGGCTTGGAGCAAGCTTGGCAGTTGGTGGTGGAAGGCTTGGCTTAGGCTTGGCCTCTGGAAGTGGTGCTATAGGTGGTGGCAGGCTTGGGTTAGGATGGGCTGCTGGAGGTGGTGCCAGAGGTGGTGCTGGTTTCTGGACTGGAGAGATTGCAGATGGCAGTCATCACCCATTCGCTGCCAATGAGAAGCTGGAGCTGCAGTCCCTGAATGACAGGCTGGCCATCTACCTGGACAAGGTGAAGAAACTTGAGACTGCCAACCGTGAACTGGAGGAGAAGCTCCGGGGCTTCAAAGCCAACAAGGTGCAGGTCACGTATGACTTGCAGGCCTACCAGATTGAACTACAGCCTCTGCGAGAGCAGGTGGGTGCACATCCTCTCTGTTTAATTGCACTTATTAACAGGAAAACCTCTGATTTGAAACAAAAAGTTCACACTGAAGTCTTGCTCTTTCTCCTCAGCTTGCAGATGTTCTGAAGGACTGCTCACGCCTTGCTCTGTTGATCGATAATGCCAAACTGGCGGCCGATGATTACAGAATCAAGTAAGTCCGTCGCTTTCCATAAAGTCGGTTTTAAAATGTAAAAGTGTACCTGGTATGGATGGAAACTTGAAAAGGGCATTATTGGTATATCAGGTTCTTCTAGAGCATTGGTTCATGAGAGTTTTCTGATACAGCTTGGAATGTTTATAACTCAGTTTGAGTCCTGTTTGAGCTGCAGTTGGAGATGCTAACAGCATCCATGAGAAAGCAGAGGACAAATGGATCCTGTGTCCAGCAATAGTTTACACATTTCCAACAGTGTGAATAGAATTATGTTGCGTTTTTGCCGTTTGAAAAATCATGTTTGGTATGCAAGATATTATTAGTTATACATGTGATCGAATTAATTTACTGTCCTCTGAAAATACTGCACAAATAAATCATACTCTGTTTGTGAATGCCTTTAGGCTTCACATGTCTGAGGACAGAGTAACTGAGAATGAGTAACTGCCACTCTGTGCTGAACACTCTTTGGTCTTTAGCCTCCAACTCACAGCATAATTTGTTTGGCTTCAAGGCTTCATTTGAAAAGACCTGAGTGCTGAGCACAGAGTGGCAGTTTTACTCATTTGGCTAAACTTATTTGGTTATTTTTTAGTGTTTATTGTGTAATAAAAACAAGCAAAATTGACAGTCTACATTGGTTACTGCATTACATTTACACTGTGAGCAGTGACAAAGAAAATATTAAATATCAGTAAATATATTTACTTGTATTATTTATTATTTTTTGATAAGTTTTACATTACTATGGCAATTTGGCAACATATAAGTACCGTATCCCTAACATTCCAAAGTATGGAGAAACATTTGGTGAAATTTAAGGGTGCGTTTAAGGGTTTTGTTTTGTTTGTATTCCACTTTTTTACTGTCCCTTCTACTGCAAAAAATAACGCTTAAACAGCAGAATATTTATTTAAAAAGCAACTGCTGGCTTATGCCCTCATTACTGGGGGAAAAACAGGAAAAAAAGAATTCTCTGATTCTGTAAGAAAAGGAGGTTGCTACAGCTAAGCTTCAGCAAATTAAATGAGATTCATCAAAAGAAGTAAAACAGAAAAAATAGGATCACCTCAATTTTCTTGATGTAGCTCCATAGGATATTCCTCTATCTAGAGACATGGATGTAACATGGAAGACTTTGCTTAGTTTTGTTTCCTGATTACAAATAATATTAATTGGAGTATTTTACATGTAATTTCATCTGTCCTGTAAATCCTAGCTCCTAAGTGAGAAGATACTTTGAAAAAAAATTACTTTTTTTCTGGAATGTGTGCATGTAGGTATGAGAATGAGCTTGCCGCAAGGCAGATGGTGGAGAGCGATGTCGCTGCCCTGAAGACTGTGAGGAGGGAATATGACCTGGCCACTGCTGCTCTGACACAGGAATATCAAATACTGCTGAAAGATCGTGACACCATCCAAAGCACCCATGAGCTGGTGAGACAGAGAGAGATAGAGGCAGGCACAAAGAGTTAAACAGAGAGACTAAGAAAAACCAAAAGAGCTAAGCTGGACTACTTCTGATCACTGACTTTTGACTCCTGGGCTGCAGGAGGTGTTGTCTCTGCGTGGGCAGGTGGCAGGAACGCTGACCGTAGACATTCAGGCGGAGACCAGCGTGGATCTCTCTCACAGACTGGCTGACCTCCGTGCTGAATATGAAAACATCGTAGCGAAAAACCACAGAGAAATTGAGAACTGGTATGCTGTAAAGGTACGCAGACATCTTGGTCAATCTTGGTACTCCAGAAACCAAAACAGGTGTTTACTGAATATAAAGGGGACTAAAAGGTTCTTTGGATCAATGCTATAGAAGAACTGCTTTTAATTCCGCAAAGAATCCTTCAAAGGACTGTTAAACTGTTTACAGTGCATCATGATCTAATACAAGTCTGTGATAACTCATTACGCAACATAAAATACACAAAATTACAATATGCAATTTAAGAGAACCTCAAGAAATTACATGATAAACTCACCTGTGCATCCTTACAAGAACCTTACGAGTAGATGATACATGCTATTCAGAAGAATTCAGTAACATTTTTGCGGGAGGAATGACACTATTAAAACTGTTTAACTGATCTTTATGGATCCAAAAACCAAAATCAAGCATTTCTTCTTTGTTATGAAATCAAACCTTAAAAGATTACAAAAGTCAAAAAACAGGTTCACTATATAAGCTCAAAAGTTAGTTATCAAAAAAGTTGTTTCTAATATCAACATAAAAATATTTAGCACAAAAACGTATTACGCTGTCATAAATATGACAAAATAATAAAGTGTGTAACTATATTATCCAACCTTTAAAAATACACCAAAAACCATTTAGAAATCTTTACATTTAAGAGTTTAAATTCTTGTACACATCCAATTACCTGGTAAATAATTAAAATGTGCGCCCTGACAGACTTCATCTTACTGTACTGTACCAAATACCTACATATATATTTACCATGCAAATGCAGCATGCAGTACATTCATTGCACACACACTGATACAGTTTGTTTTTGTTAGTTGTCAACAAAGGAGCAGCAGATTTCAAATGTTACTGAGGTCACCGTGACTGGAAGTGCTGAGATCGCTGCAAGCCGAACTCAGATCCTGACCCTGCAGACAGAGCTGGATGCAGCACTGCTCCAGGTAACACACCACACCTGACCTACACATGATTCCCTTCATAATCCCACCCAACCAACACCTGAATCCCAACTGACCCACCCGTGTCCCACAGATCAACACCTGAATCCCAACTGACCCACCCCTGAGTCCCACCTGATCAACACCTGAATCCCATCTGACCCATGCCTGAGTCCCACCAGATCAACATCTGAATCCCAACTGACCCACCCCTGAGTCCCAGAGATCACCATCTGAATCCCAACTGACCCACCCCTGAGTCCCACCAGATAAACTCCTGAATCCCAACTGACCCATCCCTGAGTCCCAAAGATCAATACCTGAATCCCAACTGACTCACCCGAGTCCCACCAGATCAACACCTGAATCCCATCTGACCCACCCCTGAGTCCCACCAGAGCAACATCTGAATCCCAAATGACCCACCTGAATTCCACCAGATCAACACTTGAATCCCACACTTTGCCCACTTCTGCAACCTGCCCAACCAACACTTGAATCCCATCTGAACCACTTCCAAATTTCAACGGAGTCCCACTTGACCAACATCTGCATCCCACCTGACCCACTCCTTAGTCTCACATCACCATCCTATGAATTCCACTCAAGTCCTATTTGACCTCCTCTTATTTGGGTCTGATTTGATCTACTCCTGAGTACAAACTGAACAAGACCTAAATCCTGTCCCATCCAGTCAACAATTAAATTCCACTTGACCACCCCCTCTAATCTCATCCAAGTTTCATTTGACCTATGCCTGACTTCCCTGTCTATCTGCAGAAAAACCAACTGGAGCAGCGCCTGGTGGAGATTCAGGGGCAGAAGCAGAAGCAGCTCCTCACTTTCAGTCGGCTGGCTGGTAGTCTGGAGGGTGAGTTGGCCTCAGTGCGGGAGAGTGCTCTTCAGCAGGCCCGGGAATACCAGGTGCTACTCAGCACTAAAGTGCAGCTGGAGAAAGAGATCGCTACCTACAAATCATTGCTGGAGTTTGCTGGAGACCTCAGCAAGTTCCCTAGCATCAGCATCCCATCATCATGGGCACGGAGCTCACCGGCACCCTCAGTAGACCTGAAATCAGTCACCCCTAAGGCATCTCCAGCTCCAAGCGTCTCAGCAGAAGGTATGATGTCACCACTGGTTAATGGAAGTGGGGTTCGACTTAAGTCCAGTTTCTGGTTAGCTGCACTTTGTGCTAGAGTTTTGTCACAACTAGCTGTTGTTTATTCCTGAGGATATTTTGTGAACCCCCTGATGGTTCCTGCAAGTCACTTCTCTAATCTAACCTGATCTAAATGAAGTATTTCAGTAACTATATATATATAGTGTAATTATAAAGGATACATTTTACATTTGAAAAGCTCTACCTACCTTCTTTACTTCTTTTTTGCCATAGGACAAATGATGTAATTACACGTTGGTGCTGACATGAACTGTGATGTCGTTAACAGGTGTGGCTGCTGCAAGTGTGGATGCATCATCAGGAAGCGGCAGCGTAAAAGGTTTGAAATGATAAATCAGCATGTTCATTTTCATTGTATATATCACATACATTGGTGCTGACATGAACTGTGATATCATTAACAGGCGCAGCTGCTGCAGGTGCAGGTGCCGTTGTAATAGGTATGACGTGAACCTTCCATTTTCCTCATGTTTATTACATTCAAGTGCGTTTTAACAACAAACGTCCAGTATGGAGAGACAAGACAGTATTAAGTAATGCAGCAAAGTGCTCAGTTTCAGTCAGCAGCAACAATAAATCGGCACTGGCGCTCAAAAAACGTATCTCCAAATGTATCTCCATTTTTGGTGTTTTTTCCTGTTTTGCCTAATTTGAAAACTTCAGTTAACCTTTGCATTGTGTCAAAATTTTATCATGAAAGCACCATCAGAAATGGTGAAAAATTGGTGGTAAATTACTTGGAAAGAATTTGTTGCATTAACTTGCATCACAAGTTAAGAATGTTTTTTCTGTCTCCTGTAAAGTTTCTGTTTTGGAGACAGTGACGAAAGTGACAATATTCAACTTATTTTGTTGCAGCAACAGTATACATATGTTCAAGAATGTACTTGATCGCAGAGCAGAGACATAGGCCCGCCTTCAGTTTAAATTTTTGCACCCTCAGTTGACATAGAAGAAAATTAATTTAGACAGCCTTCTAGTGAAGAGCAGTGCTGTGGCATAGTTCAGAAAACTTTACAGTTCTGTGTAACACCTCGGTTAGAGAGTTTAGTTAATCTACATAGTGCTTAAATGCCTGAAACATTCAGTTGATCACTGCAAACGATGCATTGTGCTGCAGTTAGCATCACTACAAATTGGCCAATAAAACATGGGAAAATCACCCTCAGTGATTTTGTCCTGGAGGTAGGCCTGGTGTTGCTGCTACACTATGTAGTGCAAAAAGAGTTCAGATTCACAGGAAGCATACAGTGATACATTCATTTGAACTGCTGCATTCAGTTATAATGTAAGACAAGAGATAACACTTTACTTGAACCCTGCAACATAACACTGACATAATCATGCCATGAACAGCTCATGACAGCATTTGATATCTGCCATAACATGTTTATGACACGTTTATGTCAATGTTATGTAGTTGGGTTCAAGTAAAGTGTGTTGCCGGGCAAGATATACAAAAAGACAAGAACTAAAATACACGCCATAAAAATATAATATACAAAATTGTTATATAGTCTATTTAGAATAGAATAGAATAGAATAAACTTTATTGTCCATTTCTGAAAATTTGTCTTTGGCTTCACCAGGTTGCACAAAATAAAAAATATATAAAATATAAAATACATAGATATTAAAAAGTACATACATATCTAACAGTACACGCCAGCTTTGAATACACCAGTCATCACAATAATTACAGTACAGCATCATCAAATTACATCAAATCAACGAGTAGCTCATGAGTTAATCAAAAAAGTCCATAAGGAATAAATTTATTCTCAAAAATAATTTTGTGGTCTCAGGTACCCTGTAACACTTTCCAGAAAAGAGAGATTAAATTTGACAAACAGAGGATGAGTAGGTTGCCGGGCTTTCTTCCTACTACCAGACAAATATATCTCGCGTAACTGTTTTTGTGGTTTACATATGATTTTCCCAGCCATATTCACAACGCTAGACAGCCTGGTCTTATCCGTAGCTCCGAGTATATCGTACCAAGTATGTATGTTATACGTCAAAACACTCTCAGCCAAACTCCTGTAGACCAGCTCTAAATTACCTCTACTCACAGAAAAACTGTTCAGTTTCCTCCGCAGGGTCACGTGTTGTAAGGCCTTTTTAAAGATATAATCAGAGTTGGCTGTAAACCTTAATCTACTGTCAAGTAGAGTGAGAAAATACAACATGAACTGCTGTTTGTAGTAAGAGCTCTAGTTGAACATGAATTAATTTACCAATCTGATTAAAATGTTCAGCCTCCTTATAAGTGTCCCCTTGAAATAAACCAACCACGGCCATCATCCACATGCTTATAATAACAAAATGAGAGGTCTTGAATTTACGTCTCATTACAATAGATGGCAAACAAGGCTGGTGATAGGAGACACCCCTGTAGCACCACTGCTTGGACATAACGCTGTTCACAGACACTCTCTGGGGCCGTTAAGAACGAAAGTCCTTAATCCATAAAATAAGCCCTCAATTCACATCAAGATCAGAGAGCTTCTGCTGTAAAATATGTGTTTACATGGAAATAAAAGCTAAACTAAAATCTAAGAATAAAACCCTAGAATAGCTTCTGGCTGTTTAGCAAGTGTATTCACTACAGTAAGTGTAGCATCACCAGTGCTCCACCCATGCCTGTAGGCAAACTGAGAAGGATCCAGGTGCTTACCCGTGGACCTTGTCAGGTGACCTACAGTGACCTTTTCCATGCATTTACCCAAAACGCTGGTCAGAGCAATTGGTCTAAAATCATTTGGAAATAAAGCTACAGACTTTTCTGGTGCAGGAGTAATTGTGGACAACTTCCACAACTGTGGCACAACATGTTCGTAAGCTGGGGTCCACAACTCTTAATCACTCGTCCTCTCAGGCCATCTGGACCTGGGGCCTTATTTAGACTGACTGTAACTTCTCTCTCATTGAGCATAATGAGAGTTTAGTTACTAACAATGGTGTGTGCATTATCACAAACCAAACCATTCAAATCTGCTATAAAGCTGATTTAACTCATTGGCGAATGAGACAATATCTGAGGGAACAACCTTTTTCCTTTTTTATTGAGACAATTCCACGCAGCCTTCACATTGCCATGAAGTATCCATCCTCCACCCTCTTCCCATACTCCTCTTTGCCTTTTTTTTTATTATACTTCTAAGTTCTTTCCTTTTTTCCCTCACTAAACTCACATCACCACTAGTAAATGAGGCTTCCTTTTCATTGAGACATTGCTTCATTTCCTTAGAAACCTATACCTTGTTGGTTCAGATATATCTTACCCGTCTTAACAGCAGTGGCATTGCTTTTACAGAACTTTCCGTACTCACTTATTGTCTCAGTTAGTTCATTCACATTCATTCAGCAGTCAAAAAACAATTGTCAGTGAAGTTTTTCTTCACTGCTGTCATTCCAGACTTTGATTTCTTTAATGACCAGCTTCACTTGTTTCAGCTTTGCCTTATATTTTGGAAGCAGATGTACAACATTATGGTCCAATTTGCCTAATGGGGGATGACACAACGCACTGTAGGCCTCAGGTATTTCCATAACACTGATCGAGAATTCGCGTCTTGCGCGTCGGACAATCAGCATACTAATATAGCGTTGGAATAAAAGCAGGCAGCCTGCAAGTATTAAAGCCCCCCAAAATAAAACCCGGCTGATCTGGAGAGCGTGGGAGCGCATCGTTGAAGCTCTCGGTAACCTTTCAGCGGCTTCATTATTATTCGACTTTGGCACATAGTATGATAGTGATCTGTCCAAGTTCCCTGTCCAAGTTTCAGTGCTTCCCAGCATCACAGAAAATACAACGTATAACGTAATCCAAATCATTAAAAATTCCATCTTCGTAATAGCTGGTGCACGGAAGATCCAAATAACACTCATTTAAAAACAACAGTTAAAAGAAGAACTCTGCAACCTTTAACATGAAGCTCTGCCTTATCTTATACGGTACAAATCTGCTGACAGCAAGCAGTCCATGACGCTAAAATAAATCTTAAAAGATCGAGGTTTTTATTTTTGAGTGTGATCTGGTCCTCTAAGATGTAATTTGTACAAAAATGGCTACTAATTATTTTTGCAAATCCCATTGAAAATGTCTGAACAGGTGGTTTCCAATGCAGCTTTGATTATTCAACCAGAAAGTACATTTTTAGTTATATAAGATACAGGTATAAATGTTTACTAAACATATCTTTATAGTTTAATGATGCTCAGAATGGTTTATTATGTGTTTGCCACACAAAATTAATGTCAGTGAGATTTTGGACCCTTTTTAAACCTGTTACTAGTTCTCTGATTATAATCATAATTTTACTTAATTTTAAAAGACCACAACATTGTTGTCCATTTATCTTCCAACAAAAAAATGTAATGACTTTTGCCTTGCCTCTAAAATATCTTCTGATTTTTGGTCATAATGAGTTATGATTTCATTTTCATGCTGACTTTAAACCAGCTGTTCTGGAAATAATCATCCTGAATAAATCAGTCGGTTTGACTCGGCTTTCCCTGGAGGTAACAGCTTGTAATGTGGTCTAATTTAATTAGATTAAATTAATTAATTGAATCAGAAATTGGTCCAAGTTCATTGAATCAAATCATTATGTCTAAAATGTTGAGTGCTGGACTATATTTGTTCATAATGCTCCCCAGGTTCTCACTTCATGAGCACCTTCTCTTGTAGACTTTGCTGGGAAGTTCTTCATGTTTCTAATTTTGTCACTTCTTTCTTCTAATTTTCAGACTGAGGGGAACGATCAAGATTACAAAGTGAACCTCTTCATGGTCCTGAAGAACATCTCAACCAATCACTTTATTCAAAGCTGAGCCCAGTTAGATCTGCATAACTGTGACTGCAATAAACCGAAATTCAAATGTCCTCATTTGTGAGAAATGGTCTTATTTTATTATATTTATTATCTTTTTATTCCACAGAACAGACAGAAACACATATCTTACGGTTTAATTAGCGAGTGAAACATCATCATCTACAGAATTTCATACAGTCCTGAAATACATCTGCGCTAACCGAGCTCCAACAGACAGATCAGATTATATTTGAATATGCCAAAAATAGTACATTTATTGCTAGTTAACACAGTTACTAATACAGACAGCAATACAGCTCAAGATGCTTTACAAATAAAATACATGCAAATAAAACATATAAATGAAAGAACGAGAGAAAAGAAAAAGGCTGAAAGTAGTTGCTGGAATAAATAAATAAACAATGTTAGCTATGGGGCTTAAATAGCATAAAAACTGAAATTACTACCAATAACGTTTAAATTTGTTTTCTGTCATCATGTAAATAAATATTTAGTAAAGGGAATGGTTCTTTTTAGAACCAGGAGTTCTATATAAAACCATTTCATGCTTAAATGGTTCTTTGCATGGTGAAATGGTTCTTCAGATTGATGGAGAATGTGTTATAAATGGTTCTATTATAGAACCTTTTTGAAAAGGGTTCTATGCAACACCAAAAAGGTTTCTGCTACAATGTCAAACTTACAATGACAAACAAAAGAACCCGTTTTGATGCTATATAGAACCATAAACATACAACACATTCTCCATCAATCTAAAGAACTATTTTACCATGCAAAGAACCATTTGAGCATGAAATGGTTCTATGTAGACAGAAAAGAACCATTCCCTTTACTAAAGAACCCATGAAGAACAATGTTGTGCAGAAGGGGTCGCTAGCAATTTAAAACCATCACAACATGTCTCCAAACCTGGACCCTATTCACAATGTCCAGCAGTATCTGGAAGTGCGCTGATTTTGTGGTCATGTGTGAAAACCGAGTGGAGAACATCCAGCGCTCGTGAAATCCCACAATGCACTCTGAAACCCAGCTCAGGGTCCTAGCATGCTTAGAAAACCTTTACAGCGCTCCCCTGTGAACAGTTTACTTCACTAAAATAATCACAGAACTGATGTTTAAATAACTAAAGCTACAGTTTTAAACGTTTAAGTTGGCGAAGGTGACCAGTGATAGTAGCTTCTGCCCCAAACAATGACCAAGCCCTGTAGTGTTATGTAAATGAAATAGTTTACTCAAATCAAGTGCTGCAGAGGGAGGGGCTGTTTTAACACCTGCAGTTCAGCCTATAATACAACATTAATACTGTTCTATAAATGTACATATATGTCATATACTCTATAATCAAGTAATTACATAACACATAATACATCAGGTTCCACCCTGTGGTTTGGATATGAGAGTGAGGAAAGGTTCTACTATGGGAATGTAGAGAAGGTGCTGATTACAGACTAAGGGAGCACAGTATGGCCAGATATTATCACAACAGCAGTAAGAAACACTCAAAATGACAGTAAATTCACACAGTGTAGTAACATAAACTGTGACTCTGCATTAGCTCATGTAACATTATTACCAGACCAGTGAGCTGCAGCTCCTCTCACTGAACATGAACTCACGAACGCTTTCCTGTTTGGGAAATGTCCCGCCCACCAGCAGAAATAGAGATTTTGATTGGTTCTGCCAATGATTTTGTTTTTTTTTTTGTTCAGTTTTGTGTTCAGTCAGTGCTCTGCAAGGTTTATGGAGAGCAGAGTTTTTTGATGTTAGGGTATTGAACTTAGTCAGAAAGTGGTGGGTCTTTGCCCCAGTACCCCCCTGTATGCTCCGCTCCAGTGGCCCTGCCTTCATGACAACTGACACAGACCTATATAAACATTTATAATATTTATATTACACTCATTTCAATGTGTGTGTTTTGTCATAAAGGTTGAATATGCCAGCTTTGATGTCAAGTTGACGTAACATTTGTCAGGTGACGTTAGGTTGTCTTGACACTTTCTGGGGTGCAATGATGTAGATTTTGTAGCTCAGTGTGTGTCAAAGTGACATAATGCTAATAATATAACATATGGGTGGGCAATATGGCAAAATATTATATGGCGATAATATTACATAATATAATATTACATAAAGACACTTCCAGACATTTTCATGATACATGATATGCCTCACAATATTTAGTTTTTCTGAGATTTAATAAATTGGAACAGAAAAAAAGATCCTGCAGTGCCACATATAAAATATTACAATAATAATAATAATAATAAACCTAAAACTACACAGATTCTTATTCAACGTTTCACAAACTCTGCTGTACTAAATCCAATGGAACAGGCCTAATTTTGCTCACTTTGTAATAAAATTTGTAGTTATCCTGTGTTCTTTAAATACTGATGATATCTGCGATATGCTCAGAAAAGTGTTGTGATCTATTTTTTACGATAACGAGATAAAATAATATCGTCATATTGCCCACTCCTAATATGACAGCTCGCCAAGTCAGGCTGGTTGAACAAAAGTAAGCATTTTCTTTGGTCCTTAGATCATGGCCCAATCCCATTTCACCCCTCGCCCCTACCACTCAGCCCTTACCCCTTTGTTTTGCACGTTCTCATCTAGGAGTAGGGTGTCCCGATTCTTGTTGAGATAGAGGGGTAGGGTGAAGTGTTGGGGCTACATGGTCCTCCAAATGGAGGTGTTTCAGAGGCTCCAAACAGAGTGATATGAGAAAAAAAGAAAAACCGGAAAGATGGAGAACAAGAGACCAAAGAAACCCACAAATGTGAGAATTTTCTGTTAAAAAATTACAATAACCATTATATTATCTTAGTTTAATGTCGTTTCAGTGTATTTTGGTCCTTTTCTTCATAACAAGCATAACAAATTGCTAATAGCATGCCAATATCTCGGTAGCTAGCTAGCTAACTTTCCCGTTCCACCTTAAATAGTCCTGTTCTGATGCCTGAAATGCCAGAATGTAACTGCTGCTCCATTTAAGGTGGAACGGGAAAAAACAAGAAGCTGGAAAATATCTGACTTCAGCTTCATATCACTGAAGAATTAGGGGTGGGTGATAATAAATAATTGCCCCCCTCTTTGAAGTCATATGATACCCTAAATGTAACTAAAGCCCAGCAGTGAGGAGCTAAACTTTACCCTCCTCTGCTGTCACTGCAGACTGGCAGGGTCGCCTACAGAGCAGCGCTGGTAGCTGTTAATGAAGTGATGCTCTTTTTTTTTGAGGGTCCCATTTCAGAGGGAAGATTTCAGCAACTACCCTGTAACTCAGTTCCAAGGGGCAACACTCGAAAACAAGGGGTAGGGGTGAAAATAAGAAATGGGCCCAAGAGTGTTTCCTTTTACCATTTATAAGATTTAAGTCACAATAGCACTGTGTCACTGTGATATACACTAAGCTACAAAATCAGCTTTTATAATGTACAGCGTCATTTCACTCAAAAGTGTCATGACACCCCAATGTTGGCATAACCGCCTGACACAGGTGTTATGTCAACTTGACGTCAAAGTTGACAAAAGCTTTATTATGGACAACGACTGCTGGAATAAACCATTATAAATGTTTATGTAACTTTGTCATGATGAGCTTATGTAGAACTATGAACATGCCCTACTGTAAAGCATCATCGTTCGCATTACTTGGAAATGATGCTTCATAACAGTGTTATAAATGGAAGAAATGTAGGTCACTTTACTTTGAGGCCTCTTATGTCAATTCAATGTCATTTTCTTTATAAAACACTATGAAGCTGTTCAAACATACTCAAGGACTGCTTTGTAAATGCGGTATTCAGTGCTATGCATGTGTTACTAAGATGTGTCTCTATGTAGGTAACCTTCAAAAAACTCTTGTAGAATCGCGGCACTGTCAGGATTTAAACTCCTGCCGATATTCACAAACCTTCGACAGCTACGCCTCTTATAAACCCCGTTTTAATCATATGTGCGCTGAGTTCTGACAGTATCCACTAAAAACGCAGAAACTGTGGTGAAAACTATAGTAATATTGATAAATCTCATATCATCCACCCTTATAACATTGTCTTTAGAGGCTAATAAGCTAGTGAAAGCAGTGGCCAGACTAAAGAGGATCCTCTACTGAGTGGAACCAGAATTATTGTGATTAAAAGGGTTAATTTATCAGTACTGAATATCCTGTTTTGGTCACACTGTTAGCAACATCGCACCCTGATTCTTTCACATATAAATACATGCACGCTTCCTGTTGGCCTTTCTTCAGTCGTCTCTTCTTCTTCTCCTCTTCAGTGCTTTGAGAAGGAAGAGTCAGAATGAAACAGAAAGAAAGAAAAGGAGAGATTATATGGAAGAATATGAGACTGCTTGCATATGTGTGTCTACTGTGTGTAGTGAGGTGCTTTTTTTCTGTGTTTATGCTCTTTATCCATGTATCTATCCCAATTTGATAAGTCATCTGTCAAAACACAATGAGGTGGGAACATTTTCCACTTGGGAATTTTTCTCTCCAATGCTTTTTTTTAAACTCTTCTAGGTGTACAGAGTGAGATGATATCATTTGTAATGAAAAGGTTTGTATTAAACTAGAAAAGGATGTGGTCTCAGACTATCGGACCCCACTGTCCACCTTAAAACACTTCTTTAAGTTTGTTGAATTATTTCTCCTTCATAGCTCACTAAGACGAGCAGATAAATTAAGTGGAAAGTGCAGATTCTGCACTTTCAATCCAGAATACATTTGTGTCTGTAAGTAGATGAGATGATATTTAATGATGAAGTTGTTATTATGTGTACAGGATTTTTTGTGGTAAGAAAAAACATCCTTTACATTTTTGCTGTTTTTGACTCAAACGTGTCAGAATGTAACTCAAATGAAAATGTAATTCGCTACACTCTCAGAAAAAACGCTGTATCTGAGGTGGTACCCTCAAGCGAACGTCTTCAGTACCTTTAAATAGAGAACCTAATTGTACCATATTCCTTTGAACTTCTATTTTTTTAGGTTGATAAAAAAAATATATGTGCAAAAGAATATGCTCCTCCTCTCTCCAGAACATATGGTTCCAAGTCAGATGAAACGACAACAATGTTGACTACTGACCTTTCACCCAAGGAGCTCTGGTACCAAGTACACTTATGAACGTTCTTGTGTTCAAATTTGTTGCTCATTATGGACAATCCATCACTAGCACAGAGATCCGATAACAATTCACCATTGGAGTTTAGATCAGGCAGGCCATTCTTCCCAATCACCCCTTTCCAGGTTTCATTGTCAATATGAGCACTGAAGTCTCCCAGCAGGACTATGGAGTGTGTAGGAAGGGCCCTTTCCAGAACCCCACCCACTCGCTCACAAGGCTGAATCCTCAGAACTGTTGTTTGGTGCATAAGCACACACAACAATCAGGGTTTTCCTCCCTGCAATTTTAATTCGCATTGAGGCGACCCTCTCATCCACCGGGACAAACTCCAACTGCACAGCAGCCAGCCGGGGACTCGTGAGTATCCCCACACCCGCCCGGCGCCTCTCACCCTGCAACTCCTGAGTAAGAGAGGGACAAATCCCTATCAAGGAGTTTGGTTCCAGAGCCGACACTGTGCGTGGTGGTGAGCCCAGCTACATCTAGTCGGTGCCTCTCAACCTGCTGCACAAGCTCTGGCTCCTGCCCCCCAGTGAGGTTATGTTCTACATGCGAAGAGCCATTTTCCACCATAGGGGTCCATGCCGCCAAGGACCTCCATGCCATCTCCAACCGCCTATACGGCACTGCACCAGTCCCCCATGCTGGACCTTGCAGGTGGTGGGCCCACATAGTTCCCCCTTGTTGCCTCACCTGGTTACGTGGGCTGCTCGGCCACGAGGCACTCGCCAAGGAACACTACTCCCAGACCTGGCTTGGGGAGTCCCAGTAACCCTCTCCCGGGCAGGATACACAATCTCTTGTGTCCCTTATTCATGGGGGATTTTCTTCACTCCAGACCTGTTCGCCTTGGGAGACCCAACCAGGAGCACACTGCTCCAGACGACTTAGCTCTGAAGATCCCAAGACCACACAAGCCCTGCCGCCAGGACAAGTGCCCAATCCAGAAAGGGGGCAAAACAGTCCCCAAAGGAAACATATTTCAGATTTTCCACTATTTTCCATCATAGCTCAGAAGACACATGTAGGTTCACTGGTGGTTTTGGATAGTAAATAAAATGGTTATATTTGTGTTGTAGTCATGGCGACCCCTGGTCACCAACACTAAAGAAATCTGAGTCTTCACAATCAACCACTTTTCACATCTCAAGGACTGAATTCTTCAGATTTTTTTAAAACATGTTGGAATTCCTCTTTAATTTAGAAAGATGAATTTAGGTCCCTTGTGCTTAAAGGACCACATCATACCTTTGAGGGTACATTTACGGTATTTGTACCTTGGAGGACTCAAATTTACCTGCACAGTGTATGTAACAAAGTGCAATTAACTATGTAATTACTATTATGTACGAATTTTGCAATACAAAACAAATGTACAGAAAAATACCAACTGTAACTGTAGATTTCTACAGTTTAAAATACAATAGACAATTAGATTAACCTAATAAAATGACCAGTGAGTGTGTACGTTGTATTATGGCAGTCAGTGTTAGAGATAAATTGTGTTTAGATGAAGGTGTTGTGGCTTTGGTGTGTTACCTGGTTAAGCAGCAGCAGTAACAGTCGTATCACTGGTGGCAGTGGTAGGAGCAGCACTAGTAGGAGCAGTGCTAGTAGCAGTGGTAGGAGCAGCGCTAGTAGCAGCAGTAGGAGCAGGGCCAGTAGCAGTGATAGTAGCAGAGCTAGTAGCAGTGATAGAAGCAGGGCTAGCATCAGTGGTGGTAGCAGTGGTAGTAGCAGGGCTAGTAGCAGTGGTGGTAGCATTACTGGCAACAGAAGTATCTGTATTAGTAGCCGTAGCAGTTTTATCAGAGGCAGTAAAAGCAGCATCATTAGGTTTATCAGTAGCAGTCGGGTTCTGGGTGGGTTTCTGAGTTGCTCCACTGCACACGGGCTCGTCCTCCGCCACGTACCACACCTCATTATGTCTGTTTAAGAGTTTAAGAGGACTACACACACACACACACACACACACACAGAAACACACACACACAAACATACCATTTACTAGAGATGCACATGTTTTCTTCGCTCTCCTGCACTGGTCAGCACAGATTTGTTCAACCAGTTTGAGCAGCAGATCAACACTGATAGTAACAGCCTCATGTAACTTTCACAACTTCTGCGAGAAAATTTAGACACGAGATTTATAACCACTGTTCATGAGAAGTATTACGATTCTCAAGATGCATCAACTTCTCCCTGCAAGCATGCCGACGCCATCTGTACACTCATTTTATCAAAAGATAAACATTCACAAACCAAAGAGCAAAGAGTAACTATCAATAATGGAGTTCACTGTCTTGGATGGTCAGTACTCTACATGCCTTCAGTGTATTTTATGTAAACTCTTTTTATTTGTTGGCAGCTTTTTCTTGTTTTTGGTTTCCATTTTTGGCCAATTGTGTTCTGAATCTCAGTTTCGACCAAGAATTTTCTGTGCATCACTTATATATTTTACATTTCATTTTTCCATTACAGTTATTTTGTATATAAATGTCATAATCCACAGCATAGCAGTTCTTGTGGTTGTAGTTGGCATTGACTTTGCATATGTGTGATACCTGTCGTAGCCAACAGCGTAGTGGTGTGTGTGGTTATAATTAGCACCAACTCTGTTTAGCTCCTTGGTCAGAAGATGAGCGTGAAGTCTAGAGGTGATTGAGAGCATCCAGCCTCCATAACTCCTCACATACACGTTCATTTCTGGCATATCGGTAAAATACAGCTGGGACACAAAACAAAAACAAAAATCACACAAAAGGCATACACTGAAAATGTCATTTAAAGCATTTAAAATGTTTAGAAGTTCAGGCATTAACTTCACAATTAATGTTTACTTTTAAACCTTGAAGATATCTTAGAAGGGAAGTTAGCATTGCATGTGTGTGTATATACATATACACATATATATATATATGTGTATATATATATATATATATATATATATATATACACACATATGTATATATATATACATATATATATATATACATATATATATATATATATATACACACACACACTGAGTGGTCTTTTATTTTGACTTGTAATGTATGTAAATTACATATTTGTTTGACTGATACTGCTGTCTGTGAGGATTCTAACCTTATCACTGGTCGGTGTGGGTGGATTGTGTTGGAAAGCTGAAGGCAGCAGGAAGCTTAGGGTGTAAATGGCCGGCTCCCACATCTGAGTCTCTTCTGGAACTTTAACCAGGACTGGAGCGGTCATCTCTATCTCAACACCTGCAACAAACACAACCGTGTAAGAAAAAGTGCCAGCAAAGCAGCTATTTGCAAACTGACAGATATAATTATCTTAAGTTTATTTTCACTCAGACAATAATTAACCATACCAGTCAATAGATGACCTTTTGTGACAGACATCCTTTGTGCATCCGGATCACATGTCCCATGCAATAAAGGTGTCATTTTGCTAAGATTAATGATAGTCTTTGATTTTTAGTAGAATGTCAACATTGGTGGTGCGATCTGCCAAGGTTAGATATTTCCTGAAATATGAAACGGCTCCAGGCACCTGATGGGGGAGCGACGTACTGTCTAGGCTTCACCATCATAAGGCAGTGCAGAAGGACACACAGCTTGGTATACTGTCATTTTTAATTATGTTTTTTAGGTTGTTATTCTCAAAGAGACTGAAGTACAGCTGACCAAAGGTCAAAGAGGCCTTATCAAGTCCAGGAGTCAAGTCAGCAGAAACAGTCAACAAAGATGAGAGATTGCTAAAATGTAGTTAAGCAGGTGGAGGCAGCTGCTAGACAATAAGCTCTATTTTCTATCTATAGAACAAAGATAGAACAACCATTAATTCAGTAAAATTGTAGTTAGACACAGCTTTATTTTGGGGAGAGTTGTCAAAGAATTGCTCAATCCGTAATATCAAAAGCCGTTATCAGGTCAATCAAGGCATTATAGCGATCCTTGTTTTCCTCCCTGTACTTCTTCTGGATTTGGCAAATGATAAATACAGTGTCAGGCGTACTTCTGGGAGATCTGAGAGTAAGTCAAATTTAGATGAAATTCAAATGTAATATACAATAAAAATGTTCAAATGTACCTTGCTTAAACCTTATGTTTTACTAACTAATAAGGGTGCAGGGAGAACAATCAAAGGGGCACTGTCACAGAATGAACCATTAGAGGGGCAGAGTTGCAGGGGAACCATTAGTGGGGTGGGGCTGCAGAGGAAACAAAAGCGTGGAAGTGGAAGGGTTACAGGGAGGATCATCAGAGTGAAGGGCTTGCAGGGCATTGCAAAGTGGGCCATCAGAGGGGCGGAGTTGCATGTAAGAACCATCAGAGGGAAAGGGTTCCTTGGGAGAACTATCATAGAGATGGGAATGGGGATGGGGATAGGACAATCAGAGGGGCAGGACTGCATACTGGCCATCAGAGAGGCAGGATTGTAGGGTGAGCATCAGAGGGACACAGTTGCAAACTGGGCCATCAGAGGGGCAGGGTTGCAGAGGGGACCATCAGAGGGGCAGGCTACAGAGGGGACCATCAGGGGCTTGTTACAGAGTGGACCATCAGAGGGGTGGGGTTGCAGAGGGAACTATTGAAGTGACAGGGTTGCAGGGTGACCATCGGAGGGGCAGGGCTGCAGAGGGGACCATCAGAGGGGCAGAGTTGCAAAAGGGACCATCAGGGGGGCAGGATACAGAGGGAACCATCAGGGGCTTGTTTGAGAGTGGACCATCAGAGGGGTGTGGTTGCAGAGGGAATCACTGGAGTGACAGGGTTGCAGGGTGACCACTGGAGGGGCAGGGTTGCAGACTAGGCTATCAGAGGGGCAGGGTTGCTGAGGGGACTATCAAAGTGGCAGGATTGCAGGGGGGACTATCAGAGGGGCAAGACAGCAGACTGGACCATCAAAGGGGCAGGGTTGCAGACTGGGCCAGCAAAGGGACAGGGTTGCAGAGGGGACCTTTAGAGGGGCAAAACTGCAGATTGGGCCATCAGAGGGGCAGGGCTGCAGAGGGGACCATCAGAGGGGCAAGACGGCAGACTGGGCCATCAGAGGGGCAGGGCTGCAGAGGGGACCATCAGAGGGATGGAGTTGCAGAGCGATTCATCAGAGTGGCAGGGTTGCAGACTGGGCCAGCAAAGGGACAGGGTTGCTGAGGGGACCATCAGAGGGGCAGGGTTGCAGAGGGGACCATCAGAGGGGCAAGACTGCAGACTGGGCCATCAGAGGGGCAGGGTTGCAGAGGGGACCATCAGAGGGGCAGAGTTGCAGAAGGGACCATCAGTGTCAGAGAACTATCAGGGAAGACCCTACCTTAAGCTGGTATTTATTTCAAAAGGCATTTCTCCAAAGATCATACAAGCCTTTCCACAACATACACACCCACCTCCTTCATTAGCCCCAGTGATGTACTGGTAGAGGCGTCTGAAGGCCATGGCTGCTCCAACACCCATGAAATAAGCTTCAGCATCAGTCGCAACCCAGCGGGTAGGAGAGTAATGACGCACCTACACCGAGAGAGGAAGAGAGCGAGAGAGATGACCTAATGACTCCTATTTTGACATTTGACCAGAGGCTCCTAAACTTTTGAAATTCTAATAAAACTAATGTCCAGAATGAAGTTCTAATAAAATTAACTTCTAGAATGAAGTTTTGGTGTTTTGGTGTTCATAAAAAAATGTGAATCACTAGTACAGCAACTAGCACAGCAATAGCAGGCTATGATGTAGCCATTCACATGGCTACTGAGCTCCTAATGTGTTGTCTAATGGTTGCACTTAAAGAATAACAGCCACTGTGTAATGACTGTAATGGTTATAAACAGATAAGCCTGTATCGTCAGCCGTTCAGTGGGTGAAGATAACTGTGACCCTGCGTCATTTCTACCAATCTCTTGCTTAATTAATCCTACTGATGGCCTTATGGTATAAAGACAGTCCCTCTCACAGTTCAGAGAGAAAGCTCACCTCATACTCCTCCGTCCTGCAGACCAGATCAAACTGCAGGCATTCTTTAGACTCAGTGCAGTAGCTGCTGCTCGAGTTACTCGGCCTGCAATAAAAAACAGACAGAGCTGGGCAACGTGACATTATTTATCGTTATCGTGATGAATTACATCAAAATACGTCACAGTATGGTTTCCTGAGCATATCAGGGATGTTGTCAGTACTTAAAAATCAATTCCCCACTGCATGATTGATTAAAAACAGAGCACAATTAGTCCTGTTTCACTGGATTTAGTGCAGCACAGTGTGTAAAATGCTGAATACAAATAACTGGATTTATAATTTTTTAAGGTATTTTTAAAATGTGGCTCTACTTTGTCTGTTCTAACATCTCAGATGTCAGAAAAAATAAATATCATGACTCATCATGTATCGTAAAAAACTTCCCGAAGTATCGTGATATTACATTTTGCCATATCGCGCAGCTCTAAAACAGACCTTTTCAGAAATAAGTTGAGTATAATCAATACTAATCTTACCCAACGCTGCTTTCAGCCAACACCACCAGAACCAACGACACGAAGGCAGAGAGAAGAGAGAGAGAGTTTTGCTGCATCATCATGACTCTGAGATTATCCCAGACTCTGCAGCGCCCCCTGTCTGGAGTTAAGAGGAACATTTGCAAATCAAACAAAGAAGCTGAACAGTGGACTGACCACCCCAGAGTCCAGACCTCAACACCACTGAATGTGTTTGATTACTTCAGAAAATGATCAACCAGCTTCTAAGACTGAACTTTCGAGGTGAGTCTGCAGATTCTTTGAGGAACTGAAAGTGAATCTCCTGAAAAGAATGGAAGCTGGAATAAAGGGAAAGACTGACTCACTGAATACTCACACAGCTGAGGGTAGATTTCGCTGCTGTGGCTTCTGGGTCATTTGATGTTAAATATATAGTTGTATGCAAAAGTTTGGGTGCCCCTGGTCAAATATCATTACTGTCCAAAGCAAAACAAATATCTCCAAAATAGTTAATGTAAAGGGATTTTATTCCATGTGATTTTGGAGCATTTCTATTGGTCCATTCATCATGAAATTTTCACACAAAGTAAAGAACAGCTGGTCTGTCGAAATGATGTAGAAAAATAAACCAACAAAAATGGAGATACATGCTTTTCTTTGGACAGTGATGAGATACATGTTGCTGTTAATTGTCTGAGTGTGAATAAGTTATTAACACATCCTCTACTGAGACACTTCAGCACAATTTAAAGCATAATTACTGAATATTTGCTGAATTTAACACTTTGGGGTAAAAATTAAACGTAAAATGAGACCTGTGCAAAAGTAATGGCACATTTTATGTTTTACATTTGATATGTTACACTCATATAAACAGAAACTCTGGTCTAAAAATGTCATTATTTAAATTTGTTTTACTGTTAAAAGGCCTTTAACGTCCTCGCGCCATTAGCTAGTTAACCACAAAAAACAACACTTTTACACATTTAATCCACTGTCAGCAAAGAAACCGATTAAAAAATGAGAAATACTGAAACACAATTATAGAAACCATTAAAAGTGTCTTCTGGTTCCTTGAGGTGTCCAGTAGTCACTATTGGTAAAGCCAATTCCCATTGGAATGCAAAACCACCAGGTTTTAATCCTAATGGTTCTACTGGTCTTTTTCATCAGGGTGGTTAAATGCATGTTTTCTTAGACTCAATGTTGGAAAATGATTAAAATCATTAGTAAAGCCTAATTTTTGAGAGTGAGAATGTCTGAGTAGAACCAGCCAGTGGGATTAAACCCTGCTGCTGGATGAGGGATTAGAGGTGGTCTGTCAGGGTGGGTGTGATGCAGGACAGGCTGCAGTGCGGAGAAAGTTGACACTAATGCAGATACTTCAGTGGCTAGAAGAGGCTGATCCTGCCAGCCTGAGTCCTCAGACAGACGTATAAGCCCTATATAGACATAAATAGGCATATAAAGACACATAAACCTCAAATAAACAGATTAAATGCACTTTCAGAGATGATAAACCCTCACAAGGTCCTTCTGGAGGGCAGTTGAAACTGACCACGCCTGAACATTTTCACTCACTTCACACGGACTCGCACAGATAAAGGCCAGATGAAGCACAAAAACAGCTCATATTTAAAAATCAGCACTTTAAACGCGCCTAAAACACAGAATAACCGTAATGCTGTACTCACATGTCTGCCAGCTCAGACGCAGCTCTTCACTCAGCACTGCAGAGCAGCGGAGGGGGCGGGGCTATACGCGCACACGCCCCGCCCACCGCCTTTATATTGGGTCATGATAAAACTGCTCGCATTTCGATTGGTCTTAAATTCGCGCCAGTCGTTTTTTTTTTGTTTTTTCTCATTGGTTAACCTACTTTGGCCGACTAGCAATGATATAAGATTATAAATCATAATAATAATAATACAAATAATAATACTTTTTTTTTTTTGCAATTTTCATACTGATGGGGTTGAAAAGACATTTGTAAAGAGACATTATTACAGAAAACATAATAAAATCAGTGAAGAATTAAGGAAAAAAAATAAAAGTACTTACAATAATAAGCACTTACAGTAAGTATAAAAGGACTCATAATAATGATATTCTATTCTATTTAGTACTATTTACTAACAATTTTGTGCAATATATACAATTTAATGCTACTAATACTGCTGTTATTGCCAGCAACCTTTCATTACAAGTTACATTTTTTAACCCTTTATTTATACTTTTTAACTAGAATCATGGTTAGAAAGCCGCTGCAGCAACGCGTCACTCGATTAGCTACTACATTAAAAACTGCTGTATATTTGTTTCCCAGTGAAAAAAATGGCAAAAATGTTGAGCTGTTTTCTCAGAGCCAGATTAAGCTTCCAATACTGATTGACCAATTGCACTGTAAATTAGTTCAAGACTTTTGAGAAATCAGCTCAACAAGGCTTGAAAACTAAAAAACGAGGCTAATAGAAGAGCTAGTTTTCATTACTGTCCTGTGGCTATATTCGCATGCTAAATGCTAGAAGCTAAACGCTGAACACTGATGATAAAGTCTACTTTGAGAATATTTATTGTGGGCCTTTTTGCGATTCTTCTGGCTAACATTAGATAGAACACTGAGCGTGACCTGATGCTAATGCTAGCTAATCTCGTGGATTTTAGCCATAGATATACATACCTAGACGCCGCGTTGGGTCCAGCCAGGCACGTCAACAGCGCCGCCATTTTGGGGAGGTCAACATCGCTGCTGGACTGCATTCAGTACCATTACAGAGCAGCAGTTTAAGAAAGATACTGTCCAAAATTACACTATTTCAGGAATATCACACTCAGAAAGTGGGACAGGATTATATAACGGAGGGAACGCAGTGATCCACGCTCATGTTTGTGTGATGTGTATTGTTTGTGTGATGTTCATGTAGATATGGCCGTGTGGTTGGTGAAGCACAGAGAACCTGTTGATGTGATTGTTTTTCCTCTGGTTTTATATTAAGATTATTTAATTTAATAGTCTATTCAGGGGATCTTAACTTTATGTAGTAGTTATTTATTAACAGTGATGGTTAATCTCAATACAAGTGAGTTTGGTCACAAGCGGATCTTGACCTCTCCAACATGGCGGACACGCAGACGTATAGCCTCAGATAGAGAACAACAGACAACGCAGCATCTAGGTATGTATATCTATGATTCTAGCTAATCATGCACAACAATGCTAACTCTTCTAAAACTGAGCTCCTATAGAGGAAAAAAAAACATACAGCATATTCTTTTTTTCACTTTTTTATTCGAAAGTCCTTACAGTGCAACAAAACATTATCATGGTAAGCCAGCAAAGAAAACAAGCTAACACAAATGAAAAAATGAAGAGCGGGAGTCAAAGGTCACTGCCCTTCAAAGTCCTTAACCATCTCCACCAAGCTTTGGTACCAAGGTCAGCCACGGTTCATGGTGGGACATCTGGATGGTGAATACGGACCTAGTTAGAGTTTCCATTAAACCTGAGAAAGAGTTAGCATTTGGAAACGTGAAACCTCGAGATCATTTCGCACTGCTGCGAGGTTTATGAAGAAATGAAAAGCTCACGCAGGTTAATGGAGAATAACTTCAGGCACACAGACACACGCAAAGCCAATCAGGAACACTCAAGAAATACTCAAGGTAAACAGCATCTTTGCATCAGAAACATGAGCTGACTCAACATTAAATTTAAAATTTGAGAATTTCACCAATTTACCAAAGTTTCTACACAGTGGTGCTGATAGGAACCAGGGGTCGCCATGACTACAACACAAATATAGACATTTTATTTACTATCCAGAACCACCAGTGAACCTACACAAGTCTTCTGAGTTTATATGAATGTTGATGATGGAAAATAGTGGAGAATCTGAAATAATAAGTTTACTTTGGGGACTATTTTGCCTCACAGCGCCCTGCATGTATCCCTCCACCATGAATGGATTCAGTTCTCAAAACTACCATAAAACAGTGCCTCAGTCATCAGGCAGTGAATTCATAACCATTTCATGTAATAACTTGAGGTGGACGTCTGGTTCCTATCACCACCACTGTGAACAATTCTGCCTCTAGAACCGAGCACTTCACGTCAAACCACTCTGAATCTTAACCATATAAATATGCAGGTACTATTTAGAAAATGGGTGGGATTCTCACTTCAAAGTAAAGCCATTAAACAGATGAGGAACAACTGCTTAACATAAAATGCGATTTTTGCTCCAGATACCTGAGCTAAGTCCATGGCTAAGTTCAAATTTATCATCTTCAATCCATTTTTTTTTTTTTTGTGTCCAAGCAGTTTCCTTTGTAACACTGGAGTAAAGGCTACAGCTTCGCAGCTGCACTTTACAGGGCAAATTCCACAGGATCAACCTCCACTAGAAACAAATTTCCATCTTTTCTAGCTCCTCTCTCTCCGGAAGCGCAAGAACGGCACAGTACGAGCCATAAACAGCAGTCCGCAGGTCTGCAAGGACACAGGTTTATATTTCTTTTTAAAAATTAAGAAAGAGTTTGGCAAAAAAAAACAAACAACAACAAAAAAAAAACAGTACAAAAATCAATTTGTAACTCCTCTTAACCCAAATGTAGTTGATCAGCCAAGACATGTTTGAAGTCTGAAGTTAGCTTCTAAAGCTTTACATTAAAGCTACAAAGCTTCTGTCGCTAATTAGCCAGCTAGACAAAAACAGCAGAGAACAGCATGGCTAGTCACCAGCAAAACCAGATATATGTTGTGTTTTGGATGCTGGTATGTTGGTCATCCCCCAGCATCACACTGAAGCTTTTCGGTGTTTCTAATAGACTTGATTTCAGGGTTTCTGGTACTGTATGATAATGTTATAAAAATGGAGAAAAGTACGTTGGCGTAACTAAACAGTAGCAGCCGTCTTGAAGCCTCTTGAAGAATTTCCGTCTATTTAACTAGATTAGCCTCGTAGCTCCAGCGCTAATACTAAAGAGGCAAACTGTAGATCAAACGTCTTTGTTGATCGAGCACATGTAGGGTAAAGAGGGAAAACTGTAAATTAAGGTTTTCGTCTAATTTATTCCTTATGAAGCTATAATAGCTCAGGACAAAGTCACAGTCACTCAGAAAAGCCAGAGTCGTTTCATTGCACACATTTCATACAACCAATCAAACTGTTCGGTTAATCTACTGGATCCCGACGTCACTGCAGACGGACTGACGGCTGGAACTTTTCTAAACATTTATGAACTTTGTTGTGATTAGACGGGATTTCCCACATGTGCCGTTTACCCCCAATCATCCTCTTACTCTCCTAAAAAACGGTTCCTAAAGGGTTCTCAGCAATGATGAACTGCTATAGGAGGCCTTTATACTTTAAAAAGGTTCTTCACACCTGCGCATCTCATTTATAAAAAATAGTTCTTCAAAGAACTACTCACTGAAAGGTTCTTCAAGGAACCAAAATTGGCTCTTCTTCTTCTCCAAAGAAACCTTTTTGGGAATGTGTGCACTCTTAGGCAAGAGAGCTCTTTAAAAAAACAATTCTTTGAGCAATACCATGAAAGAACCACTTTGTTTCCCTAAAGAACCATGTTTGAAAAAAGACATTTGCAAGTGCGAAGAACCTTTAAAAAGTTTGAAAGAACCTTCACATAATGTAAAGCATTTACATGCATCATGCAAAGAATGCTTTATGACCTCGTCCTTTTAAAAGAGTGCAGTACCTAAAAAGGTTCTAAGACTAGAACGCTTTTGATGCTATACCATTTCTTTAAAGAATATACAGCATACAGCAGGTTTTCCATCATGGATTACAACCATTTAACCATGCAAAGAACCATGCCTTCAAATGGTTCTTTGAGCTGTCACGGTTCTATACATAACTGAATTTTACCGAAGAACCCATGAAGAACCTTTTTTTTTCTGAGGAGCACAGTATATGTTAATAAACAAACATAAACAACGTTATAAACAGAAGATAAACATAGTATTTCTACGAAAGCTGTCACACAAATCCGTCTGTGACCTCTTTAACAGCTGAGCATAAATATGTTTTTGTGAACGGTTTCAAAAATAAATTAATGTTGCCTCTCGTTTTGTGGGTAACAGAGAACACGCTTAAAGATGGTTCTGCAAAGGTTCTTTATTAGGGGCAATGTCATGCTGAAATGGTTCTCTGCATGGTGAAAAGGTTATTCAGACTGATGGAGAATGTGTTGTGTACGGTTATACATAGAACTAATGAGAGTTCTGCTATTGTTACGACGTCAAGCTGGTAGCAATAGAAGAACCCTTTGTGGTGCTATATAGAGCCATTTTCAAAAAGGTTCTACATAGAACCATACACAACACCTTCTCAATCAATCTAAAGAACATTTCACCATGCAAAGAACCACTTAAGCATGACATTGCCTCGACTAAAGAACCTTTTCTACTAAACCCAAATCCTTGCTAGCATTGTGTTCGCCAACGTTAGCCACACTAGCTTGCTTAGGTTAGCTGGAGTGCTGTAGTTATGCTAAAGCCACACTTCACAAGTGCTGATATCAGGGCTGCAAGATATGGACAATAAGATATTACATCACTTATAGAATAATATTGCTACAAACTGCACTGTGAAAACATAACAGCAAGACAAAATATCTTAAATCTCGTCAAAATGAGACTGTTGTAAGAATATCAGAGGACTACTGACTCACTTCTAGACGTTTTTAGTCATTTTATCTGAAGAAACTATCATTCTACTGGCTTTTCTTTATTTAAGAAGGAAAATGTACATACCAATACAATAAGATGATAACATAACTTTTAAGGGCTCAAATCACAGGAAAACAAATGTTAATCACTTTTTGGGGGAATAAAAAAGTCTGTAGCATGTAAACAATGATCGCGTTTACATGCACTTAATAATCCGATAACTGCAGAAAATCACATTATGTCAATAATCCGATCAGTGTGTTTACATGCACTTGAGTAATCAGATAATGGGGAAACTCCAGGTCTACATGAGTCAGACAGTAATCAGATATTTGCTTTACAACCAGCCAATAAACTCACAGAAGAAGTAAAACTCATGACGTGGCTTTTTTTTTAACACTGCACCACTTTACCTGAAAATATGAACATATATCATCTAGAAGATGAAGAATATTTAAATTCTTCATTACGTCAAGCGTGTGTTTGGTTTAATTGTTGCGCCTAAAGTGTTTTGCTGCGTCTCGTGGCGACGCTGCTCGCTTATTTCCGGTACCACAGTCTATTTTCACACATGCACAGACTGAGAAATCTGAAAGAAATCAGAGTAAGAGTTCACATGCACTGAGAAATCTGATTACTTAGCTAAAATCCAGCTCTCTTTATCGGATTTCTAGGCCTTACTCCGATCTAAGGAAAACCTGTTTACATGATCATTTGAATACTCAGATAACTGCAGAAATCTGATTATGATCGGATTATTGAGTGCATGTAAACACAGTTTAAGTTTCAAGTACAAGTTAAAGTTTCAAAGCGCTTCACAGTCTGTACAGCCCATATGTGGAAACTAAGCTGCAAAAACAGCCTGTTTTGAATTCACTGTCTTTGTGATGAAAGAAAAAACAAAGCATCTGCATATATCCGCCTTTTAGCCCCGCCCACTCACACTGAAGTTATATGGAGTGTTTCAGCCCAGACTGCTTTTTGAACGAGGCACAATACAGGACAGCCAATCAGAACAGAGCTCACTTACATATATCAGTTTTAAAGTGCACAGAAAAAAACTTTCATTGTAAGGGATACAAAGAGGTTGGAAAACCTCAGGTAAAAAAGAATTATAATACATCGTAAGTGGACCTCAGTGGGGGAAACCAAAATTTACAATATGGGTAAAAAAAAAAATTATCTTACAATTTCCTTACAACAGTCTCATCGTGAGAAATAAGAAATATCGACTACATGTAGATGATTTCACTAAGTTTTTGGCAATTTGCAATACGTGTCAATACATTTAAACATCCCTGACAAAATGAAAAACTCATCTGAAATGTCTAAGATTTGGTCAGAATACTCACAAAATGACGTTCTGCAAAAAGTCTCATTTGTTTATTGCAGCCTTCCTCAATATCGATATTGCAATATATTGTGATAATGAAGAACAATCGATACGTCATGCAGCCCCAACCAGACATTCGTATCCCAGTCAGTACATTTTTTCCAAGCTAATTAAATGAGCGTAGAGATGTGAAGAGGCGGGATTAACTGGCTTCAATCATGCCAACCATATTTTTGACTGTGTGAAGCGCGAAACCAAATCAGACTGAAACTGGGCCCAATCCAAGGCTGGTTTTGTGTAGTTTTGAGAAAACAAGTATATAAAAAAAAGGAGGAAAAAGCTTTATACATGTACGCCTAATGGAAGATCATTTCTGATCATATGAAGCCTCATCAAGCGTCAAACCACAACAGAAACAGCACAAAATAAAAGAATATCAACCTTCGCCCAACACTCTGCAGAACCCATTAAATAATGAAGAGAGAAGAAAAAAAATAGACTTAAAAACAAAAGTTTAGAATGAATAAAGTTGTTTTTTCTGTAAATGATTGTAAATCTTTGGATTTCCACAGCCCTCAGAGAAAGAGAGGAAGACAGAATGAAAGAAGGGAGTGAGTGCACAGTGGTAAGGCTGATCCTGTAGAAAAATGGAGTAGAAGGACATCAAACCAAAGCGTCCTTCAGGTCCTCGTTTATAAGGGAGAGAATGTGGAGGGCGTTTTTTAGAATCTTTACACAGAAACAGTCCATAACACACACACACACACACACACACTGAAACACACACACACACACACACACACACACACACACTGAAACACACACTCACACACAGCTCAGCAACTCGTTCCGAAACATCCGTTTTTGCTTTCTTTCGTCTTGCATAGCTCAGGCCACGGTCTACCGTAGGCGGAATGGCGGGAAGACTGGGGCGGAGTTAAACAGTCCAGGCTCTGCCCCCCATTATGATGTCACAGTCACAAGGCGGGGTCTCTCTGTCTCTCTCGGCCGTTCGACGTCTTCTTCACCTTCGAGATTCCCTCCAACGCCCCGGACTCTGTTACACTAGAGAGAGAGAGAGAGAGAGAGAGAGAGAGAGACAGACAGACAGAGAATAGAGAGAGAATAGAGAGAGAGAGAGAGAGACAGAGAGAATAGAGAGAGACAGAGAAGAGAGAGAGAGAGACAGAGAATAGAGATAGAGAGAGAGAGAGAGACAGAGAAGAGAGAGAGAGACAGAGAATAGAGAGAGAGAGAGAGAGAGACAGAGGAGAGAGAGAGAGAGAGAGAGACAGAGAAGAGAGAGAGAGAGAGAGAGAGAGAGAGAGAGAGAATAGAGAGAATATCACATTTAAGCTGAGCTCCTCTTGTTCTGAGACGTTGTTCTCAGTTAACTAGCTGTCACACTGGTTTGTACTGTAGTGAGTGAACGGCTAGACTTTTTCTAGAGTAGTAGAGTAGAAATTTCAGAGCTAGAAAACTCGAACTGTGCTTTTTTCATTGCTGATCGGTTCCAGTTTTATGGTTTTTGGTACCTGTTCAAGATCAGTACCTACAGAACCAAATGGTACTTGATGATGTTCTCATCTGTCTTTGGTAACACTTGCAGCTGAAGCTAACAACAATTTAGTGAATTATTTACTCTTCTGGGTGACAACTAGCACTACAACTTCACCAGCAAAGCACCAGAATGTACATTAGAATGATGTACGCTGATGTGTTGACTGATATTTTTTACGCTTTGATTCTGTGTAAATGTCGACATTGTGTACACGTGTAAAAAAACACACTGTATTATTTTATATCAGCACAGCAAGAGCTGAGTTAGCTAAGAACTATCATGGGGGCTCGGACCCAGATTCTTCTCTAAAGCTGCTTTGTGACAACACCTGTTGTGCTACATAAACAAACTAACTTGACTTCTCGTTTGGGTCGGTTCTTGTTTTTGATGCAGAGGGAAAACACCTCTAGTGTATTAAAGCAGCAAAGTTTATAGCCTGTATAGGTACAGTTAATTCAAAATGCCTCATATACAGTTTATAGTTATTGTTTTATTGTCCAGCCTAAAGTAAACATCTATTAAACATGCAGAGTGTCTCTTACACTTCGTCCATCTCCAGGTCCTCCTCGTCCTGAGGGAGCTGCAGGTACGGGTTGTTGGAGGCCGGCCGGAACTTAAAGCCCGTCAATACAAAAAACACCAGAGTGGACACCTCAATCAGAAACTAGAGAGAGAGAGAGAGAGAGAGAGGGTGGGTGAAAGAGAGAAAGAGGAGAGAGAGAAAGGGGGAGGATAATGATCTATGATGTGCCTGGGATATAATGACGTTCAAGGGCACATGTCTGGTTTCCCATGGAAATGGGAGCAATATTACCATGGAAATAGGTGCAATGTAACCATGGAAACGAGAGTAATGGAACCATGGAAATAAGAGTAATGTAACCATGGAAATGAGAGCAATGTAACCATGGAAATGAGAGCAATGTTACCATGAAAATTGGTGAGATGCTACCATGGCAATGAGAGTAACGTTACCATGGAAATGGTAGCAATGTAACCATGGAAACAGGTGCAATGTAACCATGTACATGAGAGTAATGTAACCAAGCAAATGAGAGCAATGTAACCATGGAAATTGATGAGATGTTACCATGGAAATGAGTGTAATGTAACAATGGAAACGAGAGTAATGTAACCATGGAACTGAGAGTAACGTAACCATGGAAATGGTAGCAATGTAACCATAGAAATGAGAGCAATGTAACCATGGAACTGGGTGTAAGGCAACCATAGAAACAGATGTGGAGTAACCATGCAAACATTTATAGTTCACTGACCGATATAATCAGAATTTTTTTCCAAATCAGCCCCAGAATTTAGTTATAATTTGATTTCTATCATTTGGATGTATGATAACATCAATGAAAATGACAGTATTAAAGTGGTCTGATTGTCTCACCTCTTGGGACCACTGCCACTGGAAGGGTACAGTGACCTTCAGCAGGATGGCAATGATCCTCGTAAAGTAGATATAACACACGATCTGCACTCAGACAAAAAGAGAGAAAAAAAAGAACGAAGGAAGAGAAATATTAGAAGTCAATATGCTTTCCCTGAAATTTTCCATTTTGCTTTTCCATTTAAGCTTTTGGCAGATGATTAAAGCTGTAATGGCGTTACAGATGTAGGTGAAAGAACTGATGGATCATGAACTCGTGAAGAGTACGAAGACAGTTTACATGTAAACCTGCAGAAGCATAACAATCTGAAACTCAGACACGTTTTGAAGGAGTATTTGGGCAAAAAGAAAATGACAGTGTTGGAACGGTCTGTTTAAAATACATAGCTGATAGTTGCTGACAGAAAAAAATATATACATTTTTATCGTTTTTCATGTTATGATATAATTGGAAAATACCTGCTGTTCTTTACATTATAATCACATTTCATGACGAATGGACCAACAGAAATATTTGTTTTAACTCACCATCACATAGTAATGCCTAAACAGCTTCAGCTTCTCCAGATTCATCGCAGCTGCAACATGCATACACACACAGCAGCCAAACATATTATATAATTACATAATAAACTTTTATATTTACAATTATAGTAATAATTTCTTATAGGTTTTTGTGATGAAATAAGATTTAGTGAAATAGCTTATCAGTACATATTAATCTTTTCTTAACCTTAATTTTTGGGAAATCTTATAAAATAAACATTGAAACTATGTATTTCAGCCTCATCTTGGTCCAACATCCCATCAGTAATTTAAGACTAAGACCAGTGCACACACACCTTTTCCGTCTGTGGTGGACGCCTCCTGCAGGTGTCGAATGGACCTGCAATAAACATAAACAAAATACTGTTTACATTGATAAAGGTGACCTGAAATTTAGATCACATTATTTCACTATTAGACAGTATCGTCATAGTTGTACGCAAGTTTGAACATCCCTGGTCAAACGACGTCTTGGTGATTTTCTAAGTGTGAGTAAGTGAACACATCCTCTACAAAGAACGCACTTAAATATGGCATTTTCAGCCACAATTTCCATTTATTTACTCACCTGATTATATCACATTTTCCCCCCATATGTTAAATTCAGCGAATAAACAGTAATTCTGCATAAAAACGAAAACAGAAGTGTGTTCTCTGTAGAGGATGTGTAACTTATGTATATTTTAAAAATCAACAAAACATGGAATTTGACTGGGCGCACCCAAACTTTTGCACACAACTGTACATTAAAAATCACAACAAAACAGCCTTTTATCGTTTTATAAAACCAATCTTGATGAAACTCAGTTTTAAGCTGAAAAGATATTTTTCCTTTGTTGTGCTGATGCGAACAGTAACACTCAGAACAATCATGAAATCTAAAGGAAAAAGAAAAGAACCGAAGTCATTTATACTTTATGTGCATTTGAACTGATTCGACTGAACAATTTTACTGTTGTGCAAAAAACACATTAATATTTCCTGAGTTTGGTGTTTTGTTGAAGCCCAGAGCCAAACTCACCAGACGACGGGGAAGAGGATCGCTCCACAGCAGATCAGATCCACCAGGAAGAGGATCTCCCTCCACAGAGCGTACTCACTGGAGGCCTCCTCCGTCTCCTCAATGATGATATACGCCACGTTAGCTAGAACCTGAAAAATAAAACATGCTGATAAGTCCATCAACCAATCATACCACTTCTCCATCATGATATACCCCCATTAGCTAGAACTTAAAAAAAAAATAAAACACACTAATAAATCAATCAATCAGTCATCAGTTTTCTCAAGATAATAGCATCATGTTAGCTAGAACCTGAAAAAAAAACATCAATCAGTCCATCAATCAGTTAATAAATCAGTGCTTTAATTAGGCTCTGTTCAGACTGCAGACAAATCAGATTTGTTTCTCAAATCAGATCTTTCGAGTCGCCTGTCCGCTCTGTTATCCGAGAGTGTTCAGATCAGATTTGTGTGTCCAGACATCACCAGGCTATCTGCATGGGTTGCCGTGGTAACGACGTAGGCATCAGTAACTACGTAGCTACGTGGATTTCAAACGTGGATGCAGGAGAGATGGAGGAGCATCATCTCGCCCTCCAAACTCTTCAGAATTCTCTTCATAATCATGAATCTTTGGAGCTCTTCTTGAATCCCAGCACTTCCTCACTCTGGATTTGACATCGTCGTTGCGAGTGACGCAAAAGACACTTTGAAATCTGATTTGAATGTCCAGAGCGTCCAGACTGAGATGCATGATTTGCAAAAATCAGATTTGATGTGGGTTTTTTGCTGTTCAGACTATCAAAAACCGATCTGGATACAATCTGGATTTGGGCTGGTAGTCTGAACACAGCCTAAACCTCCTCAATGATGATATACGCCACGTTAGCTAGAACCTAAATAATAAAAAAAACCACTTAGTGACAGTCAGTCAATCAATCCTTAATCTGCCTCCTTAATGATGACACATGAGCTAGAACATGAAAAATTAAACACACTAATCAGTCTTTTAATCAGTCCCTCAATCAATATTTAATCTGTCTCCTCAATGTTGATATATTCCACATTAGCTACAACCTGAAAATTAAACACAGTAATCTACAATCAATCAATTACTCAATAAATCAATCAGTTGAGTTCATGGATTAAGTGGAGAACCCGTACCTGTAGAGGGATGACGATCATGAAGATCTTCTTCTCCTTATCAGACAGGATGTATTTCACAAAGGCAAAGCCTGTTCCTATCAGAGCCAGAGTGATGAACAGCAGCGCCCCCTTCAGTCTGTCCAGAGAAACAAACACAGAAATATTAGCAGCTTTTAAAACTCCACAAACCTTTATTTATGTGGCAAAATCACTGCAACTCATTTTTCTTTCTTTAATACAAACTGTGGATGCCTTGAAATAGAGGAGAGTAAAGAAGCCGTGAAACGGTCAGACAAATGAGGTTTCTTTTTCTGAATTGTGACATATTGGTTTTTGAAACAGGAGGTTTTACAAGAGCCTGGTAGACACAACATACACAGTGCGGTGCAACAGTCAGAGACTACACATCAACAAGTTCCACTCAAAACTGCCACTTAGTACAAGTTCTCATTTTTCAGGAGGTCTTTCTGAGGTGATTAGATATCAGATAATCCACCTGCATAATAAAGGAGAAAGTCAAAGTTTAAAAAAAAACCCAAAAAAACAAAAAAACAAAAAACGGAGTTTCCAAAACTGGAGCTCAAAAACTGATTTAAAGCTACAGAGAAAATGTGGCTCCTAACAACCACCTGGAACAGCTGGTCGACCCCAAAACTGCCCCCATCAGATAAACAGCACTTAAAGCTTTCATCTCTGAGAGAGAGGAGAAAATCAAGCTGCTTCAGATCTGAAAACATCCACAGGTGTTTCTGTCCATCCTTCCACTGTGAGAAGACGACTCAGCGCTATGGGTCTGAAAGGATGTGTAGCCGTCAAAAAGCTCTTACTGAGAAAAGGAGACGGACACATCAAACAAAGAAGCTGAACGATGGACTGACCACTCCAGAGTCCAGACCTCAACACCACTGAATGTGTTTGATTACTTCAGAAAATGATCAACCAGCTTCTAAGACTGAACTTTGGAGGTGTGTCTGCAGATTCTTTGAGGAGCTGAAAGTGAGTCTCCTGAAAAGAATGGAAGCTGGAATAAAGGGAAAGAGTGACTCACTGAACACAGCTGAGAGTAGATTTAGCTGTTGAGCTGAAAATTAATAACTCGTACTTAAAGACTGTTTTGTTTGGAAAATAAACAAACACACTTACAGGTGAGTGATGTAGTACATCACCGCCCAGCCTTCAATAGGATGTCCCTCCGTGTTGATGAAGTGATAGTTGATCTAAAATTAAGGGACAGCATTTCAGGAATGCAGTGACTAACTACATTTATAATTTACATACATAATTTACTACATTCTTCTTGTATCTAATTTTTCCTTGTGCCATTTTTTTCACCAAAAACAGTCATAATTCATTTTTAACATGATCATTTTCAAACCTTTCACTGTCCCTTTCAGTTAAACAGGCTATTTTTGTTACTGTGCCTTTAAGATATAAGGTTTAATAAGTTAACATGACAAGTAGTGACCTAATTTTATGGGACAGTCAGAAGTCCTCCTTGTTTTAGCTTATAAGGAGTATCTGCTTCATTTCTGTATTCAGTAGTTTTGCTTAAGTTTGTAATTTGAATTGTTTTTATCTATTTATTTTACTGTTTTGTTTTTTAAATATACTTGTAGTAGTAATAGTAGACACAACTGTAGAATCACAAGAAGAGCAAAGATTCAACAAGAGGATTAAACATATTCACATGAGTATCTACATCTGAGTTACAGTGTATAATGCAACTGAATGGGGTTATAATGTAATAGAAAAGCAGTCATGCAGTCATAAGTGACACACTAACAGATGTACTGACACAAAATACATTGTTTTCTTTCCCCCACTTTCCTTTTTTAATATATGTGCATAACCGACACTGATATTATGTCAATGTTGTACCCCTTTTTATTTTTTTTTAGGTGAGGGGGGGTGTATTTATGTAAAAGCTGGTGACACTGTGTTGCTCCCATACTGGGAACAGTTAGGCAGCAAAATGACAAATTTCCCTGTAGCACCAATAAAGTAATAACTAACTAACAACATCTAGGCGTAAGTCAAATGCAATAAATCACGATTAACTACACAAACGAATGTGATGAACTGTGTTTAGTCTGAATGGCTCGACGGCTCTGGTGCTCGTGGTATGTTATGTAACACTCACACTGTGGAACACCAGAGACACAGCTTTAGTGTAGGCCAGAGACGCCATCAGCCAGTGGATTTTAAACACGCTGTACCTACAAAACAAAAACACACACAGTTCAGCCAAACACAGCGCAGCACCTTCAGGAGGTTCACACTGTGTACATGAGGTTTATTCAGCTCTGTTCTTCATACAATTCAATGAAACAACAATTTTATGTTTTAACTGTGCAGTAAAATGTGCAGAGGTGTGTCTCTGTAGAGGATGTGTAACTTATTTACAGTCAGAAAATCAACAATGTGGAATTTGACCAGGTGCACCCAAACTTTTGCATAGGACTGTACAGAAGTGAAGGATGTGTGTGTGTGTGTGTGTGTGTGTGTGTGTACGTACCGGTGTTTGAGGAGAGTGTATGTCCACACTATGGCAGCGGTCAGAAACATCGCCGCCATGCAGATGTAGAGACGCGGCAGAGGAATCTCAGCAGCCGAGAGGAAACCAGCCGGATTCTTCTCTGTAATGTGGACCTGCACAACACACCGCCATCGTCTTCATCATCATCATCATCACTATCATCACCATCACACATAACTGTCAATCACACAACATTATTCAATCTCCTTTCAATGTGAAAAAGTTTACTGCAGATAAAAACGATATAAAGTGATTATTTGATGCTGCGATTCTACAGCTTCCAAGATTTCAGATAATTAGAAGCTTTAAAAAATAGAAGAAATGTGAGATGAATCCAGAAAATGCAAAAGTTAGTTCTAACAAAATTAACATCCACAATAAAGTCACAAAATTATAAATAATATACATATTAATTAGTAATGATATATTAATTAGTTGATATTAATTAGTAATAATTGATATTAATTAGTAATAATATACATATTAATTATTATTAAATAAAATGCCACAATGATCTGAAAAATGATTCCAAACTTTTTTGTTGTTTACATGTGAAGATGTTTATATATGAGGATGTTGTGCTTACGCTGAGTGAGTATGGGCTGAAAGTGCCCGGCATCATACTGTAGCAGTTATGGAAGTTCAGAGTGTACAGGCCCTGATCTTCAGCTCCCATAGTGATATGAAACTGAGAGAGAGAGAGAGAGAGAGAGACAAAGAGAGAGAGAGAGAGAGAGATAGATAGAGAAAACTGTAAAACAATTTACACTCCATCACACCTACATTATGGACAAATGGACCTATTATATTTGATATACACACACATGCCTGGACACCTCAATTCAATTCTATATTAAAAATGGAGTCACTGTTGACCGTTATGTTGCTTGGACACACTGCTTTTTAAAATCATTAAAGTTTGTGATAAATTATTTGTTGAACATTGGTGTATTTATTTATATTGCATTTAGTGTCTGATTTATAAAAGCAATAATTCAGTCTGAACAGCGGGGAAAATCACTGTAATGTGTGGCCTGCAGTGGATTAGCGCTTTAAAATTACAGTTCAGACGTGTCATTTAGAGCCTGCAGGTCAACTACAACGGCTACAAACATCTTCAGTAATGTGGAAAGTATTATTGCGGAGGGGGTGAGGTTTCAATTTTTCTGGTATGGTTTTAATCAGTCTGAGTTGTGATGAAAGACTCACTGTGAAGTTGTAGGAGTCCTTGAACTTGAGGAGGGTCAACTTCATTCCGTTTATGTTCTTCCCCTGATCGGGACCCAGGATAGAAAAATTAAAACCACCAATAAGTGATAAAAAAATCACAAACACACGAATGCAAATTGACTCTCGCACACACCTTTTTAGTAAGAGACTCAGTAACTATGCTCTCCTTGAGCTCCTCTTTCTTCTCTTCTTTCTGTTCTTTCTGTTTCTTCGGATCTTGCTGTTTTTTCGTATCTTTTGATTCTTTCGGGTCGCTCACAGCAGGGTCCTTATTTTTTGCTGTTTTGTCCTCAACCGGTTTCTCTTCTGCTTTGGTTGTACTGTCTTTGTTCTCACCAGCCGTGGTGTCTGTGTTACCTGAAGCCAATTTTGATTTGTTGTCTCTTTTCTTCCGGGTTTCTGAAAAAAATTCTTGTGTGATCTTACTACATTCACTGAACACTATTAGGTGCAATTAAGCATGAAGCATGATATAAAGCATAAAAGTCACATGTTCAAATTAAATAGTGTTGTGAAAGTGTACCAGTCGTGGGCTGGAGGTTAGGGAACCAGCCTTGTGACCGGAAGGTCGCCGGTTTGATCCCCTGAACCAACAGTATGTGACTGAAGTGCCCTTGAGCAAGACACCTAACCCCCAACTGCTCCCCGGGCGCCATGGATAGGGCTGCCCCCTGCCCCCTAGTGTGTGTGTGTTCACTAGTGTGTATGTGGTGTTTCACTGCACAGATGGGTTAAATGCGGAGGTCTAATTCCAATGTGTTCAGACACAGTTGGCTAGGTTCAAAGGTACCAAGTGTAAATGGGGGGGTGAGAGTGAATCTGGATCTGTTGTGAAAGTGGACTAAGTGTAAACAGTGAACACTTAGAGGACTCAGTATAAATGGGTGTTCAGAGTGAACATGGATCTGAAGCGAAAGTGAACTAAATGTAGATGTGGGTTTAGAGCAAATCTAGATCTGTTGTTAAAAGTGAGCTGAGCATAAACGTGGACAGTGAATCTGGATCTGTTGTGAAGGTGGGATGAGTGTAAATGGGGTTTAAGCAAACAAGGACCAGTTTTGAAAGTGAATGTTTTCGAAAGTAAATGGGGTTTAGAGTGAATCCTGATCAGGTGTGAAAATGAACTGAATGTAAACGGGCTTTAGACTGAACCTGCAGTTGCTGTGACAGTGAAGTGTGGGTAAACATGGGTTTAAGATCTGAATCTGTTGTGAAAGTGAACTAGGTGTAAAGAGGGGCTTTAGAGTGAATCTGGATCTTTTGTGAAAGTGAACTGAATGTAAATAGGGGGTTTAGAGTGAGTATGGATGTTGTGACAGCGAACTGAGGAAAACTGGAGGTGAATCTGGATGTGAAACTCACCCTTCACTTCTTTTTTCTGGTCAGCCGTTAAGATGATGTCCTCCTCATGAAAGGACTTTACCTGGACACTGAAAACACACAATCGAAACAGTTTAAAGCCTGTGTCAGTTCAGGTCGCTGGAGTGAGCAGAATGGACATTTAATCTGAAACAGACAAACACACCCAACTGTACTGCACTCATCCTACCTGAGTGTTAGTGGGTCAATGATGAAGAGAATGAGTGTATCATCACTTTTGGTTTTTAACAGAGAGCACTTCTCAGGGTCCTCGGCCTGTGAAACAAAAACAAACACTGTAATAAGATCTGCTGTATTAATTTATAATTATTAAATTAAAACTTGCATCTTCCATTAACTTTGAAGGACTTTTACAATTTGACATAATATTACCACAACTAATGATACTACTAATTATATGGTATATCACAGGGATGCATCAATACCGATACTGGTATTGGGTATGGGGCTGACACTGTGCTCATTTACTCAGAATCATAAAAATTCACTGATACCAACATCCGATACTAGTTGATACCAAGTGACGTAAGCTGAGTCTACACTGCTGCGCTACAGAACAGTTGACTCAAGCTGGCAGTGAAGGAGGCTCTGCAGAGAAGCATTAGAATGCAGCAGCGGCAGCTGGACGCAAATTCGTTGATCACTTTAAACGTTCTGCTTTGGCAAATTCCTGCCAGGAGCACACTGTGAGATTTCAGTCAGTTTTTAAACACATACAAACACAATCATAACCACTTGCCGAACAAGGGTGGAGACAAGTAGGCTAACAAAACGGAGGTGAAAAAGTTGACATTTCCTTATACGTGATTTTACTCTGTTTAACTGAACAGAATAGTGAGTTATAAACACTTATTTCTCAAACAGTCTTTGTAAAACAGGCTGTAGAGAGACTATACTGTCCTACTGTGTATGTCTCAGTGCAGTTTGGTTAGCCGAGCTGCTGTAGCTCAGTTTCTCAGTGTGTTTGCTCAGTACTCGGTGCGCAGCGTGTTTTGAATGAAACAGCTTTATTGGAAACTGCCCATAGACAGATCCGTCTGTAGAAGCTGTGTTTCACGTAACATGGACTAAGTGTTTTCGCACAGTGCGAGTATATAAATCGTAGGTCTGTCCGAACACAATGGACTATTCAAACTTACAGTTTGAGTCACCAAAGAACAAGATTTCTAAAATCACACAGTGTCTGTCTGGCTTTAGAGGACATTCAGCTACAGCTCAACCAGCCTGTACAAAATACTTCAGAAATAAAACTCCACAAGTGAGCTTCTCAGCTACGTTAGCTTCGGATGTGATTCCTGCTTTTGCAGTTAGCACCATGTTAATTGGTGTACATTAGCTTTCACTACTTGTTAGCTACATTTGCCTTGTAGCTCCAACACTAAAATTAACGAAGCAAACTTTAGACACCAAACACATCTTGACTGATCCACTACATTTGAGGTAAGCAAGGAAAATTAGTTAATTAGATCTGAGGTCAAATTATCGCTTTAAGGAGATTACACACTTGGACAGTGCTGCAGAAGCAAATTAAAATCACCCGCTTTTACTTACTGTGTAAGAAAGAACTCCATTCACATGAGACCGAGCCAGACTGAAGCCCACCTGCACAGAACACACAACCACAGTATTAACTTAGACAGTACACACACATACAGGTTGCAAAAGTCTGAAATAAAGACTTTCCTCTGAAGACATTCAGCAACATCATGTTGCACATAATCACGTATAGAGTCAAGGTTACAACTCACAGGATTGGTAGTAAAGTTGGTCTTGCTGATTTGGGGAAGATAGAGGGACGTCAGGTTGACCTCCAGAGTTCCATTGGCGAAGTAACCGAACGTGTTCAGGTGAACAACGGAACGGGTTTCATTCTGAGAAAGAGAAAGAAAATGACAGTAAAAGTGAATGTTTGGAGACAGAGAATAGTATCAGCTTCAACACAGAAGACTGTGATGGTCTTTATGCAAGCAGTCTTCACATTAGTGGATAAATCAACCAAGTGGATCCACGAAAAGGTCAAAGTAGCACTGACCCTCCCGTCTAGACCACAAATCAACACAACACAAACAACTACAGGCTTCTAGAAGAACATGTCCAAAATTTTGCAGACACCAGTGTTTCTTCTGAAATGAAGGTGTTAATAGTGAGTCTGTGCTGCAGTAACAGCCTCTACTCTTCTGGGAAGGCTTTACTCTAGATGTTGGAACATTGCTGTGAGGATCTGATTGAGCGTTAGTGAGGTCAGGTACTGATGCTGGATGGTTAGTTCTGGATCACTCCAACTCATCCCAAAGGTACTGGATAGAGCTCCATCACTTTCGATTTGTACCTGAACCTGAAAAAGTGTAGGTAACTTCTAGTCTTCATATCTTCAGAACAGTTTAAGCTACAGACATGATACACATATCAGACCATTCAGCAGAACCGGCCCAAACTAGCCAGAGTGTCATTGAGCTGTGACGTCAGCATCAATGAGTAATTCGGAAAATCACCCAAAATCCTGATATTATTGCTCTGTTTTTTGGCCTTCATATTCCAACAAAGGTTTAAAACAGTGACATGATTTACACATTTACACATCAGATCACTCAGATCTGGCCTCACCACCCAGAGTAATTTCATCCACCTGTGACCATCCATCAGCCAGCAAACCAGCTCCAAAATCACCCAAAATCCACTCGCTACTGTTTCTCTCACTAGCCAGAGTGAGAGAAACCAGCTCTAACATCCCACAACCCAGAAATACAGCACAAACACACAGCCAGATCACTGTAAAACCTGCTATTAGCTCTCTGCTTTAGCCTTCATACGGCAACAAAAGGGTTAAAAAGAAGGCATCGAAAAAAGTAGCTTTCAGGAATCAGTACTGACAACTTTTCTTTGCCTCACAACACCCTGCATGTACCTCTTCACCCTTTATGGTTTTTAAACAACGTTTTAGGAATAAAATCTTCACAAACCTATCATAAAATAGTGTCTCAGTCATCAGGCAGTGAATTCATAACCATTTCATGTAGGAACTTTCTGTGAGGGAGCTTTTAGAGGTGGACGTCTGGTTCCTGTCACCACCACTGTGAACAAGTTTGTGCCTGAGAAGATTTGGTATAAAACCCATTCATGGTGGAGGGATACATGCAGGGCTCTGTGAGGGAAAATAGTCCTCAAAGAAAACTTAATATTTCAGATTTTCCACTATTTTCCATCATCAACATTCCATATAAACTCAGAAGACTCGTGTAGGTTCACTGGTGGTTCTGGATAGTAAATAAAATGTCTATATTTGTGTTGTAGTCATGGCGACCCCTGGTTCCTATCACCACCACTGTAAAGACATCTGAACCATTTCACACCAAACCACTCTGAATGACTCTGTTTACATCTCACACACTGAGTTACGCAGAATTTTTGAGAAAACAGTGGAATTTCCCTTAAACATAACTGAATTCATTAATTATAAGCGGTTTCTGGATATTTTTTGTACATCCAGCTACTACATCACGTCAGAAATAGACTGTTCAACGGATTGGTGACTTTCTAAATTTGTTGTTGTGGTTTTTTAACCAAAGGTTCATGACCAGACACAGAGCTGTGGAACATGCTGCAACCTGGTGTTCATTTTCGCCATTTTCAGAGGGAAATTTCACAAAGCAGGAAGCGTGACTCACATAACATAAACTGAAAAAATCAATCCTGCCCAGCAAGATAAGAGACCTGGAACATCTTCATTTTAAATTTAACCTCATTTCATCCAGCTCAGTGAAGAAATCCCTCCAGCGTTGTGGACATTCACAACAAAGCAGCGAGCCAAGTTTCACCCATTCATTCCCAACAACTAAATATAGCATGAATACTCAGAACCTGTTCTGATTGGTCTACAGTGATGTCATTTTGTACAGTTATACCTCAGACAAACATCTAACAGCACCCGTTTGATTTGTTTAATTATACACTGATATACAGAATAAAATTTAGATTTTCTGTTTTAGCACAAAAAAATCAGTAGTTAATTGTGAACATAACACACTGAAATAAGTTATTTAAACCCCAAACTCTCCACTTTTTTAGCCATATAGTCTGATCAGCTTGAAAAATGTCTTCAGACAAGCTCAGCCTTGGACCAAACTATATTAAACTTCACTGAAAACTGAATTTCTCTGCACTCTCCAGTCCACACAGTTCATATATGCAAACTAAGATGCCTGTTTTGAATCCACTATTTCTATGATGTCACGAAAACCAACATATTTTACACATCCACTTACTCAGGCTAAAGGAGTTTAGCCCCACCCACTGACACAAAGTTATAAGGAGTGTTTCAGCCCGGACTGCTCTGTGAATTAGGCACAGCCAATCAGAACAGAGCTCATTTACACAGACATAGTCTTACGGGCACAGTAAACAGGCAGTTTAAAGAGGACCTCAACACAATTTAATGGTTAAGATGTAAACAGAGCGGCTCAGAGTGGTTTGGTGTGAAACGCTCTGTTCTAGAGTCAGAATTGTTCACAGTGGTGGTGATAGGAACCAGACGTCCACCTCTAAAAGCTCCCTCACAGAAAGTTCCTACATGAAATGGTTATGAATTCACTGCCTGATGACTGAGACACTGTTTTAGGATAGTTTAGAGAACTTAAACTCCATTCATGGTGGAGGGATACATGCAGGGCGCTGTGAGGCAAAATAGTGCCCCAAAGAAAACTTATTATTTCAGATTTTCCACTATTTTCCATCATCAACATTCATATAAACTCAGAAGACTCGTGTAGGTTCACTGGTGGTTCTGGATAGTAAATAAAATGTCTATATTTGTGTTGTAGTCATGGCGACCCCTGGTTCCTATCACCACCACTGTGAAGACATCTGAACCATTTCACACCAAACCACTCTGAATAACTCTGTTTACATCTTCAGGGACTGAACTAGTCAGAAACTTTAAAATATTGGTGGAATTCCCCTTTAACACCGCATATGGATGTCAACGGCTTAAAAAGATCAGCCTGAGCTCAGGAGGAGTTTTAAAGCCTTAAGAATAGAGCGCTTGTTCGTTGATGGCCTGTAGAAACGTTTGAGGTGTGAAAAACGTGGAAAAACACGAAGTTTGGCTCGAAATAAGTGACGTTTGGAGCCACTTCAGTACAGAAACGAAGCTCAGACACGGAGAAAAGCAGCAGGGGGAGAATTAAAGCATCTCCAGATGTAAATAAATCACACTTCGCTCATGTTATTACATTGTTATGACTGTTACGGCTGTTATTAATGTTGTGTGCACTTACGCTGAGGGACAGTCGATGTATTCTCGCCTCGTTTAAAGTCAGGAGAAGCGGCAGCAGCAGCAGAGTTAAACAGGCCATATCGGAGGAGGTACGGCTGGAAAACCTGCTGCCTCAGAGGCGGATTAATAAAGCTGTTATTAAATTATTAATATTAATATTCACTTCCCGCTCTGCTGTCACTCTGCCTGTGTTTGCAACTCACTCACTTCCTGCTCCGCTGACCGCTTACACGTCAGCGCTGGAGCGCTTTTACTGCCCCCGGCGGTCGGAGGGGAGCATTACATCCCCATTTCAGTTGACGTAGTCTCCATGACGACTTCAGGCCGGACTGAATTCAGGACAGCATCTATTCCAGAATATCAGTTCAAAACAGCATCACACAAAACAGCATCCTAACTTTAGGATGAACCCCAACAGGGTCCTCACTTCTGTTTAAGGTCCGTTTCTATGGTTTTTAGGCAGCTGTGTCAGCAGCATAGTTCACTACCAGCATAATGAGCTCCATTTATTTCTACTGTAAAACGCTGCTTTCACTGTGAGATGATTTTCTTTTCTAACTCTGCGTTTTAAAGATCTCAGACGCTGCAGACTCGATCTCCACCGCCCCTCTGATCACCTTCGTGTGTTAATGTTGATGATGAAATATTACAGTGAAGGTGGTGAATAATGAGGAGACGGAGCTGAACGTGTGTCTGTTTATTAGGAGGAGTAACGTTAGCGCACTCGGCTAAAGCGTTTGGGAAATGGAGACTGAAACTGGGGAGCGGCGATGCTCTGATAAACAGCAGGGGGCGCTCTCACAGTATTAACACCTTACAGTTTATCACACTTCAGTTCAGTTTGACCTTTTTAACAGTAGCTGTCCGGTTAACTGACTTGATTACTATGATGACATGTTTACATTTCAGCTGCGTGTGTCTGGTTGGTTGCTAGGTAACAGACATGACGTTGACTTCGATGATTGTTGACTTCGATCGAGTAGGCTAAGATTTCCTAACTGGAGCTAAGATGCTGTAAGATCAAATAAGATCCCTAAATTAAGATCAGATTTGCTTCTCTAATATGAATGTGTGAAAAGTCTTACCTTGACCTGTCAGATCTTAGGTAAAGGCAAAAATATAGGAAGTTTCTGTAATACAACCCAGAATCGTAATCATTTTATTTAGTTAAACTTATGAGAACTCTAGCTGTGGCTTTCTGAACAAACTGGGATATGTTTAGGCCCTTACTGAAGCATCCAGAAAACAAGGCATTACATTCAGTGTGGCCAGTTTGGGCGGGTTCCTGTCCAATTGGGCATGTTTTAGGTCATACTTGGCGGGAGAAAAGGTGCTTTGGCGGTGTGTATATTATGTTTGGAGTTTAACATATATATATATATATATATATGTATATATATATATATATATATATATATATATATATATATATATATATATATACACAAACATTTTTTTTATTTTTTTGTATTTAAGTTCTACAAGGGGGTTACACACCTAAGATTTTCACTCACCTTCGCACGTGTCTAAATGTGATTTGATTTGATTTGCTGAGAGGAGGCCGTTGCACCGACTGTCTGCATCATTCATAATCGACATCACAGCTGCATTTAACCCCAACAAAACGTAGCACAATGTTTATTTAAATGTAAGTGGTGTTGTGTTGAGCGTTGCAACTTTGCCAGCTAAGAAGGACATTCTTGGTGTCCTTTTCTAAGAATTTTCAAAGCCTGATTAGATGTGTTTAAATATGTGTTTAATACCTCAAAATATGTGTTATAACATCTTCAATTGTTGTGTGTACCAAGCTGCAGCAGCCGCACTTGTAGAGGACTTAATTAGACTCCATTTTGTGCTCTGCCTTTATAATATGGCGGGGTTTGTATACACGTCGCTGCTGATTGGGCAACACCTCTGATGCCGCACCTCAAAGCCCACTGCACACCTTCTAACACTGTTTCGACGGAACATGTTGATCAACCTGGAAACCGTAGCAAATTCATTTGCCTTTCTGATTGCATGGGATAATGTGTCCTATGATAACACGGTAAAAAATGCTAATACTCTTAAAACTTTGATGAGTTTGTGTGAGCTCTGCAAGTTATGGAAATAAAATACACATATAAATCAAATAACGTAATTATTTTATTAAAATCACTCATAGTTTCGCTCTTTCATTCTCTACTTATTGTTTCTTAGATTAGTAGGAATACTAATAACTGCTCAAAAAGATTTTGTGTCTTTGATAAAACACATTTGAAAGATCAACAGTGCCATCTAGTGACAGCATAAATATTTGTCTACAAGTCTTCGAAAGCGAGATATCAGCGGTGAACCTACATTTGTCTTTTGAGTTTTTATATGTTTTTAATGTTAATGATGGGAAAACAGTGGAACATTTGAAAATAATGTTTTCTTTGGGGACTGTTTTATCTCATGTGCATGTATCCCTCCGCCATGAATGGGTTTCAAAATACGTTTCAGGCCAAAATGTCATTACAAAATTATCATAAAACAGTGTGTCAGTCATCACACTTCCATGTAGTAACTTTCTGTGAGGGAGCATTTAGAGGTGGACGTCTGGTTCCTATCACCACGACTGTGAACAGTTCTGACTCGGTAAGTTTCTCTAGAAAGGAGTGTTTCACACCAAACCACTCTGAACGACTCTGTTAACATTTTAACCATTTTATTATAGAGTATTTTTGAAACTCTGTGGAATTACCCATGAAATACTCTTGTACTACTTAAAAACTGGCTTATAAACTGGTATAACATACATTTTGTATCTCTTTTGCCCTCAGTTATTACCAAATTGTCAACCCCTTATAATATAAAATAATAATAATGCATTAAAAATGTTAACCACCAAATGAAATGGGTTTGTTGAGACATTCATGCGACGCCATGTCGAGATGATTGGTCAAAAAAATGGTTTTATTTATTTTTAAACAGAGCCGTGGGCCACCATTGGTCCATAAAAATGCCGAAGAATTTGCGAGCTCCTGATTGGCTGGACTGGATGCGTTCGTATTTCAAATTCACTCCTTAACGGTTTTCAACGTTCAGTCAGGGCGTCGCTTAGCAACGTCGTTAAACTAGTTAGTCGCTAACCGCCGTACGACCAAAGGTCTGCTTGGAAATGTAGTCGTTAGAGCCCAAAAATGAAATAAAAGACGTTTTTAAAGAGAAGAACGTGAACAGGAGCCTCAGAATAACCGCATATTCCGCGTTTGGATCGTCATTTAATCCCCCTGAGCCTGAATGAGTAACGCCAGATGGATTAGCCTCGGCTAGCGCTAATGTTAGCTAGCTAGCTTGTTAATGACATTGAAGAAGGTAAGAAAGTCTTTTTTGTATGGAACTATTTCCAATATCTGCCCAAAAGCTTCCAGAAAGCTCTCCTAATGAGTGAATTTAGCCACTTTAAGGTCACTTATTGCTGACACAGGTGTTCAGCTTGTATAACCCCCATAGAAACCTTGCTGAAAAAGGACCGTTAGCAACCATAAGCATTAAAACCTAATGGCTTTGCTTTCTGATGGGAATTGGCTTTGGATCCCATTCAGAAACCATCAAATGCATTCAGAATCAGCCATTGGTCACCGGTTAAACCGTTAGGATCTTTTATGTTGTGAAATCAACGCATTAAAAAAGCAGGAACACATAATAAAACAATTATAGACCTACAGACACACTTAATGGTTTCTGTGGGTTTTTTCAGCATGGAAAGCATTGACCAGTGGAAAGGAGCAGCTGCACATAAGCCTGAGGTCACCATGTCTAATACCAAGCGTGGGCTGGAGGGGTATAAAGCCCCCCAGCATTGGGCTGTGGAGTAAAGGAACTGTGTTCTCTGGAGTGATGGAGCTCCATCCAGTACCTTTGGAGTATTGGAGTTGGAGTGATCCAGAACTGACCATCCAACATCAGTGCCTGATGTCACTAATGCTTAATCAAATCCTCACAGCGATGTTCCAACATCTAGAGTAAAGCCTTCCCAGAAGAGTAGAGGCTGTTACTGCAGCACAGACTGACTGTTAACACCTTCATTTCAGAATAAACGCTGGTGTCTACAAACTTTTTTTTTTTGATTAGTTTTACGATTAGTGTAAGATGAAGTAAATACAAAATATGTGCAAAAGTTTGTGCATCCCGCTCAAGCGCTTGATCAAAACAAATGATGGCTATAGAAAGTTTCATTCATCCAAAACTGGACTTAAGATGTATTTGTAAGAAGAACAAGAAAGAAACCATTCTAAAGGTAAGAAGCTGCTTTTCTCTCTTTTTGTTTTAAGGTTTGGTTGCTTTTGTTTTAGCTATTTACTGTATGGTGGTTCGATGTGTAGCGACTGAGTTGAATGTATTGGCTGCAGTGTCCAGCTGTTGGTTTCTTGTTTGAGATGAGGGTGATTTAATCTGATGTCCATCTTAGGAATTATTAGGCTATTAACAATGGACAGAGCCCAGACCTCAACACCACTGGATGTGGATGCGATTACCTGCAACCAGCTTCTAATACTGAACTTTGGAGGCATGGATAAATATCTCTGCAGGTACTTTTTTAAAGCTCTAATTAGGGCAAACAGTCAACAGACTAAATACTGAAAATGTTGAAAATGAAATTTAGTCGTCGAGGCTTCCATGTAATTTTCTGTTTAAAATATTTTCTATGTTTTCCTGACGCTAAAAAAATAATAACGTAGTTAATGCCTGTTTTGACTGAAAATTACATAAATGGAGGGTGGCCTCAGTACTGTAAAAACAATATAAATACAAAACATATAATATCTAAATACACATACATACATAAACAACCATTTTTGGAAGCTAAGACATTAATGACTGACCAAATAAAACAAAATAACTCTTTCATTTGAAGGTCTCAAGCAACTGTATACTGCTTATAGCAAGAAAACATCTGTGTGGGGAAATTCCATTATTGAGCTCTCCTTATAGACAGTACTGTGCTGCACCACCAGGTGGAGCACTACAACAGCTGAAACAGATCACAGGAAAGACCATTCTGCCAAAAAAGTGAAAAGGAAGCGGTGATTTTCCATATTATTCGCTTTGTAAGAGTGTCAAGTAAAAAATGTACAATATCTATAAACCTTTTCACACACACATTTTCTAAACCGCTTTTCCTTCTGTGTCGTGGGTATTAACCTTTTCATTAATAAAATAACTAACATTTTAATTCTTATTGGATGTAAA